GGGGAGGATGAGGGGAGGGGCGCCCTTGGTGGCACTGACTGACAAGTCCGTGTCTGGCGGCAGTCCGACGGATCCATCTGTCCATAATCGGGTGAGGATACGTTTTGGTGCAATATATGTACGGAGTCATAATATGTGTGTACCTGTACTCGTATCATCCATTCTGCAGACCATCACTATTTCCTCGCGATGATGCTTGCCCGTTGCTTGTCCGTGCTGTTCTGCAGTGATGGTGAATAGTGACTGTGCTCGTACTGGAACTGCTCCGTACATGCTGGTATCGGTAGACGAATCCTACGAGTATCTATTATATGCAACCTCTAGTGATGGTGTAATGCTGTGTCCTCTGCGGTACTACGACTCGTAGATGCAATCACTTACGCGTAGCCCTGCACTCCTAGTCCGTCGTAGGACTCACTACGACAGATGTACAATTACTAGCATTGCCACTACAATCTACTCTTACAGATAAATGTCAGTCCCATCCTCTCTATAATATAATACTCGTCGTAATAGTGAGTGATGCAGCCTTGGCTGCTGCTATCCGCCTGCCCTCCTCTTCCCCCCTCCCAAAGTCCCTCTCTTCCACTCTGGCTCGCTCAAGTTCTCAAGTGTCCCCCCCCCTCCTCCTCCTCCTCCACCAAAATCTGCTACCACTACGTCGTACCTACGACGTAAATCCCACTTGCACCAATTCATTCAATTCTTGGCATCGCCTCCGGTCGTTTCTTTCTCTCATCCTACTTCCTCTAGCGATTCCTCCCCTCCTTCCTCTCTCTCGCACCACGTCGACATCGAGCCTTCCCTCCGGGCATTGCAACAGACAGAGAAGTCGACAACGACCGAATGTCTATGGCCTGGATCTGATACTTGGCTTGAAACAGTTGCCCTGTCTTCCAGCCTTCCTCTCTCCCCTTTCCGACTCGACGACGACGACGACGGCGGCGGCGGCGGCGGCGGCGGCAACGACGACAACGAAAAAAAGAAGAAGAAACCCCCCCTCCCAACTTAGGCGCTCTGCAAGGTGGCCTCTCTTCGCGGTCGAGAGCGCCATTGCGCGTCCGACTGTGCCTTGTCGGCCACGAGGCTCCGGAAAGCCATCACGACAACCGTCACAGCGTCGCTCGATATAGAGAGCCATGGCTCGTGACGAGAAGACGGCTCCGTCGCTAGACGACGACGCCACCATCGCGACCACGGGCATTTCACTATCCCCGCCAGATCCCGTCGCAACCACCCACAGGCATCATCAACATCCTCCGCCTCCTCCCTTCTACTCTGACCCTGTGAGTTTCACTTTTCGGGACGGGGGGGGAGGGTGTGAGGCCATCCGTCTTTCTATCTTTGACAGGCGAGAAGGGCCCTCCCTCCCTCCCTTCCCTCCCTCCCCGAACTATTGACCTAGCAGTTCTGACCACGGATGATGTCCCCCCTCCCCCCTCTGCAGCCTCCCTCATTCTACGATGCCCCTCCTCCCCAACCTCCTCACCCGAACCCAGACGACGTCGACGACTACGACGACGAACCAGGCGAGCCGCGACGCACCGGCCAGGACCTCCACGTCACCGACGATGACCTGCTCGAGGCCCAGGAGCTGGCCGACAAGCTGACGCTCGACGAGGTCCGCGACATCATGGACCGCGTCTACCGGGTCCACGAGCACGACCCCAACTTCCCCCTCAGCGTTCTGCAGAAGATCCGGGCCTTCCTCGACAACGAGCACCTCTTCGTCCCCCAGGACGACGTCGACGAGGAAAAGTACAGGCTTGCCGAGCACGAGCACCTGATCCGCCAGATGAAGCTCGAGGCCGCCCTCATCACCGCCAACAGCCCCTACGCCGAGGTGCGCGCCGTGGTCGACAACCGCGACGACATGTCGGCCCCCTGCTCCACCATCCGCAGCTGGGCCATCGGCCTCGTCTTCTCGCTGCTGCTGGCCTTCGTCAACCAGCTCTTCGACATCCGCCAGCCCACCATCCGCGTCATGGCCAACGTCGCCCAGCTGCTGGCCTACCCGATGGGCAAGGCCTGCGAGACCTGGCTGCCCGACCGCGGCTTCACCCTGTTCGGCGTCCGCCACTCGCTCAACCCGGGGCCCTTCCACAAGAAGGAGCACATGCTCATCACCATCATGGCCAACGTCGCCTACAACACGCCCTACACCAACTACATCATCTGGGTCCAGTACCTGCCCCAGTACTTCAACCAGCCCTACGCCGCCCACGCTGCCTACCAGATCCTCATCGCCCTGAGCACCAACTTCATCGGATACGGCATCGCCGGCATCTGCCGCCGCTTCATCGTCTACCCCTCGTACTGCGTCTGGCCCGCCTCGCTCGTCACCATCGCCCTCAACTCGGCCTTCCACATGGGCGGCGCCAACACGCCCGTCCGGGGGCCGCTGGGTACCGTGTGGCGCGTCTCGCGCATCAGGTTCTTCTACCTCATGTTCGGCGCCATGTTCGTCTACTTCTGGTTCCCGGGCTACGCCTGGATCGGCCTGTCCAAGTTCAGCTGGCTCAGCTGGATCGCCCCGGACAACCTCAACCTCAACACCGTCGTCGGCGTCAACAACGGCCTGGGCATCAACCCGTTCCCGACCCTGGACTGGAACACGCTCCTGTGGGACTCGTCGGACCCGCTCATGGTGCCCTTCTTCAGCACCATCAACCGCTTCCTCGGCGCCTTCGCCTCCATGTGGGTGGTGCTGGCGCTGTGGTACGGCAACGCGTACAACACGGGCTACCTGCCCATCAACTCGAACCGCGTCTACGACCACTTCGGCCAGCTGTACAACATCTCGCGCGCCACCGACGACCGCGGCCTGTTCGACGCCGCCAAGTACGAGTCGTACTCGCCCCCCTTCCTGGGCGCCGGCAACGTCGTCATCTACATGTTCTTCTTCGGCGTGTACACGTCGACGCTGACGTACGCCGCCCTGTACCACCGCCGCGAGATGGTGACGGGCTTCAAGGGCCTGATCAACAGCTTCGGCCGCAAGAAGTTCTTCAAGGAGGAGAGCCAGGTGCTCGACGTGCACCACCGCCTGATGAAGAAGTACGCCGAGGTTCCCGAGTGGTGGTACGCCGCCTGCCTGCTGGCCGCCCTGGGCCTGGGCGTGGCCGGCATCAAGGGCTGGGACACGCACACGTCGCCCGGCGTCGTCTTCTACGGCCTGGCCCTGTGCCTGGTCTTCGTGATACCGGTGGGGATCATCAAGGCCATGACGGGCATAGAGGTGACGCTCAACGTGCTGGCCGAGTTCGTCGGCGGCTCCTTCGTCGAGGGCAACGCCCTGGCCATGAACTACTTCAAGTCTTTCGGCTACGTCACCTGCGCCCACGCCGTGTGGTTCTCCAACGACCTCAAGCTGGCGCACTACGTCAAGATCCCGCCCCGGCAGACATTCATGGCCCAGATGGTGGCCACCTTCGTGAGCACCCTGGTCTGCGTCGGCGTCCTGAACTTCCAGATGCGCCACATCGAGGGCGTGTGCACCCCCGACGCCCAGTTCCGCCTCACCTGCCCGGGCGTCAACACCTTCTTCACCGCCTCGGTGCTCTGGGGTACCGTGGGCCCGACCAAGATCTGGGGCAAGGACGGCCAGTACACCGAGACCTTGATCGGCTTCCCCCTCGGCATCCTCATCGTCGTCTTCTTCTGGGGCCTGGCCAAGAAGTTCCCCAAGTGGACCTGGCTCCGCCAGATCCACCCCGTCGCCATCATGTACGGCGGCATCGTGTGGGCCCCCTACAACATGTCGTATGTGTGGCCTGCCGTGCCTATCGCTTACTTTTCTTGGGTGTACCTCAAGAGTCGATACTTGCCATTCTGGTCCAAGGTACGTCTTTTTTTTTTGTTCTTCTGTCTTCAAACAACACAGACAGAAAATTTGTCTACATATAGATGATCAATTCTCTCCAGCTCCCCCCCCCCCCCCCCTTCCCTCTGGCCCTTGTATATATATATACATTTACTCACTTTAAGAGATTCCCCATACTCTGCTCTGATATATATACGTTCGGCTTTTTTTGGGAAGAAAGAAAACCATCGCAGTGTGAGAAAATTACAGTATACTGACAGGGAGAAACAACAGTACAACTTTGTCCTATCTGCAGCGTGGTCATGCGGCATAGCCATCGCCGGCATCATCATCTTCTTCACCCTCCAGTGGACAGAGACGGAATTCAACTGGTGGGGCAACGACGTCCCCTACGAGGGCTGCGAAGGCGACGCCTGTACCATCAAGAAGCTTGGTGAGGGCGAATTTTTCGGTCCACCATTCGGAGAGTTTTGACCTTTTTTGTGTGTGTGTGTGTGTGTGTGTGACCATTCTAAGGGATGATGATTTCTTTGTTTCTCGTCCTTTTTTTCTCTGTTTCTCTTTCCTTTACATATCATTATTTCTAGGTCTCTCTCCCTCCCTTATCTCTCCTATTTGTATACCAAAGGAAAAGAAAGGAGAAAAGCTCGCACTTCTCTAACCTAGACCTTGAGCGCGGGTTTTTTTCTCTTTCTTTTTGGTATTCATCTCATCTGGTATTGTTTCTTCTTTTCTATAAAAAAAATCTCGTATGTGAGGACGAAGAGGGAGCAAGAGTAGATGGGAGAGGAGGGGGGGGGGAGGATTGACCCTGGCATTCGAACGCATGGAGTTTACTCTCTTTTTTTTAAGAAAAGAACCAAAGTTGGTGTTTTTCTGTTTCTTCTTTATTTGGCTAATGATGTACTCTTTTTTTTTTCCCTTCTTCTCTTTCTATATCAGGACCGCGAGGATGTGTTTTTTTTCTTTTCATTCTTACGTTTACAATCATGGACTCCTTTCTTCTTGTATGGATAAAAGGGGTGTTTTCTTTTCTTTTCGTTGGAGAGTTGGAGATCGGGGTACAGATGAGATGAGAAGAAAAAACCCTTTTTGCAAGATATGAGTGTGAAAAACGTCTTGTCGGAGCTACTATTCTCAGTTTTTTAAAAAGGGCGGAAGTAGAGAGTGTACCTTGGGTATAAGATAAGAATTCTGTCGGGAAAAAAAAAAGGGAATTGACACCAAAATTTTGAAAGCAAAAATGTATATATATATATAAAAGTGTATTGGATGGTATCAGACAGACAAATGGCGCATAATTTCACTAACTTCGTACTTTAATACCCATTCCATCCTTGTCCGTTCGTTCCATCCATTAAGACGCAAAAAAAAAGGGGAAAAAAAAGGAAAGAGGGAAAGAGGGGGAGAGAGAGTGTGGAAAAAAAACCCCCCCAAATGATATATAATACAAAAAAATTCCACCCAACATGATAACCTCACATACAAAACGTCTCAAACCTTGATGGCCTCTTCCTCATCTGGATCCTCTATACTTGTCCGCCTCTTGGCCTCTTTGACCTCCACCGTACTCGTCGTAGTCTGCTCCTGCTTCTTCTCAGCTTCATTCTCGTCCTTCTTGACCTCGGTCTCGGTCTGCTGCTTCTCATCCGCTGATGTGGGCACGTCTGGTGCTGCTGCCGGGACGTGCTGCGTCGTTGTTGTCGTCGTCGTCGTCGCCTCCTCCTTGGACCCGAATGGCCAGAGACCGCCTAGACTCCTGGTGCCCTCGCGGGCAGGGTTGACGGCCAACGGCTTGAGGACCACCTTCTCCGGACTGCCGCCCGCACTGCTGCTGTCGTCCTCTGCCATGGCGAAGTCACCAAACTCTTCGTCGTCGTCGTCCAGATCGTCGAATCCACCGGCGTTCCCCTCCTCCTCGCTGATGCGCCTCCGCACGACGCCGCGCCACCACGATCCCCTGCCGTCGTCGCCGTCGTCCAGATCGTCGTCCATGTCGTCTTCTTCTTCACCGTCATCGGCAAAGGGATCTCTGCCGTCGTCGTCATCGTCATCATCGTCGCCGTTGCCGTCGTGCAGCGTCGATGCTTCCAGGGGCTCCTCGGAGATACCCAGGTTGCTCGCGTTGCTGTTCTTATTTTTCTGGTGCATCGCCAGCCTGGCTGCTAGCTGACGCCTGGCCCGGGAGGGGGGGATGTTCAGCGGGGNGGGGGGGGGGGGGAGGGGGCGGTATCGAGGGCGGTGCCAGAGACCCCTCCGCGTTGGATGGGTCGGTGTAGGCGCGGAACTAAGAGGAGGGCCATCAGCATTACTGTCGTCCCGGAGGAGACGATCGAGACCTCGTCGAGAAGGCGAGGAAGAGAGGATGGCGGCCCCCAGCAGACGAGTATTGTAGCTCTCCAAGAAACTCCGACTTCTTCTTGGCCCTCCCTCTTCTGCATGCATGCAGGCTACAGTCCGCTGGCCGCCTAAGCTCGACCGCCCCTAGTCTCGCCACGCCTCATGCATGGAATCGAAATGAATCGTAAGGGGGGTCCATCATCACGTCCAGATCCAGCTCCGAGGCCGCGGCCACGTCAGGTGACATGGTCCCGGGCGAGTAACTTATGTGATCCTCCTCCTGCTCAAGCTGGAATGTCACTTCGCGTAGCATCCTGCCGTTCTCGTCCTCGCCGTCCTCGTCGTCCGCGTAATCGATGCTTACCTCGGAATTGACGTCATCCTCGTCGCCATCGCCGTCCTCGTCCTCCTCGTCGCTGCTGCTGCCGAAGCCCGACATGAGCGTGCCTCCGCTGATGGCGAACGGACCGATTCCGCCGTTGCCGCTGCTTTCGTTGAGCTCGGTGCCGCCGTTGAGACCAGCCTCGGCTAGCGCGTTCGATGCTACGCCTCCGGAGCCGCCAGACAAGCCCGAAAGGCCCATTCCTCCGAGCCCGCCACCGCCAATACTGCCGCCATGGCCCATGGCCACTTCGGGCCGGACGCCGCCCAGGATAGCATTGTCCCTCTCGCGCGTCTCGGCCAGCGAGCCCTCGACGTAGCTGATCCATTCCTGGCTCATGACCTTGTCCAGGACCGTCTCGGATAGGAGCTCGGGAGGGTGGCGTTCGGTGAACTTGACCACCTCCTCGGCGATCAGAGTCAGGTGGCCCATGTAGCCCATGCGGGTCTTGGTCTTAGCGTGTGACTCGTCGCTAACCTGCTGGCCCGTGATGATGGCCGCCGTGATGTCGGCCGATTCGAAGAGTGAAATGGCAAGGGTGGGGTTGTAGCCTCGGTCCATGGGGCCGTTGAATACCTGCTGCACGACGTCGTAGACGACATTGTGCAGGAAGTTGTTCCAAGGGTAGGAGAAGAAGAAGGACTAGAGGAGAAAGGTGAGCGATGTTGAATCCGAAGAATCTGGGAAACGGCACAGAAGGTGAAGTTGTCGAAGAAGAAAGAAAGGGAGAGGGGAAAAGAAAAACAAGAAGAAAACAGAAAGAAGAGGAAGAAGAAAAAGAAAAAGAAAAAAAAAAAGGGGGGGGGGGGGGGGTTACCAGAATCGTAGGTACGACACCGTGGTCGACAAACTGCATCTTCAAGAAGTCACCCACAACAGGTTTGACGGCACCCGTCCTCTCGGATTCCTGCCTGGCCTCCTCAGCTTCGGTCTCATCATGATGCTCCTTGCTGGGGACCTCCTCGTCGGCCTGCTTCTCTTCCAACGCATCCCCGTCCCTGGGCTGAGGCTCGGCCGATGCGGAGGTGGGTGAGGAAGACGCGAAGAGAGGGGCAGGGGTATCTTCGGGATGGGGGGAGAGGGGCCCCTTGTCGACATAGTTGGGCGAAGGAACCTGGATATGTGTGAGGCTGACGGGTGGTCGGCCGGTGACCGGGAGAGACAGGCCATCTTCGTCCTCGGAGGGCATGTCCGTCATGGAGCCGGTCGATGCCTTGCGCAGGTTATCAGGCCTGGCACTGGCGGAGGAGTCCGGCTCCTGAGGCGGCTCTGACAGCCTGGTCTCGGGGAGCTCTTTGGCGGGCGACAGCGAGGATGGCTTGCCCTTTAAGGGGGATAGAGGGGCGACGACCAAGTCTGGCTCCTCGAACTCGTGCTGCTGCTCCTGCTGCTCGTTGACCTTGTCGGCTGTGACAGTCAGGCGTGGGGAGCTGAGCGGCTCGTCGACGAACTCGTCATCGTTCTTGGTGATGATCGAGGTTGGCTGCGGGGCGGCAGGTAGTATGTCGTTCTCGGCCTTGACAAACTCGTGCGAGGTGTCCTCGCTCATCTCGCGGCTGGGATCGACCTCCTCAAAACCGTCGTCGTCGGCGTTGATGACCTCGAGACGGCGGCTGCCCTCGTCCTGCTGGAGGTGGGCCGAACGCATCGTCAGGTCATCCTGCGATACGTCCTCCTCGCGCTGAGGGCCCAGCTTGCCCTCCGAGCGGAGCCGCCGGCGCTCAGCATCGCGCGCGGCAATCAGGTCTTCGGATCCGACCTCGTTGAGCAGGCCCATGTTGCTGCAGTGCAGGAGCTCGGCCATGAGCTCACACGTCTTGAAGCGGTCGAAACCCAGGGGCTGCAGCTTGCCGCCAAACGTAGACTGGATGCCCGTCTTGTCGGACTGGCCGTCCACGATGAGCTTCATGAACTTCGGGACGTTGTCGGCAAACAGGCGAAGCAGGTGACCCAGGTAGATGGGGTCGTGACTCGATGGGGGCAGATTGGTACCCGTGCCGACGTCGGGGTCGTAGTCTGAGTTGTTCTTGCGGATGACCTCGATGACGATGCCGACACCGACGGTGAGGGGGTTTCCTCCGTTGAGCATGTAGCCGATGAGCTGCTCGACGCAAGGCTTGGAGACGAGCTGGCGGGTGAGCTCGTTGGGACCGATACATTGCTGCTCGTTCTGGGAGGCGTTGGCCGAGATGGTGATGATGGCCTTGATGAAATCACCGGCAGCGGTCTGGACCACCCAGCTGTGCTCGGGGCTGAGGAAGGACAGGAGGGAAGGGATGAGGTCCTTGGCATAGAGCCACTGCGGGGGTGGATGTCAGCATCATTCATATCGCGGTCTTGAGGCGCGGCGACACAGAGCACACCTAGTGTGGAGGATGCCGGGGGCTTTGGAAGAAAAGATGACGACATACCTCTACGACACCCTGACCTCCTTCGCTCCGGTCAAGAGCGATGATCTTGAGCAACAGATCCATAATCATGGGGCACTCGACGTGATTAAGCAGTCTGGGGACGACATTTGGGAGGGTGCGCAACAGGTCCATCATCTCGTCCGTCTTCTTGTCAAAGAGGGACTCGTTCACCTTTGTGAAGTAGCTGGCCTGGAGAGGGTCGAGGGGGGAATCGCGCTCGAGGAAGCGCCAGAAGTCGACGATGAGCTGGCGGTTCTCGGTCAGGGCCTCGTAGATGGACCAGGTCTCTGAGCTGAGGACCTCGCAGGCGACGAATGCGTAACGGTTGCGTCGCTTGTCCTGCTCGTCGGGATCTTCATTATTGTTATCGCCATCGCCATCGTCACCGTTGGCCGAAGCCCGCGACGAGGCGCGCGGTCGCGAAAACGGCAGCAGGCGGGTCTTGGGCCTCCCGGAGCCCAGTCCGTCGTCGGCGTTGTCGTCGGGGGTCTCGAAGCGCTCGAGCTTGGGGGCGACGGCGTATTCTAGAAGCCTCTGGAGGATGGCGTCCCCGCGCAGGTACTCGATGAGCTTATGGTTGTGCTGCTTGAGCTCCTGGATCAGGTCGCTCTCGTCCAGCAGCTCCTCGAGGGTGTAGTCTGGCTTATCGAGTATGGTATCAATGGTTGATATGTTGGCGTACCCGCCAAATCTCCAAAACATGGTGGGCGTAGAAGTCTTTCTCTCCCGGCGGAAGAGGGAGAGGGCGGGGGAGAGGAGGAGAGGAGGGGTCGAGATCACGGCGCTGGGCGAGTGTGGCTCTGCCGTAACACTGCACCAGCACCGGTGGGAGGTAAAGGGGAGTAGTGAGAGATGGCTTGTCTTCAGGCCTCAGCAGCCCATGTAACGGTCTGGCAAGGCAATGGTTGCGAGGTTGTCTGTCTCCTGTATCGCCTCTCTCTTTTTTCTTCTTCTTCTGGCCTTGTTATAGCAACGTCGTCTTCCCCTTTTCTGTCGATTACCAATTTCTCGATGCGCCTTGTCGGGGGGGGGAAAAAAGTGGAATTAAAGAAGGAAGGATAGATCAAAAGGAGAGACGATGATGGCTCCGAAGCGTTGGAGGGCGGGTACCTCTGTTGTGGCAGCAGGGCAGGGCACAGAATTTAGGGCGGTTGTTGTCGTTGTGACGGATGGGGAGATCGTTTTATGCTTCGGTGCGCGTGCACGTCTCAGGCAGGCTGGTGCTTCAGAGCAACGAAGGGAAGAGCAAGAAAAAAAATTTAGGGAAAGAAGGGGAAGCAGAGGGAAGATAAGATGACCGTATGGGGTTGATATGATGATGGAACCGTGGAATCTAGACACGGTCGCTGGGTGAGAAACGAGTCGAGAGGTTATTTTGGTAACGGGGGACGTAACGGGGCACTTGTCTGCCCAGGCTGTCGTCAGTCCTTGGGTCCTTGGGTGGTCCGGGCATGCTGAGGTCTTGGTGAGTGCAGGTGAGCATTACATGTACAGGCGAGTGTTTCGGGGGAGGGGGATACGGTGGCTATAGGGGCCTGCAGCTTATTAGGTATCAGGTACCTATAGGTTCTAGTAGGGTAGGACCTATTGAGTGGGTGGTCACTGCTATCGTAGTAGGTGCCCGTAGCTAGGGGTCCGGTCGTCTAGTCGGGTGCTCCGTACAGATTAATCTGTACAGATTACAGATTGCTTAGTACTCTATCATCGCTGGGCCACCTATTCCTCGTATAATATTACTGCTGTTACTCCTAGAGATTCGTGGGATTACAAAGCCTCCATCTCTCCCAAGCTTCTCCCTTCCCGATACTCTGTTTCACTCCTTTCCCCGTCGACGCCCAACGTGGCCAGCATAATTCGACTTGCGCGTGTGTGTGCGTGTGCACGCGTGCACGAGCCCAGTGTTTGTGCAATCCTACGGTTTGGGAGTATCAGGAGCATTTTTTATTCATCAATCGTATCGTCGCGTCCATTCGATGGATATTACACCACTAGTACTCAATACTTTTTCTCATCTCACGAGACTACTTCCGAGCATACAGTACAGATTGCTCCGCGATATATTCAGATTACTCAATCATAGATTGTCTGCCACTCCGTATTAGCGTTAATAACTCCAAACGGTCTCCATCGCTCTCGTCGCAAGTGATAACGTCAACTGTGCCGACCATGGATCAATCTCGTCATCTCTCATGGGCAGCCGGTGCGGGGGCGCCTGATGGATGGAGCCTGCCCACTGCCCACTGCCCACCCACGACTCGTATGGGGGACTGGGTACCTGGATACCCTGCAAACCCCAGTACCCAGCGTCAGCCTTTCAGCACTCTATTGTAGCCTACGAGGTCCAGGCAGCCGCGGGCGGGCGGGAAGCCAAATTACAGGGTCCCCGCTAGCTGAGATAGATCGACGTGACGTGTTCCGAGACTACTTGTCTGAGATGTAATATTATCAACTCGGCACCATCATCTCCATCTTGTTCTTTTGTATGTTTTGCATGGATAGTTTCTGTTTCCTTCTCTTTCTCCTCTGCATCCTGTAAATGTATATAAAGAACAGAGACTCTGCATGTATACTGTACGCGTACGCATCGAACTCTCTCGACAGGGGAGGGGGGGGGGGGGGGGGGGGGGGGGGGGGGGGGGGGGGGGGGGGGGGGGGGGGGGGGGGGGGGGGGGGGGGGGCGACTCCGCTGAAACGTGGCAATGCGTGTTGCAGCAAGCAGCCTTGGGGTTTAAACCAGTGCCACGTTTTCACCCCGGACATATTACTTGCTCTACTCGTACATGTATGTAGGCCTCGGCAAATGGGCGAGATGTGCTGTTCTTGTTCCGTCTCTCCGTATCTCTCTCCGTATCTCTATCTTCTTCTCCCTTTCTTTGCTTGTACCGCTGTAGAGAGAACAAGAGAGAGAAGGGGGGGGGGGGGGGGGCTTCGTGGTGAAAAAAAAGGAAACATGCATAAACCACGACTGAAGCGGTGAGACCTACTGTCCTCGTGTACAAATACCCTAGGCTGCTGACCTTCTATGCCCATTGCTGCGTGCCCTTTCGAAGCACATGCACGAGATGCACAGGTGTGAAGCGACGCTGAGGATGCATGCAGTCTTGTGTGTGCGTATATATATATATATATATATATATGTGTGTGTGTGTGTGTATATTGTCTAGCAACACCATATACAGGATGGTACTGGTTTGTCATCATACCACATTCATAGCCCTGAGCCCCTTATCCAGCTCACCACAAACCTCCTCGGACGTAGCAAAGTCTTTGAGGAGCACCCCCCTCCACCAGCCATACCACTCCGCCACCTCTGCGAGATCCGCCTCGGCCCCGAGTGCCAGCCACTCTTCCAGCTTGGCATTCCACATGGGCAGCACGTTCTGCGCCAGCACCTCTGCGAGCGCCCGCTTCCCCAGAACGCCTTCCCACTTCAGCACGCCCGTGAGCGCAGGCAGGTAGGGTTCCTGGTCGGCTGGGTCGACGCGGAAGTTGGCCCGGAGGTAGCGTCCCATGGCGGGGAGGACGTGCGACATGGTCAGTCGCCGCCACTCGTCGTCGCCCAGGACCTCCTTCCAATTCGTCAGTCCCGGGACGACGCCTCTCTCGTACTCCCATGCGCCTGTGAGCTGGCGGAATTTCCTCTTGACGCCTGACACGAGGCCTGTTCCCTTGGGATCGAGGTGATATGCCGGCAGATAGGGGAGCCAGGGAAACAGCCATGTATGCGGAAGGTCGTGGCCCTGCCGCTGCTTCCTCTTCTTGGGATTCCAGTCCGACAGGGCGGCCTCGAGGCGGCGCACGACATTGTCTACGACCTGTGCGCGCACAAAGGGGGGGAGGAGGTCCGTCCAGCTCTCCAGCAGGGTGAGCATGGCTGTGGGCTCTAGAGGGTCCCACGATCGTATGGCTGAGAGCACGCGTGGCAGCCAGATCTTGTACATCATGCTCTCGTAGGGCGTCGTCTTCCGGTGGTGTGCACGGTACACGTCGTCCTCGTTCGTGGCCGGCACTGTGTCCCACTTGCTCACGGCTCCGGGGGCGGACGACCTGATCAGCAGGCCCGATATGCTGGAGAGGTCCGTGGAGAACTTGGACGGCTCCCGGAGCGGGTCCCACTCAGCCTCGCGTAGAAACGGGTGGATAGCCGCAACGGCGATGTCCACCAGGTCCGCCGTCGCCGCCCCGGCTTCGACGGGCTTCCGTAGACACCCGATGACCTGGTCCCACTCCGTAGCCGATACGAGCTCCTTCGAGACGAGGTCCGAGAAGACCTGGAGCTTCTCAAAGTCACTCCGCAGGTCCTCCACCTCCTTCTCCCGCCCCTTCAGCTCCAAGTCCACCCACGCTTTACGCTCCGACAGGCTGCGCCACTCCTCCGAGAAGGCCATGAGGTCCGCCTGCGCGCGCTTGACCAGCTTGCGAGCCTCGATGACCTCGGTCGATTCGGGAACCCCGCCGGCCGCGGGCGTCATGATGCCGCTGGCCGACGTGAGCATCTTGCCGCCGGGGCCCGTCATATCCAGTATCGGGGTGAATGCGTCGGGTATGTGCAGGCCCGGTGCCGAGGCCTTGAGCTCCTCGGCCGTGAGGTACCTGGTCTTGGACTTGCGCGATGTGCTGCTACCCGTGACGCTGTCAAACGCCCCGGCAATCGTCTTGTTCCTGGCCGCCGCCTTCCTCTTGCGCCGCCTCTTCTCCTCCTCCTCATCCGAGTCGACGACCACCTCGCCGCGCAGCTTGGCCTGCCTCTTCTCCTCCTGACGCTCCTGCTTAGACTTTTCCTTGACGGCTCCCAGACCGGCTCCCTGGGGCCGCAGGTTCGCCTCGACAATCACATTCCGTCCTTGCCCCTCCTTACCGAGACCCTGGCCGTCGACGTAACCCATCTTGGCCATCATCTTGGCACCGAAGCCCATCGCCTTGCCCTTGCCCTTGCTCTTAGCGCCAAAGGAGCTCAGCTGGGGTTTATTTCGTGGGGGCGACTTGCCACCGTTAGGATCCTTCAACACGGGCTCATGCGCAGAAGACGGGACAAAGCCTTGCCCCAGGACACCGGGCCCGTCAAACTTGGTCTTGGGTAGCGAGGGGGCGGTGTCGGCGGAGGCTGCCTTTTGAAACGTCATCCGCGGCCGCATGCCTGACCCGCCTGTGCCTCTGCCGAACCCAAGGCCGGCACCACGGCTGCTTTCCTCGTCCTCGTCTTCTTCGTCGTCGTCGTCATCGTCTTTCTCGTCCAAGGACGGGTTCATAGATCCGTTTCCGAGCACGGGCCGGTTGTCTTCGTCATCGTCGCCTTCGTCGCTGCTCCCCTCAGCCTGCTCGGCGCCTTTGGATACAAAATTCATGCCCCGGCTGCGCAGGTTCTTCTTCTTCCACTTCTTGCCGGGTCCCTCGTCCTCGCTGTCCGAGGCAAAGATACCCAACGCGGCCTTCTCCTTGTTGCTGTCCGCTAGTCGACGCTTCTTACGGGGGTTGAAGTCACCAAAGTCATCGTCTTCCGGGTCTACACCTGGGATGCGGTACTCGTCCTCGGATTCGGAAGCTGATGATGAGTAGTCGGCGGCTGTCGTCTTGTTGAGCCTCGAAGGTGCAAAGGGACGCGTAGACGAGTCCATGGTGGCCGGCGGCGGCAAATCGCTCGAACGTGCAGTTTCTCGAGAGGATTGTAGTTGTAGAATCTGAGAACAAGGCACGCCGTTTGTCCTTCTACACGCTTCACCTTTTTGTTGTGACCATGATAGAAAGAAAATGAAGAAAGAACCGGTCAAGAAACAAAGATGCTTCTTTCAGCCAAGGTCACTTATGACATGCGACAGCTTTGCTACGAGGCTCTAGGCTCCTGGCCATTTGCTATTACGCGACAAGTAACTTTTTGCTTATCGCCACGTGATCTTGGAGGGATATCTTACCCTATATACGGAGTACTCCGTACAGCTCTAGGAAACCAGGGGAAGAGTAGCCGTACAGGTAAAAGTGACAGTCACAATATCAGGAAAATAAGTGTTTGATTGATCAAGTTCTGTTCTGTACCCTCCACATGCCGTGAATGTTTGTCTTCTGATGTTCATGGCGTGTGTTTGGTGCATTTCCTTATGTCGTTTGAGGCCTATCTGTTTCTTAACGTACATCAGTATTACACACCTGGTGATGGATAGTGTCTGTTTTTGTACACTGAGAGGATTGCCAACCTATCTCCATCCTACAAAGTAAACATAGAAAGAGGGGTGAGATCCAGAAGTAAATAAACACCTTATCGTAATCAGCTAATACTGCCACATATATCTCAGCCCAATCCATCATTATCAAGAAGCCCAGTTGGACATGTGGTGGGAAGCACGATGACAGCGGGTGCTCGTTTCTGGGGCGATGAGATTGGGAGAAGGTACGCTACGGGCACAAAGCCTAATAAACGACAACGGCAGGGACCATTCGAGATGCCACTGATTTGTTCATAGGACTGTAGTAGCAGAGCCATGAACCTCTCATACTAGTAGCAGGTTACTCTTTGACCAGTACATCATCTAGATAGAGGTTTTCTACGAAAAAAAAAAGACAAGATTTTTCGCTGCTTGGGAGGCAGCAGTACTGTTGTCAAATCAGGCGACGACGCTAACATTGGCCGTCGGGTCGGTTTGCCCGCGCTTTGGGGGTTTGTTGACATTTGGCATTTTCCCCTGCACCGACCAGTGGGACAAATTCATTTACCCACATCTACTATTATTATTCGTGCTACTCCGTACAGAGTAATAGTTCTCCCAAGCTTCCATTCTCTCTGCAACGGACCTTCTTGTGCATATTGTTTTATTCCTCTCCGGATTTGTGTTGATACCTTTGAGCGCATTTATATTCCCTTTATCCTAACGGTAAGCGATCTCGGAACCCTATCGTCGTCATATTCTTCTTTCTCTTCCTCCTTGAGAGGCGCACACCCCACATAACCAGGCCGCTCTCCCCTTCATCTCCCCTTCTCCCATGAATGTCTTGTGTGAGCAGGCGCGCTGACTGGGATAGGATAACGTGTTTGGTGCTCGGTCTTTCGTCCTTGCCTATACCAACCTGGTCCCTTTGCCAGGATCCCTAAGCTGTCTGTCCCCTTTACCTTCAGGTACGTTCTCCCACCGCGAGTGTGTGAGTGTGTTCTGCTTTACCTGTCCTCCTGGCTGGCAATATGTGCGCCTCTCTTATAGGACGGGAAATAAGAGGCGTCTAGTGGTCCTGCCTAGGTGTATTGGAAATGGCTTCCGGATGCTGACTAAATTATAGGCATAGCACCGGCGATATCGATATTCGACTGACAAATTCCCGTACGCACACCACAGCCGATCGCACATCATGGCCGACGAGGAGGACTACAGCTCCCTCCCGTTACCGGACAGATTCACACACAAAATCTGGAAGGTGCGGAAAGCAGCGTACGAAGATGCCGCCAAGCAATTTTCCGTCTCCCCAGACGAGGACGACCCTTGCTTCCGACCCTTCCTAAACGACCCCAGTCTGTGGAAGTCAGCCGTCACCGACTCCAACGTCGCCGCCCAGCAGGATGGCATCGTTGCCCTGTGCTCGTTTCTCAAGTACGGTGGGCGCAACTGCTGCGTACGAACGCGCGGTGGTACTGTCACGGCCATCGTCGAGAAGTGCCTTTCGTCCACCCGAGCCGCCACGAAGCAGAACGCCATCGAGGCCCTGCTCCTCTATATCGAGCTCGATGTTTCCGGCCCTATCATCGAAGACATGATTCCAGGCCTCTCAAACAAGGTGCCCAAAAATGTCGCGGCCACGCTCAACGCCTTGACACAGATCTTCCACAACTACGGCTGCAAGGTCGTCGACCCCAAGCCCGTCCTTAAGTGCCTCCCCAAGGTGTTCGGTGCCGCCGACAAGAATATCCGTGCCGAGGCCACCAGCCTCACAGTCGAGCTGTACAGGTGGCTGCGCGAGGCCATGAAGCCCATGTTCTGGGGTGAGCTCAAGCCGACTCAGCAGACTGACCTGGAGGCACAGTTTGAGAAGATCAAGGCCGAGGGCCCACCAAAGCAGGAACGCCTCCTGCGGTCCCAGCAAGCGGCGTTGGATGCTGCCCCCGAGGGCGGCGATGGTGGAGGCGACGATGATGGCGGCGAGGACGAAGATCCCGGGGAGATGGACGCCTTTGACCTGGCTGAGCCGCAGGATGTTCTCAAGAAGATCCCTCCCAACTTCTCCGAGCAGCTGGCTTCCTCAAAGTGGAAGGACCGCAAGGAGGCTGTGGAGGCACTGTACCAGGCGGCCGACGTGCCACGCATCAAGGATGGCGATTACAACGAGGTCGTTCGCGGTCTTGCCAAATGCATGAAAGACGCCAACGTCGCCGTCGTCACCCAAGCAGCTCTTTGCGTTGATGTGCTGGCCAAGGGTCTTCGGAAGGCCTTTGGAAAGTACAGACCCGTCATCACACAACCGATCCTTGACCGACTCAAAGAGAAGAAGGCCACCGTGGCGGATGCCCTTGGCGCTGCCCTTGACGGCGTCTTTCTGTCTACCAATCTGAGCGAATGTTTGGAAGACATCACGGCCTACCTCAGCAACAAAAACCCCCAGGTCAAGGAGGGCACTATGAAGTTCCTCATCCGTTGCCTGCGGACTACGCGCGACGTCCCCGCCAAGCCAGAGATCGTCTCGGTGTGCGAGAGCGGGAAGAAGCTGCTCGGTGAATCGAGCCCGGCACTTCGCGATGGCGGTGCAGAGATCCTGGGAACCATCATGAAGATTATTGGAGAGCGCGCCATGACACCTTACATAGATGGCCTGGACGACATCCGCAAGACCAAGGTCAAGGAGTTCTTCGAGACGGCCGAGGTCAAGGCCAAGGAGAAGCCCAAGCCCAAGCCTGCCGCCGCACCTCCCAAGGCGGCTGCTGGCCCGGCAAAGAAGATGGTTCCCGGTAAGAGGCCGGCGGCTAAGAAGCCGGCAGCACCAGCCGCTGCAGAGCCCCCCTCCAGCCCACCAAAGACCGCACCGGCCGGAGGCAAGCTCGGCCTCCCGAAGTCGGGTGGCCTTGCTGGCCTGAAGGCCCCACAGAGACGCCTTGGCGCCCCGGGGCCTGCCTCGCCACGCCGTGCACCCGCGGGACCCCCGGTGATGCCCCCTGAAGACGACGCACCACCGCCGCAGCCCCGCAGCGGTCTCACCAGAGGCCTGACAGGCCGATCGCTGGCAAAGCCCGCATCCGCAGCACCGCAGATGCCGCCCGAGTCACCGCCGCCGGCTAGCGGCCTGACAGCGGCAGAGCGCGCAGAGCTAGATGAGCTGCGTGCTTCCAACGACCGCTACTCTCGCCAGGTAGACGACATGAGGCAGGAGCGCAGCAAGTTCATGACGGAGATCCAAGAGCTCAAGAACCAAAACGCTGGACTGATCGAGGACCACACTCGTGATGTGCTGAGCATCAAGGCTAAGGAGACGCAGCTGGTGCGCGCGCGCAGCGACGCCGAGGCGGCTGAGCAGGTCAATGAGCGTCTAAGGCGGGAGCTAGAGCGTCTCAAGAGGGCTCTCAGTCGCGCCGAGGGCCTAGGTGCTCCGTCGTCAGGAAGCGGTGGTATGACCAGCCCCGTCGTCACTTCGCCCGTCAACACCAACTACGACGACGTCGGCATCTTCCGCGACTCCGGGGGTGCTGCTACTTCTTCCTCCAGCAGGCACCGCGCCAGCTTCACGAGCACCATGTCGGAGGAAAAGGAGAACGGTGCCGAGGCCGGCGGTGCCGGCGCAGGCTACTATCCCCCCCGCAACAAGGCTCTCAGTCCGGAAATGCGGTACGCTGGAAGCACCCCTTCCTCGGGACGGGGGTCGCCGGCCCGCGGGTTCAGGAGTAGCCGCGAGCGTGGATACGACGATGGCGCCGACTCCGGCGCTACCCCTGCCTCTGCTGGGAGCTACGGTCTCTCTAGGGATAGGCCTTCAGCAATGGGCCCGCCTCAGCCCTCGGGCAATGGGAACGGGCAGGAGAGTTGGAAGAGGGCCGCTGAGGTGACGAGTCAGCTGAAGGCGCGTATTGAACAGATGAAGGTGAGTTCTTCCGTGTGTTGCCGCCCACTACTGATGAGCTGAGAAGCATGGTTACTGACAAAGATACCTGAATAGGCCAAGCAGGGATATGGTCGTTCATGAACAATACACGCGAAGGAAATTTGATGTTAATACAAGTTACTTTCTTTTCTTCTCCTCCTTCTTCTTCCTCCTCTCTTTCTTATTTAATTTATTTATTATCACGCTGTCTTTGATGACTAGGGAAGAAAAAAAAAGTGTGGGAAGGATGCATCATTATTACTGTTTACTTTGTTTTTCATGTTAACGAGGCGTTGGACTCATACCCCCTTGATGCTGATGGGCTAAAACTATGATATACCAAAAAAGAGTAATGGAGTGGGTTCGAAGCGCGTGTTCCTTAGTTTGATCTATCATCCCTGCCCTGGCCCTTCTCTCCGCGTTTGCCCTCATCCTCTTTGTCGTTGTCACCCTTGCCGTCTTCCTTCTTTTCAGAGTCACCCGCATCTTGGCTCTCATCCTTTTTGTTGTCCTTGTTGTCTCTCTTGCCATCCTTCTTGCCGTCATCTTTCTTTGACTTTTCTGGATCATCACCTTTGCCCTCGCCCTTGTGCTTCTCGCCGTCCTTCTCGTCACTCTTGGATTCCTTCTTCTCCTTCTCCTCGGCCCGCTTCCTCTCCTTCTCCTCAGCCTCCACCTTGACCCAATCAGTTTCCGTATCCGCCAATCCCGGCTGTCCCATGCTCGACCGCAGGTAATCCACGCTGAGCCTCTTGGACTTTTCTATCTCTGCGCGCCCGACAAGGGACACACCAATTGCTATCCCGACCATGGCCGTCAGGAGGAAACGGTAGTGCCCGTACCACGGTGGGGTCCAGCCGCGCTTGCAGGCCTGCGAGTCGGCAAAGTATAAGCCTACAAAGGCGGCGAACTGGACCGTCAACCCGAACTCTATTGGCAGGTAGAGGGTCGGCCAAGCTACTGCAGGAGCGGCGACGCCCATTGCGTATCGGAAGCGGGTGCGGTCGGCCAGGGGCGCCTTTTCGGCGTATTCGAGACCCTGATGCCAGATGTTTAGACGGGGCTCCCTGCACGTATATAGAGAGAGTGTGTAGTCTCTTACCCAGTGAATTGCTCCTAGAAAGGAGATGATCATGGCGCCGTATCCTAGCTGCACGGGCTCCAAGATGGACAGCATGTGCTGTGCCTTGTCGTGATTCGTGAACATGATGTTGCCGATGCTACTTCCCGTCGGGTACGTCTTTGCCAGATCCCATCCCAGGTAGAGGGTTGACATGGAGGTGGCCAGGTAGGGGACCGTGCCGGCTAGACCCAGCAGGTGTGATTCTTTGGGGATGTCGCCGAGTCTGAATGCTTCCCTGACAATGTTCTGTCCGTGTGTTAGAATCTCTCCTGGAATCCTATCTCCGACCCCCAAGATTAGCATACTAGATCATGCTTGACTCCCTCGTTGACGCCCGGTTCCGAACCAGGCAGCGTGTGCTCCTCAAAGAGCGGACGCGTCGAGCTATCGATCGACACGCGGGCGGGGTCTGACTCGAGCTTTTGCTGGGCTAGCTTGCGCTCGGCCTCACGGTCAATAGAGGACTGTGGACGGCCGTCTTTGCTGTTGCAGAGTCTGCTCGAACTCGAGAAGAGTGTTACTGGTGCTTGGCCCAAGGCCGGGCGTCTCTGCTGGTGAAGGCGGGGGACGAGGGTTCGTTGCGCTGGTGGCCGCAGGAAGCGGGCCAGAGACGGGTTGGCTCTATACGGCATTGCTACCGGTGTCGAAGGATTCGAATGCAAAAAGTGGTCTTCACCGGTTGTTACAATCGAAGTTGGGTCACGAAACGATCAATAGCAGCGCGCCGCTTGGCAAGGGAAGAAAGGTGACGGGAAGACATTGTAAGAGGGCCGACTATATATTGATCAAGATTCAGCGAGCCAATGGCCGTGGCTATAAACGAGTTGTCGACGTCACCATGCCAAACACCAAAACAAAGTGCGAGCTGGCAATACATCATCAAATGGTGATGCCTATGCCGTGCCAAGAATACGAAGGTCTTACGTCGTACGGGATGAATGCATGGGAAATTTGTCTGGTAAATTTGGGTCCCACGACCCTCCATTGAGGAATACTGACGTCATCAACCACTTGCCATGTTTCGTTTCGCCTTACAAGCATTGAGGTCACTAGCAACGCCGGATCTATACGCCATTTTCATCGTGGGTTTTGCTATCAACGCGCCCGCTTTGAGGGAAGACTTCGACGGAAATGTGGGCAGCATAGTAGAAAGCCTCCATCACTCCGTACCATCCTTCGCATTGACCTGGCCGTCCTTGATGAACAGCTTTCCATTTCTCCTGGATGATCGGCTTCCATGCTCTCACGAATTGAGCAATAGTGGGGGTAGTTCTAGTGGTTAACGGGCTTCATCACAGCGCTATCGTCCACTACCGTAGATATGGCGTAGCACTGAGCACACCGATCGTGCTCGCTAGAACCGAGCTTTCTCCCCTGCAATGCCCTACTCTTCTAAATCGCCTGATTGGGCGGCCCCTCCCCGACCGATGTCAGCCCAAGTCCAACTTGTTGTACGGCTTGCTGCTTTCTTTCCCCATCATCGAGCCTGACAATTTCCTTGAACTTCACCACCACGGCGACACCTTTTCCGATCTCTGCCAGCCATTCGATCTGGCAAGGTGTCACATTCTTTTCCGTTGTCCTGTTTGCTTTCTTCGTCCATGCATTTGAGCTCGCCGGCAGCCCATGTAATACATACATACAATCTAATCCGTCAAACGTTTCCGGCCAACTGAACAAACCCGTCCCCAACACCATCAACCCCTCCCCCCCCCCCCCCCCCCCCCCCCCCTCACACTCTTTTTCTTGGTAGAGAACCATAGCACATGCTCTGATGTTGTCTACCTGAAATACCCACCGTCCCGGCCTGCTTGAACGCACGCACGCACGCACGCACCAACGAACGAGAGAAGAATAGATATTACCACGATCCCCGATTGCCCGAGCCTGGGTTGAGGCAGCCTCTTACCTGCCATGCTAGAAGGTCTGGTTGCCGGGTTGCTTAATCGCTTCCTGGGCATGTACGTCAAGAACTTCGACCCTGCACAGCTCAAGGTCGGCATCTGGTCCGGCGATGTCAAGCTACGGAACCTGCAGCTGCGCCGCGAGGCCCTCGACCAGCTCAAGCTGCCCGTTAACGTCATGGAGGGCCATGTTGGTGAGCTGACACTTGTTATTCCCTGGTCCAATCTGGGCGGTGCTCCCGTCAAGGTCCTCGTCGAGGACGTTTTCCTGCTTGCTAGCCCCAGGGAAGAGGACGCCTACGACGAGGATGAGGAGGCCATGCGCAAGCAGCGTCTCAAGATGGAGAAGCTCGAGAGTGCAGAGCTGCTCAAAGAGAGGAACCAAGAGGGTCTAAGCCAGGAGGAGCAGAAGAAAAACCAGAGCTTCACCGAAAGTTTGGTGACAAAGGTCGTCGACAACCTCCAGGTCACTGTGAGGAACATCCACGTCCGTTACGAAGACTCCATCTCCGCCCCCGGACACCCTTTTGCTCTTGGTGTCACCCTCCAGGAGTTCAGTGCAGTCAGCACCGACGGCGAGTGGAAGCCCACCTTTATCCAGAACTCGGGCGACGTCACCCACAAGCTAGCCACCCTCGGCGCCTTGGCAGTGTACTGGAACACCGATACCGAGCTTCTCGGCCCCGGCAGGCAGACCGCGTCCTCCAACGATGCCATGTCCCACGACGTGGTCGTTGCTGCCCTGAAAAAGATGATCAAAGGAGAGAACCATGGCCACCAACACCAGTTCATCCTACGACCCGTCAATGGCCGTGCTAAGATTGACCTCGACAAGACGGGAGATATCCGTGTACCCAGGTTCAAGGGCAACTTGCTCTTTGAGGAGATTGGCCTCGTCTTTGACGACGACCAGTACCGTGATGGCCTGATGATGGTTGACCTCTTCCACTACTTCATCCGCCATCAAGAGTATAAGAAGATGCGACCCAAAGGTGCCACGCCAAAGGAGGACCCCAAGGCGTGGTTTCGGTTTGCTGGAAACGCCGTCCTGAACAAGATCCACGAGAGGAATCGTCGCTGGACTTGGGCCTACTTTAGGGAACGCCGAGATGACCGCAGACGCTACATCGAGCTGTTCAAGAAGACCAAGCAGCAGCAGCAGCTCAACCCCGAAGAGATTGATGATCTGGGGGATCTCGAACAGAAATTAGGCTACGAGGACCTGCGCTTCTGGCGCTCCCTTGCCCGCAACCAGCTCAAGAAGGAGAACGCTGAGGCTCTCCTGAAGCACCCCCCGCAGCAGCAGCAGCAGCAGGGCTGGGTCTCGTGGCTGTGGGGCTCCAAGCCCGAGGAGAAGATCGAGGAGAATGAGGAGAACATCCAAATCACCGAGGAGCAACGAAAGGAGCTTTACGATGCCATCGACTGGGATGAGAAGACAGCTCTCGCCGACGAGGTTGACATGCCAAGGGAGGCCGTCCAGTTGGCTCTCGAGACATCCCTGAGTACTGGTAGCTTCACGTTGCGAAAGAACTCCTCCCACAACAATCCCGTGGATCTCCTCAGTCTGCACTTTGATCTTTTCAAGGCCAAGGCTCTGCAGAGAAAGGATTCCTTCCTGGCGAACGTGAGCCTTGGAGGACTCCGCGTCAATGATGGCACCACCCCCGACAGCCTCTACCCGGAAATTGTGCGCGTCAAGGATGCCCCCGACTCCAAAAGGCGCAGAAGGCTCTCCCTGATAGAGTTGGAGAGGACTTCCAATGAACAGGCAGACCCTTTCTTCCAGTTCGAGATTGAGAAGAACCCCATCGAGCGCGAGGGCGATATTGCCGTCGTGGGAAAGCTGAAGCCGCTCGAAGTGATCTGGAACCCTAATTTCATTACTGGAGTTGCCGACTTCTTTAGGCCTCCAGAGAGGCATATGGATTCCATCGCTGCTCTGATGGAGACTGCCGGCGCTACCGTGGAGGGCCTTCGTGAGCAGACCCGGGCTGGCCTGGAGTTCGCCCTCGAGGAACACAAGACTATCAATGCCGAGCTGGATCTCCAGGCACCGCTCATCATCATCCCTATGACCATCACGGCCCGTGAATCAACCTGCTTGATTGTTGATGCGGGTCACATTCACGTGAATAGCCAGTTGGTGGACCAGGATGCCATCAAGGAGATCCAGTCAAAGCAGCGGCAGGCCTACAGCGACGAGGACTTCAAGAGGCTCGAGTCTGTCATGTATGACAAGTTCCTTGTCAAGCTCACGTCCACCCAGGTTCTCATCGGCCCTTCAATCGAGAATACAAAGACCCAGCTCGTCAAGAAAGACGGGCAGTCGCCCCTGCACATTGTAGACAAGATCAACGTTGACTTCGTCGTGGAGACGTCTATCCTCCCCAAGGCCCCCAGCCTCACGAAGCTCAAGGTCCATGGACATCTACCTATACTGCATGCTGCCATGTCAGATTCCAAGTACAAGAATCTCATGCGCATCATTGATGCCGCTATACCTCGACTGGGTAACGACGAGCCCCAGTCTGGGAGACCCAAGAAGCGCCATACTTCTCGCCGGCGATCGTCCAGCGCCCTGTCCAACAAATCGCGAAGAAAGTCCGCACATGGCCGAAGTCACTCAGGCGCCTTCCCCTTTATGCAGCCTTCGACAGCAGTGGTGCTCGACGACATAGACGACGAGGACAGCGACAATTTTGAGGATGCTGCTGATGGAACAAACGATGAACATCTCAAGGTTCAGCAGCGCAGCTTCGAATTCAAGTTTACAGTCGGAACCCTGAAAGGATCTCTGTACAAGAGTGATCCCGACAGGCGTAAACCTGATGCGCTCCTCGTTGAGCTGGTCGCTGAGAGGTTTGACCTCGAGTTCTACACGCGGTCCTATGATATGGCGGCCGAGGTGTCGCTCGGCTCCGTCACTGTCGAAGACTTTGTGGATAAGCCTTCGGGAGAATTCAAGTCGATCGTTTCGTCGGGTGATAGCGAGGACCTCCAAGCGGGCCGCAGTCTTGTCCACGTCAAATTTGTCAAGGTCAACCCCCAGTCTCCAGAGTTCATGCCTGTCTACGAAGGCGTGGAGACAAATGTCAATGTCGCTGTGTCAACAATCAACCTGGTAGTCACACGCAAGACACTCTTGACGCTGCTCGACTTCATTCTCGTCACCTTTACAGGCGGCAATGATGACAACGAAACCAAGGCGCCTCGAGCCATTACCGTCTCCGATGAGGACAGCAAGCAGACGGTTGTTGTGCAGGGTCAGAATGCCGGGGCTATTCGCGTCAAGGCCGAAATGAAGAGTATTCGACTCATCTTGAACAATGATGGAATTCGTCTTGCAACGCTGTCTCTCAATCACGCCGATACTGGCATATTCCTTCGCGGGAAGACTATGCGAATATCATCCAAGCTCGGCGACCTTTCCCTCGTTGATGATGTGAACCAAGGTGTCTCGGCCGATTCCAACCTGCGCCAGCTGGTGACCATCCAAGGGAAAGAGCTCGCCGACTTCCGCTACGAGACCTTTGACGCAGAGAACACCAAAGCATACCCTGGCTATGACAGCTCCGTCTACCTTCGAGCAGGTTCCGTTCGTGTCAATTTTGTTGAGGAGCCCTTCCGCAAGATCATCGAATTCCTGGTCAAATTCGGGAAGATGCAGGCTCTGTACAATGCAGGCCGCCAGGCTGCAGCGAATCAGGCCACACAGATACAGAACAGCCCCAGCCGAATGAAGTTTGACCTCGTCGTCCGAACGCCAATCGTAGTCTTCCCGCGCCTCGTTATCCCCGGTCAGCCCAAGCATGATGTGGTGACGGCCTACCTGGGTGAACTGTACGCACAGAACAAGTTTGCTCCTATCGACGATAGTCAGGACTCTCCCATCGCTACCAAGATCTCGGCTGGTATCCGCAACATTCGTCTCACATCCGACTTCAACTACCCAGGGGATGTATCTGAGGAGCTAGAAATGATCGAGAACGTTGATCTCGGCTTCAACATCACTCATGCTGAACATACGCCGGGCTCCGAGCGACCGGAAATGGAGATCGAGGGATCCATGTCCGACTTCAACCTTCGGCTGACCCAGTACCAGCTCAAGTCGCTCATGGCCATCTCGAAATCCGTACCAGCTGCGTTCGCAGGTGACGGTAGTAGTGGCGATGAAGAGGTCGCACGATCCGTGGACCAAGACACCCTCAGGCGTGCCAGGACTCTGGAGGTGGCACCGGACTCGCAGAATTCTGTTGACCTGTCGCCAGAGCTTGGGTCCATCGGTAAGGCGTGGACCAAGCTCGACCTTGCCTTCCATGTCAAGATAATTGGTCTGGAGCTCCTCATGGCTCGCGAGGACGAGCCTATTGGCGATGTTTCTTCATCGAGCCTCTCTCGATTCTCGCTAGACGGCACCAAGGTCAAGACTCGCATGCTGTCTGACAACTCTCTGGAGGCAGAGCTTCTAATCGATTCGTTCACCATCAATGACAGCCGACCACGAGATTCTAACCGATTCCGCCGCATCATGACATCGGCCAATAATGATGTCCAGCAGCTGATGGCTTCGGTGACCATGGCGGGAGGCAAGGAGCGCAGCGTCATTGCCATGGCCACCATTGACAGCCCACGTGTCATATTTGCACTCGACTACCTCTTTGCCATTCAGAAGTTTGTGTCGGAAGGTCTTGCAGCAGACGAGCCCCTCGCTGTCGACGATGAGAGCATGGCAGAGACACCAGATGAGTCCGAGACCGATTCCCTGAAGGTCGCCTCTAACGCCCCGGCATCTCAGCACACCGGGTCTGCTCTATCCAGGAGGCAGAGCTCGGACAGAAGCCGTGCGGGTGCGCCCGAAGAGAAGAAGTCAACAATGAGGGTTGCCTTCAGGATCAACTTGGTCGACGCGCAGGTCATACTTATTGCCAACCCGCTGACCTCGAACTCCGAGGCTATTGTGCTGAGTATTCGCCAAGTCCTGCTCTCGCAGCAGCATGCTCTCACATTCCAGGTGTCGCAGATCGGCATGTTCCTGTGCCGTATGGACAAGTTCGAGGCGTCGCGCCTGAGGATAATCGACGATTTCTCCATCCAGATGAGCATGGACAGCTCCAAGCCTCTGGCCACCAACATCCACATTGAGATTGAACCTCTCATCCTGCGCCTCTCCTTACGTGATATTCTTCTCGCCCTCCAAATCATCACCAAGGCTGGCGAGCTCTCTAGAGCTGAGGCCGACACGGACGATCCCCAGGAGACAGCCGCAGAGCACAAGGCCAGGGATCTACGGAACACCAGCACGAAGCAGAAGTCGGCCAGTGGCCGTGGCCAGTCCACCATAGCAAAGACGCAAGGGTCCCAGGCTGTTGCTTCCAGGGATGACCCGCAGCAGAGCCGGCAGAACCAAACCAGTTCCGTTACCGTCAAGAGGCATGAAGAGCTTTCGGCGACCGTGGAAGGTGTTCGAATCGTTCTGATTGGCGACCTCCACGAACTGCCCATACTAGACATTAGTGTCAAGGGCTTCACTGCTTCAGCAGTCAACTGGTCATCCAACCTCAAGGCCGAAGCTGCTATTGACCTGTATACGAACATCTACAACTTTTCCAAATCCAGTTGGGAACCCCTCCTGGAGCCTTGGCAGGTTGGCTTGGGCGTCGCCAAGGACCCGACATCGGGCCTCTTGTCGGTCGACGTGGCATCGAAGAAGGCGCTGGACATCACCGTCACCACTGCATCCATTGCTCTGGCTTCCAAGTCGTTTGACTTCTTGACGACGGAGCAGGATGTCCTGAGCAAGCCACGTGGACACGAAGCCCCTTACCGGATCCGAAACTACACGGGGTTCGACGTTGTCGTCAACTCCAAGAGTCCTACAAGCGAGGAGCCCATAACGGCACGACTGGGAGATGGCCAGGAGGCCCCTTGGACCTTTGAGCACTGGGAGAAGATGCGAGAGAACCTCCTTACCGAGTCCAACCAGAATGATGTCAGCATTACCCTCGAGGGCAGTGGGTTCGACCCCGTCAAGAACGTGCGCCTTAACCGCGAGGGCGAATTCCTCTACTCCCTACGGCCCAAGGCGGACGAGATTCTCCACCGGATCTGTGTGGACGTGAGCCTGGGATCGGACAATGTCAAATACGTTACGCTGCGTTCCCCTCTTCTCATCGAGAACTCAACTGAGATCCCCGTGGAAATTGGCGTTTACGACGAACGCGAGGGTCATCTACTGAAGATTGAGAAGATCGCTCCAGGAGAGGCACGACCCGCGCCCGTGGGAGCTTCCTTTGAGAAACGGGTCCTTGTGCGGCCCGACTCGGGCTTCGGTTACCAATGGTGCGGGGAGCAGCTTTGGTGGCGAGACCTGTTGAAGCGACCGACTAAGCAGGTTGTGTGCAAGGGGGACAGCGGAGAGCCATTCTATTTCCAGGTCCATGCCCGGTTCAACAAGGCCAGCCCCTTGACCAAGTAAGTTTCAATTTTTCCCCTTGGCTGATACGTCTGATATGTCTGAATAGTATGGGCAGGACTAACAACGTGAACCAAAAGGTCGTATCCTTACATGAGAATCAAGCTGTCTGCCCCCGTCACTCTTGAGAACTTGCTGCCATACGACTTTAAGTACCGAATATACGACAAGAACACTAAGAGGGATTGGTCCAACTTCCTCCGAAAGGGTGGCGTCAGTCCGGTACACGTCGTCGAGCTGTCTCACCTTTTGCTTCTGAGTATCGACATGCAGGACACAGCCTTCAAGCCGAGTGAATTCTCCATCATCAATTCTGGAAGCAGCGAGGACTTCCGACGTGAGGGCAAGATGCTGGTCAAGGATGAGCAGGGACTTCCGCTGCAGCTCAAACTACAATACTTCAAGATCCCCAACAGCGGCGGGGCCTTCAAGGTCTCGGTCTACAGTCCCTACGTCGTCTTGAACAAGACGGGGCTGGACCTGACGGTCCGGGCAAAGACTTTCCTCCAGCAGGCCCGTTCAGCGGCCGGCCAGAACGCTCTGATCGACATATCCGACGAGGACCGTCCCAAGGCCCTGCCGCTCATGTTCTCCTACGGGAGCGACGACAATAGGAATCGTGCCCTGCTCAAGGTGGGCGACTCGGAATGGAGCAAGCCCCAGAGTTTCGACGCCATCGGGAGCACGTCAGAAGTCGTCCTGAACTCGGCGTCCCAAAACAAGGAGATCCACCTGGGTATCACGGTCAAGTCGGGAGACGGAAAGTACAAGCTGACTAAGGTCATTACCCTGGCTCCGCGATTCATCCTGGAGAACAAACTCGGCGAGGAGCTTCTCGTGCGCGAGCCTAGCTCGCCGGGCTACATGACACTCAAGCCGGGAACACTTCAACCCCTGCACTTTATGCAGAAGTCGGCAGTGAAGCAGCTATGCCTCTGCTATCCCGGTGTGAATAATCAATGGTCGTCCCCCTTCAACATTGCCGACATCGGCACCGCGCACGTCAAGCTCGCGAAGACTGGTCAGCGCCAACGTCTGGTTCAAACCGAGATCCTTCTCGAGGACTCGACCGTATTTCTCAACTTTAGCCTGGAGACGAAGCATTGGCCTTTCTCGATGCGCAATGAGAGCGACACCGAGTTCACCTTTTACCAGGCCAACCCTAACATCGACGAGGACGGTGTCGAGGACCGCAGTGGATGGCGGCCGGTCAGATACCGCCTGCCTCCGCGAAGCATCATGCCATATGCCTGGGACTTCCCGGCAGCCAAGCTCCGTGAGATTGTCATCAGGGCAAACGACAAGGACCGTCATGTCAAACTGGCCGAGATTGGCAACCAGGTGCCGTTAAAGCTCCCGACCCCCGACGGGCGCGAGAAGATTATCGACATCAACGTGGCAGCGGATGGGCCGACGCAGACGCTCATCCTCAGTAACTTCAAGGCCAGCAAGAGTGCGTACAAGCCCAAGAAGGCACTGGAGAGGACCAAGACTGGCCTCGAGGCGTTTGAGGTCAAGGACCAGGCCACGGGTGCGTCATTCCTGGCACAACTCAAGCTGTCGGGCATCGGCATATCGCTCGTCAATGCACAGCTCAAGGAGCTGGCCTACGTTACGTTCAAGGATGTGCAGCTGCGGTATTCCGACTCCCCACTGATCCAGACGGTGTCACTCGCCATCAAGTGGATCCAGATTGACAACCAGCTGTACGGCGGTATCTTCCCGATGATTGTATACCCCAGTGTGGTGCCCAAGAAGGCGCAGGAAGTGGATGCGCACCCGTCGCTGCACGCCATGGTCAGCCGGGTCAAGGACGACTCGTACGGTGTACTGTACATCAAGTACGCGAGCATCCTTCTGCAGCAGATGACTGTCGACCTAGACGAGGACTTTGTGTTTGCGCTGCTCGACTTCTCCAACGTCCCGGGAGCCAGCTGGACGGTGGTGGAGGAGGAGGGCATGCTGTGCGACGACAGCCTCGACATTCCCCAGCCGACGCAGCAGCAGGCGGGTCGGGATATTTATTTTGAGGTGCTCAACATCCAGCCTATGCAGGTGGACCTGAGCTTCATGCGGACGGAGAGGGTGAATGCCGAGGACAAGACGTCGACGCGCAACCCCATCATGTTCTTCCTCAACGTCATGACGATGGCGATTGGCAACGTCAACGACGCGCCGGTGCGGTTCAACGCGCTGATACTGGACAATGTGCGCGTCTCGACGAGGGTGCTGATGCAGAACGTGATGAACCACTACAGCCAGGAGGTCATGTACCAGATCCACAAGATTCTGGGGTCGGCCGACTTCCTGGGCAACCCGGTAGGCTTGTTCAACAACATCTCGTCGGGAGTGACAGACATCTTCTACGAACCGTACCAGGGTCTCATCCTGTCGGACAAGCCCGAGGAATTCGGGCTGGGCATCGCCAAGGGCGCGGCGTCGTTTGCCAAGAAGACAGTGTTTGGCTTCAGCGACAGCTTCTCCAAGTTTACGGGCAGCCTGAGCAAGGGCCTGGCGGCGGCCTCGCTAGACAAGCAGTTCCAGGATCGCCGACGCATCACGCGGGCGCGCAACAAGCCCAAGCACGCGCTCTACGGTGTGACCACGGGCGCCAACAGCCTGTTCACGGGCGTTGCGTCTGGCGTGGGCGGCCTGGCACGCAAGCCGCTCGAGGGCGCGGAGCAAGGGGGAGCCGTCGGGTTCTTCAAGGGCGTGGGAAAGGGCGTCCTGGGCCTGGCGACGAAGCCGGCGGTCGGCATGCTGGACCTGGCGAGCAACGTGAGCGAGGGTATCCGCAACACGACGACGGTGTTTGACGGGCAGGAGCTGGACCGGATCCGGTTCCCGCGGCACATACCCAACGACGGCATCGTGCGGCCCTACAATGGGCGCGAGGCGCTGGGCCAGTACTGGCTGAAGCAGGTGGACAATGGCAAGTACTTTGACGAGGAGTATATCGGACACCTGGAGCTGCCGCGGGAGGACATGGTGGTCATGGTGACGTATGCGCGGGTACTGCTCATCCGGTCGAGGAGGCTCACGAGCGAGTGGGATGTGCCTCTCAAGGACGTGCAGACCATATCCAAGGAGAGGACGGGAGTTAGTCTCACCCTGCGCGGCGGAGCCAATGGACCGTTCATCCCGGTCGGAGGAGGTAGTGAGAGGGGATTTCTGTACAAGATGCTCGGGGTTGCGGTGGAGGAGTTTAACAGGAGGTTTAGGGGGGCAGAATGAAGTTGATGATTTGGGGGGGGGGGGGTTTTCCTCTCTCATCTCATCATTTATACCTTGTCCCATCTATCAGTATGACGTTTCTTTTTTTTTTCCTCTCTTTTTTTTCTTCTCTTTTTGGTTCCTTCATCTTGCACCTCGATTTTTTATTTTTTATGTTTTATTCCCTGTTGTCAACAAAAGTGTAGAACCGAATATAACTACTGTATCTCTAGGTCTTTCAGTGGGGATTGTTGGCTGATGCATGTGCGTGACAGTGGCGTCGGAGACCCAATAGATGTAGACAGAGCTGATGGAGTCGATGTAGATAAGAAGGCAAGGGAAGGGTGAAGCCAAGAAATAGTTTGGGAGGCAAAGCAACAAAAGGATCCAATATTCTGTATGACGTATCAGACAGGCCATGACCAAGATGGAAATTTGAGATATGAGGACGGCGGACTCCGACACTTGGGTACAAGTGTATCATGGTATTATTCCCAGCAGTTGCAAGAAGCCAACAGCCAGGAATCGTTGATTACCCTCTCTGAGCGCGGACTTTGGGGAAGAGGAAGAAGAAGAAAGAAGGAGGAAGAAGGAGAAGAGAGAAGAAGATGATGATGATGAATAAGAATAAGAAGAAGAAGAAGAAAAAGATGATGATGAAGAGGTGTGTGTGTGTTGGTTATTCATAAGCCAAGGCGGAGAAGACCGCAATACGTATCTGGAGTATGTTGAAGATACGGGGTATCTTTATCATACGTGATGGTGTTACTCGCAGATAGATAGAGAGATAAGGAGGATCTGAAAGGGAGGGGGGGGGAGGAAGCATGGTAATGGTCATCCTAGGGACTCTGCGTTGAGGACGAAGATGGAATAATCGGCTATGTTCTTTTTGAACTGGATAAAGAGACGACGTCTGTACGACGATCATTTTTTACTCTTTCTATTTTATAACGACGCGCTTTTGTTTTACTTTCCCGCAGAGTTTCGTACGAATATGTTACTATTGACAAGTACAGAGAGTATTGATACCGCTCCGTATGCGGTTGTAGCTGTGGCTGTGGCTGTGGCTGCACAAGTTGATAATATGATAATCTGTACAGATTAGTAGTAGTAATAACACTATGGGGGAGGGTGTGAAGACTTCAACTGATGGATGGGAGAAGAGGGTCGGTTGAGCGGCCGCTGAGAACTAGTCTGGAAGAGGCAAGAGGATAGGTGATGAGGTTGGTGAGCACTGCGTGCAGAGTACTCGTACTTGTACGAGCAATACAGAGCACAGCGTGACACAAGCTCTGGACTCGTGTCGTGGTTGTGGTGTCGGGACGACGAGAGGGAGAAGTCTTGTCGGTCTTATCAATTGACAACAGGCGCGCGCACCACGGAGGTAGAGAGAGCAGGTACAGATTACGGGGCACTAGGTAGCAGAGACTTGATCTGATACTGCGGGTTCTGATGCTCAAAACGGTGGTGGGAAACCGGGAATCCTCAACTGATATCAGCTATTTAGTACGTTTAGTACTAGAGGAGTAATTATAATGATACAGGGTATTAGCGTCGCGATGCTTGGCAGAGATAGGAGGGGGAAGAGGGAGATGGCTACAGGTATCAATTACGGGGTTTAGGGTCAGGAGGAGGAGGAGGAGGAGGAGGAATGATTTTGAGAATTCGATCAGATGGGTGGCATATCAGTTGCCTCCCAGATCGGGAGCTGGAGATGGGCCGGAGCATCAGCGGTGACTTTTTTGCTCGTGGGACGTCTCGACGAATGATGAATGATGGTATAGGATGCTGGATGTCGAATGTTCCATGAGAGAGACCAGCAGCTTTCCAGGGTCATCCAACCGTCCATGTACGGAAGTATCATCACGGGGTGATACAACAGGTAATGATAATGATATGCATCGAAATCTTCTAGAGTGCCAAGACAAGAGACTCTTCTCTAGTCTGATGCGGTGTCTTAGCATCATCTCTCAGTCTCTCCTTCCCTTCTTTTTTTTCTTTCTTTTTATTTCTTGATTGATCCCCCCCCCCCGTAAGAGAGGGACTCACGGGCCATGATAAGGACAGTGTGAATTATCCACATCGACATACTGTGTGGGATACCTCTTAGTACAAATCAGTACTAATATCGGGGAAAAAAGAAAAATTTACTATCTATTATATCTGTATTCTCCGTATTACGAGTATCAATATCAATACAAGATATGGATTAGATCTGATTCACAGTGTCGATAGGAGCAGCCCACCCCAAAAAAAAAAAAAAAAAAAAAAAAAAAAAAAAAACACAGAGAGAAAAGAAAAGGCCCTTGACTCTCTCTGGTCTCGGTCTTGCCGCTAACCCTTCTTTGGTTGTGGACTCCGCGATGCCAATGGAAACCAGTGGGAACTCTCCTCTCCCCGTCCTCACCCTCATTCGTCTCCTTTGTAAGGGAGGGAAGGATAGATATACATCACGAACGAGCCACTGGAGCGGGTGGTCAATTGCATCCCAGCAATCCGTTCTTGCCAATGATACGGGGTACGTCGTCGTCGTCGTCGTCGTCGTCGTAGTAGTAGTAGTAGTAGTAGTAGTAGTAGTAGTAGTAGTAGTAGTAGTAGTAGTGATAGCAGTAGTAGTATACGTAGTACGAGCTAGTCGTGATATCGTACTCGTAGTGCGATTCTGGGGTTGAAGCGACGGTGCTTATCAGTGCGTAGACTTTATAAACGGAAGGAGATCCCGCCTCTGCTCCTTCTCTCCCCACCTCGGTCGCGTTCTTGATCTTGCTCTTGCCGTTTGACTCTGTTTCTTGTTTCCGTCTGTTTCTCCTCCATCCTGCTCTTGTTCCTTACATCTCTAGGCTCTCGCCCTAGAATTCCCTCTCTTGACTCTCTCCCTGGGGACTCTCCAGATCTCGTCCCTGGAACGTCTCTGCTAGAACAGACCCTCTCTCCCTCACGCTCACGCGACAGGTGATTGCGACGAAAGTCAGGCGACTTTCATACTGGTACTACTGGTAGTTCACGAGTAGTGTCGGTGAATAGTGTCTACGAGTAGAATCTACGACTAGTATTGATATTTATTACAAGTCTCGACTCCCTCCTCCCCCGCTCCGTGGCTCGACTACTCGTGCGCCCTCCCAAGTCCCGACGCTATTACGACTACGGAGTATATACCTTTTTTTTTCTTGGCGAACGGAGAGAAGGGTAAAAAAAAAAAAACCCGGAAAAAAGAACAAGGGCCCCACGTCTCTTATCTGTGCGTGCGCGCTGCAAGACCGTTGACCTTTTCTTCTTCTCCTTCCTTTTTCTATTATTCTCTCTCTCTCTCCCTCTCTCCCTCATCCTTTTCTCTCTGCACGCAAAGCAGGGGAAAGAAAGGTCGAGTTGAGCTGGAAGAAGAAGAACAGAAGCTTGCCGAGCAACTTCGTTCTCGACGACCGTCAAGACGCCTTCCTCGAGGCCGCCAACTCTTACGGCATCCAATCGCCGCCGACATGGCCGACAGCCTCGATAACAAGGTCCCGCACTCGGACCCTGCGTTGGACCCTGCCCACCAACACACCCACCACCACCACAACCACGCTCCCAGTGCTCAGGCCCCCGAGGGAGACGTTGTCTACACCACCGGCACCACCGTCGACCCGTCCAACGTGCCCACCCAGCATCACCATGTCGGGGACCACTCGCCCGCATTGTCGGAAAAGGCTGGCGCCTACGACGACGCTGCCAAGGCCGAGGCTGGCGGCGCGATCCAGAGCCGCGAGGCCTCGCAGGAATCCGTCCCTCTGCCCTTCTACAAGAAGGGCGTGGCGGGGGCCGTCTACCGCCACCGTCGGCCCATCATCCACTTTCTCATCTTCGGCCTCTTCACCGGCTGGTGGATAGCCAGCCTCATCCTCCACCGCAACGACAAGAACTGGGTCGTCCCCTTCCTGCTCTGGCTGGCCATCCAGCTCCGCCTGCTCTTCTTCTACGTCCCCATCCGCTACGTCACCCAGGTCATCCTCTTCGTCTGGTCCAACACGGCCGTGCGCATCTACGATGTCATCCCCGCCAAATTCCGCTCCCTGGCCGGCGGTCTGCTCACCGCCGCCGTCATGATCGTCGGCTCCTTCGTCACCAAGGAGGACGCCGACAACACGCGCGAGAACCGCGCCGTCAGCCTGTTCGGCATGTCCTTCATCATCTTCTTCTTCTGGGCCACCAGCCGCCACCGTCGCCAGGTCAACTTCCGCACCGTCTGGGGCGGCATGCTGACCCAGTACATCATCGGCCTCTTCGTCCTGCGCACCAAGGTCGGCTACGACATCTTCAAGTTCATCGCCGACCGCGCCGAGGACCTGCTAGGCTTCGCCAAGGACGGCGTCACCTTCCTCACCAACGAGGACGTTGCCGCCCTGCCCATGTTCTTCTTCAGCGTCATCCCCGCCATCATCTTCTTCATCTCCCTCGTCCAGGTCCTCTACTTCATCGGCTTCCTGCAGTGGTTCATCGTCAAGTTTGCCACCTTTGTCTTCTGGGCTCTGGGCGTCTCGGGCGCCGAGGCCGTCGTCGCCGCTGCCACCCCCTTCATCGGCCAGGGCGAGTCGGCCATGCTGGTCCGTCCCTTTGTCGCCCACATGACCAAGGCCGAGATCCATCAGATCCTGACCTGCGGCTTCGCCACCATCTCGGGCTCCGTCCTCATCGGATACATCAACCTCGGCCTCAACGCCCAGGCCCTGGTGTCGTCGTGCATCATGTCCATCCCCGCCTCCATCGCCATGTCCAAGCTGCGCTACCCTGAGACGGAGGAGACCCTGACGGCCGGCCGCGTAGTCATACCCGACGACGACGAGCACAAGGCCGAGAATGCCCTGCACGCCTTCGCCGGCGGTGCCGTCCTGGGTATCAGGATAGCCGGGACCATCATCGCCTCGATCCTCTGCATCCTCGCAGCCGTCGGTCTCGTCAACGGCTTGCTCACCTGGTGGGGACGCTACCTGGACATCAACGACCCGAAGCTCACCCTCCAGACCATCTTTGGATACATGTTCTATCCCATCGCCTTCCTGCTGGGCGTTCCCCGGAACCAGGATCTGCTCAAGGTGTCTCGCCTGATCGCCGAGAAGGTTGTCACGGTACGTATCCGCTATCTACCCTATCGGGGGGGGGAGGAGACGGCCAGTCTCCTCCCCAACCCGGCGTTCACGGGACGCTCCCTGTCCGGAGCCCTCCATGCCCTCTCTGCCTCGATGTGTGAGACCGTCTCCTGTGCCCCCGACGTCGAACTGATGAACATGCCCTCCAGAACGAATACAGCGCCTTCACGCTCCTCGCCACCGACCCGGAATACTCCAACATGTCACCCCGATCCCAGCTCATCGCCACCTACGCCGTCTGCGGCTTCGGAAACATCGGCTCCCTGGGTATCCAGATCGGCATCCTGGGTCAGCTGGCTCCCTCGCGCAGCGGCGACGTTTCGAGGCTCGTCGTCTCGGCCCTGGCTACCGGCGTCATGTCGACCCTCACGTCGGCCAACGTGGCTGGACTGGTCATCAGTGATGAAGTGTCGTCTTTTACCAGTACTTCTGTGTCGTCTTGAGGGGAGGAGGCGAGAGAATGAAACACGACGAAAGAAACGCTACAGAGAGAGGAGAGAGGAAATATGGAGAAGAGAAAGAAGCCGACCGAAGAAGAAAGAAGAAGACAATATATATATATATATGTGTATATATATATATATGTGTGTGTGTGTGTGTGTGTGTGTGTATGTATATATGAAGAAAGAGAAGACAAGCGAACCCAGTAACGAAAAAGAGACTACTGATGATGCAGGAACAGATGGAAGGTTACTACAGATACTTTGAAAAAATAATAATAGCATGATACCCACTCACTGCCAGCGTTGCGAGGAGGTGTTCCGGATGTTGAGGCGGGTAAAGGTCTAGATCTAATGTAATAAGCTATGGAGTAATATATTACTTGGCAGACTCGTGCGTAAAGCGTGGGGGCGGCTATTATTACGAATACGGAGTAGACGAGACAGAGTGACAAGGGACAAGGGGGGCGGCCAGATGACAGGGTAAGAGAGTTCCAGAGTTCCGAAGATACCGGGGCTGAAGGCGGTTAGAGTTGACCGTAGTAATAAGTAGTAGCGGTAGCGGTAGCGGTAGCGGTACAGATTACTAGGATCGAATACAAGTCAGGCCGTAGCAAAGGGTGGCACGACTGGTCGGACATGCCCGGATAGGCTGCAGGCTGCAGACAATAATAATAGGGCATAGAAGCTGTGCAGGGCACTTATATAGTTGGTTTTAAAGTTTGAAAAAAACAACAACAGCCGTGAAACATCACGTATCTAGTCTCGGTCGGCAGTGAGGTACGGGGTGGGTGCGGTGCGGTTGATTGGGTGTCTACACATGTACGGAGTACGAGTAATAAAAAAAATAATGCTCCGTAATACGCCATATTAATATACAAAGTCGTATATCGTAATAGTGATAAACCGTGTCGGGGGGGGGGGGAGACAGGAACAAGTGGGAGCACTTAATGTATTCGGGAGGCCCGGACTTGGTGGAAGCAGCCGGTCATTCGGAGCACCGAGCGCCGAGTGCGGGTATCTACCAGTAATAGTACGATCAAGATTCGAGAGGTAGTCAAGTCAGCCACGGAGAAGGCAGGCCGCGCAGAGTACGAGGACGAATCATCATGTATTGCAGGTGAAGAGAGAGGAGAGCGTACGCTCCACGACGATATCCAGACGACCGGGGGCGTGCAGGATCTATATGTATACGCACGCAGTGTTGACTGCCTGCGACCTGTGCTCGTGCCGGAATAGAATAGTAACATATCATTGCTCGCACGTATCGTACGTAGGTTGCTATGGATGCATTGACGTCACGCCCGGAGTAGGATTTGCGCAGTTGACAGCAAGGCGGGCGTTGCCGTACAGATTGCAGCTACAGTACGGAGTAATAAAATAAGAATACCGTGCCTTGATGATCATCAAAGAGAAGAAGATGGGGACACAGGTGGGCTGATCGGAACCCAACCAAAACAAGCTTCTCCTCTCTTCTCCTCTCTTCTCCTTTCTTTTCTTTTTCTTTCTTTCTTTTTTTTTTTCTTCTTTTCTTCACCTTTCCCGTTTGAAGACCATTGGCGTTCTTAACCTATCAAGTATTCATTGCCATTATCATTACTGCGCCTAATAATACGAAGTAACATTGGGACACTGGGGCTAGAACAAGACCTCGGACCCTTGTACGGAGTACAGCGAGGCGGCAGTCGTCGTTAATTTTCTTTTCGACCCTCTCCACCACGGTCCAGCGTGCTCGTCTGCCCTATAGCGCCCGTCTCGTTCCGGTATGGTGATACCTGCTACTGTAGCATGTGGCGCCGTAGCGTGCATGACATAACCCCCAGCTGCTATTATAGTCTATTATCCATCCGACCCAATTTTCCCCTCTTTTTTTCTCTCTCTCTCTCTCTCTCTCCCTCCCTCTCTCTCTCCTCTCTCTCGCCAGCGTTTCCCTTCCCTTTTTTTTTCTTTTTTTTTCTTTTTCTTTTTTTTTTCATTCTCTCCTTCTCTTATTTTCTTCCTCTCTCGTCCACTCTTCGTCGTCCCATACCCGACGACGTTTCAGCCTCACGTCTCCCTCCTTGATTCTTCTCGCGTCTATTATTCTCTTCATCTCTTGTCTGGACATATACAGAGAAGAAGAACAGGAACCCATCATGGACAATAGGGGGAGGTCGCCATCGCCCCTCAGTGGAGCCAGAGATGGCTCTCGACCAGCATCTGCTTCTGCCGGCGACAACAACGACAACAACGGCGGCGGCGGCGGCGGCGGAATCCAGAGTGCCAGTCTGGACGAGGTAGCGGCAGGCGGCGCAGGCACAGGCCCAGGCCCAGGTTCAGCAACCGCGAGTCCACCGAACCTATCGACTCCCCTGTCGGAGGACGTCGACAGCGGGACCGAGTACTTCCCGCCCCTGGATCCTACCCCCTCGGCCGCTATCCGATCCCAGACATCGCGGACCCAGACGACGCGTCCGCAGCCGCCCAGGAGCAGGGTCCGCACCGGCAGCATCGTATCTTCCAACTCGAGCAACAACGGCGGTGCTGCCGCCAACTTCTTCCCCGGCGAATCCATTCGGCAGCCGACCATTCGCATCCGGAGACGCGGCTCGTCGTCTCTCGCGCCGAAGACCGCCACCGGGGCGGCAAGTTCGGACAATCTCACCACCGCCGGCGCATCCTCGCCTTCCGGCCTCGGCGCCGATCCCGTCGTCGGCAGGGGGAGGAGCCTGTCCCAGCCTGAGAGGACGCGCACGGCGTCGCAGGATGCCCCCAAGTCGCGCCAGACACCAAGGCGGGCACCGCCCACGGCCATGCCCCGTCTCACCGAGGAGGGGAACCGGCCTACCGCCGAGGAGCTGGGCATGCCTAGGTGGGGGGGTGCGCAGCCGCAGCAGGGCCAGCCGGGCGCACCTCCGGCCATCAGGCTGAGCGGTGACGGACAGACGGATGACGAGGACGCTGCCGAGGGAGGGCCCGGCGGGAGGCTTCAGAACATGAGGACCTGGAGCAGGCTCTTCCGGCCTAGGGCGCTGTCGACGAGCGCGCAGGGCCAGGTTCAGGATCCCGATAGGAGTTCTAGGGAGAGGTGGTCGGGAGAGCCGGTCAGGCCCTTCACCGGGCCAGGCGACGACACGTATGATGAGAGGCTGGTGGATTATCTCGACACCGTTGGTACGTCTCGCTTGCCCCCCCCGGTCAGATGAAAGGGAGAGGGAGAGCTGGGAAGGAAGGAGGCAAAGGCGATAAGGGGGAACAAGATACTGACTGAGATGTAGACCCCGAGGTTCAGACTCTATCAACTCTGACCAATCTCCAAAACTCCCTGTTCGTGCCGGACCTGGGTAAATGGATCAACCGTCGACCGACGTATACCCTCTCCGAGCACAGCTTTGCACAGATGCAGAAGGTGCAGCAGCAGCAGCAGCAGCAGCAGCAGCAGCAACAGCAGCAGGAACCACAGCACCGCCAGCAGCAGCAGCAGCAGCAGACTCCACCGCCCCCCTCGAGAGCAGCATCGATCGTCGAGCCTCTTCCCGAGCTGACGGAGGAGGGAGACGGCGAGGCGGCCGACACGTGCGGCGGCGACGCGACGCAGACCGAGCTACGCCCGCGCCTGTACCGGTCCAGCACCATCACGTCCCACCTGACGGACTCGCACTACGCCGCGCTCCCGCACGGCGTGACGCTCGACGGCTGGACGGCCGAGGAGAAGTCGGAGCTGGACGACCACGTGCGGCACATGATGCACTCACGGCGTGCCAAGTTCAAGCGCACCATGAAGGGGTTTGGCCAGTACGTGCGACGGCCGCTGGGCTTCTTCGTCACGCTGTACGCGACGCTCATCACGCTGTTCGGCCTGGCATGGGTCCTGTTCCTCATCGGTTGGATCTACGTCGGGGACAAGCAGGTCTACACCATCCACATCATCGACAGCGTCCTGGTGGCCCTGTTCGCCATCATGGGCGACGGCCTCGCACCCTTCAGAGCGGTCGACACGTACCACATGATCTTCATCGTGCGGTACGCCAGGCTCGTCAAGAAGGGCGCGCAGCGGGAGCCGTCGCGGCTCCGGAAACGTAGCGTCGCAGATGATCTGGAGCAGCAGGAAGGGCAGCAGCAGCAGCAGCAGCAGCAGCAGCGGCAAGAGGATCGGGGCAACGCCAGCAGCGGCAGCGGCAGCGGCAGCGGGACGGAGATACTGCCGGCGGCGAACACCCTGCAAGGCCGATCCGACCCTCCACGGCCGGACCAGCAGCGACAAGACGCGAGCCCCAGCAACAGCAGCGCAGACAGCATCCCCGCGCACAACTCGCACATGATGCACGACAACGTGGTGGACGCGAACGACACAAAGTGCGGGCTGGAGGCGTACGAGAACACGTCGCTCACGTACGCGCAGCAGAAGAAGCTGTACCACCACCAGAAGAAGCTGGCCAAGTCGCACAGCTTCTACAAGCCGCACGAGACGGAGACGCACTACGCCTTTCCGATCAAGTACCTGGTGGCCATCGTCCTGCTCCTGGACTGCCACTCGTGCCTGCAGATCTCTCTGGGGGCGTGCACGTGGGGCATAGACTACCACACGCGGCCGATGGCGGTGACGACGGTGATCCTGTGCCTCTCCATCACGTGCAACATCACGGCGGGCGTCATCATCAGCCTGGGCGACAAGCGCACGCGCAAGAAGGACGTGTGGATGCTGATGGACAGGCAGGAGCTCACGTCGGACGCCATCAAGGAGATGGAGAACAAGAGGACCGGCGGCGACGGAGGCGGCAGCCAGACCAACTCCACCAAGGTTGACAAGACGGGCGAGTCATTTATGGAGAACGAGAAGAAGGGAGGGAGGCTGCATAAACTTTTCAAGAAGGAATAATCGACCATCTGTCTGTCCGTCCGTCCGTCTCTTCTCTTCTTCTCTTTTTTTCTTCTCTCTTCTTTTTCCGTCGAGAGTTTTATATACATATCCATGTATATACAAATCTTTTTTCTTTTTAATTTGCATTTTACAGTCCGAACAATTCGTCTTACTTTTTGTTCTCTTTTCTTCTTCTTCTTCCCCTCCTCTCCTTTCCCTTCTCTCCCTTCCTCTTTTTTTCTTAGGGTAACTTTTTTTTTCTGTTACCGTTATGGATACCAATACAGCGAAAAGAAAAGAATAATTATCTCCTCTTAGAGAGCATCAATCACTCATCTTCTCTATCTATCTTACTTCTTTTTTCTCTCTCTACGGGCGTAGATAGAGGAGAATGGTCGGTAGGGATTCTCTCATCTAGGATCAGGAATCTTTTCTCGAGAAAGGCCCCCCCCCCCCCCGGCAGGCCCCCAGAAGGATTCTTCATGTTACTCATATATATATATATATAATATGTATATGTGGAAGTATACAGCAGTATCTTGTCTTCGTATGCAACATTCAGATATAGGGCTGAGGGGGTTCTACTCTAATAGAGCGAAGCGGAGCTTCACTATCGGTAAGGGCGAGCGGAGCGAGAAGGGCCCCCGGCAGGGCCCCCGGAGAGATTCTTCAAGCTGCACATATATATATATGATATGTGTGTGTGAGTGTGTGTGTGTATGGAATTGATATAGGATACGGATACGGATAGATGGCCTACATGTAGGATTCAATAGAGACAGATTGGCGATGACACGACATGACGGATGATTGAGTGGATGGTCCTCCGCAGTCAGAGGGAGGGGCTCTCCCGGTTGGGTACCCTACAGAAGAGCAGGACGAGGTGGTTGATGAAGACATACGGTGCCATGGATCTACCGGTTCACCTCTAACGGACGGGACTCCAACTGCCGGGCGAGAGGGGAGGGGCGTTGGACGGTCCAGCCGGTTAACTGACCGGTAGTGGCTGGCTGGTACAATGTCACTGTGCAGGCCGACCAACTACTACGAGCATGTGCTGGCTGATGGGACGTCAGATGGGGGAGAGTGGCTGTGACGGTTGAACGAATTCTGACGTGGAGGCTTACGACGCGTCTATACGTCAGGTCCAGTTATCGTTCCCCGTATCACAGAGTATTTTGAAGAAGAAGAAAAAAAAAGGTCACTGCTGCTTGTTGACGTTGTTCGATAACGGGGTTGAAAGTAAAACAAGATGCAGGACGGCGATCTGGCGGCGTTTTACGGGATTCGGGCGCTCTACGAAATGAGGGCCCCAAAAAGGGGGCGGTGGTGCTGGATACGCTGCAATGATGATGATGATGATGATGATAGGAGTAATACCGGAGTATCAATACGGAGTATCAATAACGGAATATCAATACGGAGTATCAATAACGGAATATCAATACGGAATATCAATATGGAATATCATCAATACGGAGCAATTACGGAGTACATGCAAGTCATACGATGACAAACTTTGATGCCTGAGGTGACCGGATTCAAGGAATACCGAGTACGGATAGTAAGTACATGCAACATTTTTATTTTTATTCTATTACAGGCAACACCATTATGGTGTATACAACAGGTCGGTTGCAACAGGTCGGTTTCGATGGGAAAGAGAGTGTACCGAGTACGAGATCATGAAGCGTCAGATCATGATTCTTGCACCAGAGTGCACATACGGAAACGCTCGTGATGGATGTCTACCGTCAATCAGGGTCATCGTCCATGTCAACTGTACAGATTCCCTATGAGTACATGTATGCGACGGCAGTACGGGATACCGTCAAGTGTTTTACCCTCTAATTACGCGCTGCCCAGAGCCACGACGTAATTAATCGTACTCCAACCAGTCTAGCCATGGACCGTCCACGATCCATGGTAGGTATGCATGGGATGGGATGTACGAGTATGAGCAAGGGGGGAGAGTGGGACCCATCTCTCACCCTCTCTCTCTCTCTCTCTCTCTCTGCTCGTACCCGTCCGTACCTTGTCGTAATAGTGCAGAGCTACAGCAGCACACCTTGGCACTTTCAACCTCCAGGCTCCCTTCATCCTCACTCCTTCTCTCTCTCTCTCTCTACCTCTTCCGTCTTCACCCAATCCTCAACCCCCCCTCCGATCAGTTCCAATCACATCCGACGACGAAAGACGACATTGAAGAACACGAAAAAAACCACACACACACGCACACATACACACACACACACACGCATACATTACATACATACGTACAGACACACAAGAGGGCTGAGAAATACGACCGACCAGCCCTCGTCCGCTCCCTTCCCTCCCAAGCCATGGCGCCTCAGGACAGGTCCGACATGCAGATGCTGCCGCTGCACGAGCCAGGCAGCGACGGCGGCCCGCGCCAGGAGAAGAGCAGGGACGAGCCGTCGTCGTCTCCGTCGCCGTCGTACCTAGCGTCGTCGTCGTCGCCGCCGCCGCCGCCGCCGCCAACGTCGCAATCCTCGACATCGAACCCCCGAGACAAGATCCGATGCCTAGACGGCCTGCGCGGCATCGCCTGCCTCCTCGTCTTCAACTACCACTTCCTCTGGCCGTGGACGCCGTTCATCATGCTGGGCCACGGGGCCGCCCCGCCCGGGTCCCTCGAGCCCTACGAGTCGTGGGGCTCCCTGCCCATCGTCTGCCTCCTCCACCGGGGTCGGCCGATGGTGGCCATCTTCTTCGCCATCTCGGGCTACGTCGTGTGCCGGCACATCCTGCGGGCCATCCACGAGCGGCGCATCGACGCGGCCTACCGGTCGCTGGCCTCGGCCGCCCTCCGCCGCGCCTTCCGGCTGTACATACCGCCGACGGTGAGCATGCTCCTCGTCGCCGTCCTGGCGCAGATGGGCGCCTTCAGGTCGGAGACGGACATCTACAAGGGGCCCGACTCGGTCTACATCAACGGCACCGTGTCCGAGCTCAAGCTGGCCGGCGCCCGTGCCCGCTGCCCGCGCGGCATCCCGGCCGTCCGCGGCGCCGGCGGCATAGCCGACTACCTCGACCTCGGCAGCCCGGACTACCTGTACAACCTGACCGGGTGGGACGGCGACAGCCGCATCTGCATCAACACGACGTCGCAGCTCTTCGGCCCGGCCAGCGTCTACGACGGCCTCGTCAACCCGGCCGACGGCCAGATCGCCAAGATGTCCAACCTCACGCGCGGGCTCGGCACCTACGCCCTGCAGAGCTACGTCTCGGCCGGCGTCTACGCTTACCAGCACGACGTGCCCTACGCCGGGCCGGTGCCGATGCGCATCACCGGCTCCAACGTCACCAACTGCACCGAGTTCAAGCTCGTCCAGCTGGGCGGCATGTGGGAGGAGCACCCGCTCATCCACGACAACGCCACCTACGCCGTGCAGAACTTCACCCGCGTCTACACCGAGTGGGTCAACCCCTTCAACTTCGGCCACTACCACACCCGCTACGACCCCCACACCTTCACGATCCCCATGGAGTTCCGCGCCTCGCTGGTGCTGTACATCTTCCTCCTCGCCACGGCCGCCGTCAGGCCGAGGTGGCGTCTCGGCCTGGCCTGCGGCGTCGCCGCCTACAGCCTGCACTTTGGCCGCTGGGACGTCGCCGCCTTCATGGGCGCCATGGCCATGTCCGAGTACGACATCCGCGCCGGCGCCCGAGCCGGCCACTACCGTCTCCTCCAGTCCGAGTCCCCGTCGCCGCACGCGTCGTCGTCGTCGTCGTCGTCCTGGCTGGGCGGCCGCGACCAGAAGCAGCGCCGCCGCCGCGCCTCGGCCGTCCGATGGGCCCTCACCATCCTGGCCCTCCACCTCCTCTCCTACCCGGACTCGTCGGCGGAGTACACGCCCGGCTTCAGGATGCTGGCCGCCTGGATGCCCAGATACTACATGCCGATATCGGGGTGGATGTACTACCAGTCCGTGGGCGCCGTCCTGCTCCTCCGCTGCATCCTGCACGAGCCCGTCCTGTGCAGGTTCCTCGAGTCCCCCGTGCCGCAGCATCTCGGCCGCATCAGCTTCTCGTTCTACCTGGTCCACGGCCCCATCCTGCACTCGCTGGGCTTCTGGGTCATGCCTCGACTCTTCGACCTGTTCGGCCAGCCCGTCGGCTTTGCCATCGGATGGACCGTCCTGCTCAGCCTCGCGCTGTACGTGTCGAATATCTGGTATAGGCATGTCGACACGTGGAGCATGGGTGTCGGTCGCAGGGTCGAGAGGTTCCTGCTCGAGGATTGATGATGTGACTTTTTTTCGTCATCTTATCCATCCACTCTCCCCATCTTTTTTTTTCTCTCTTCTTCTTTCCCTCAGTGTGTAGGAAGTGGAAAAAGACGGAAAAGTGTGTAGAGTAGTATTATATATATCCTTGCTTTTTTTTTTTTTGGGGGGGGGGGGGGGGGGGGGGGGGGGGGGGGGGGGGGGGGGGGGGGGGAGAGGGGCGGAGTGGTATGTTTGGTCTTCAAGTCCTGGATGTCGGAGTTTTTTGTTTGTTTTTTTTTTTTTTTGCTTTCGCTTTGTCGCAAGTTTGTTGATTGGACTGGACGGCGGCGTTTCTTGAGGTTGCTTTATATCAGACTTGGGACTTGAGGGTAGAAGAGAATTTACATGATGGAATTAGGATAAAAATTCAATGTATTTGCTCTCTGCCTCGATTGTTGATGAGATTTGTTGGATGAGTGTACGTGCGTGTACATGTTGGTTTTGATGCTATCAACCCTCTCTCTCTTCTCTCTCTTTATCTTCATTCTTTTCATTAATTTTTTTCTTTCTTAAAAAAAATTCTTTTCGCGTACTAGAACGTGTTACTCTTCTCGTATGAGAATTGTCTCACAATCAACCCCCCCAACATTGCACCGTGATGATATCATCAACTCACCCGTTCCCCCCTCCCCCATGGTGAGGTAATATTCCATCATCTCCCCCCCCCCCAAATCCAGCTGACCACGACTCTTGACCCACCGCGATTGTCGATCGGAAGATGCAATCTTGTAACTACGCAGTGATATATACTCCGTAATATGTACTCAGCATCATCATTACTCAGTGCTACTCGTACGGCGTCCCTTCTCTTGTAATAGAGAGTCGATAACGGTACTAGCAATCAATCATTGTATTACTTGGGAGCCCAGCGTGAGACTATGTGAGGAGAATTTCAGCCACGATGAGGCAGGCAGGTATGACGAACGACCCAAAAGGACCCAAAGGGAGGTTGGAGGTTGGCGACCGAAGGCTGGACGAGGCAAGGATGATGATGCAAACGGGTGGGACGTGGGAGATGTTGGGTTTCTGCATTGGACGTTGCGGTGATTTCAATGGTGGAGACCGTTTTTCTTCTTTCTTTTTCTTTTCTGACCATGATCCACGGACCATACAGAATAACACATAGTGCTGCGTATACGGAGCAGTAGAATAATAATAGATAATGATATATAATGTATAATAATATATAACAAATGATGTGAATACATGGCGCGCTACCCTCAGCTCCCAGCGTCTACTCGTAGTAGGTAATTGATAGTTGATCACCATCATCAAGACCCGCCCTCCTAGATCATCGGAGGGGATTCACCTTCTTTTCCTCCTCCTCCTCCTCATTCTCCTCCTCTTTTCTCTCTCTCTCTTATCTGGAGGTTCAAACCCCCTCTCCCTCCTCCTCCTCCTTCTTTCTCTCCTTCTTCTTTTCATCTATCCTCTTCAGATAATACTGCTAAAGATCAGTGCCGAAAAAGAAGAAAAAATAAAGAAACAATGGAGGCACAACCGCTCCTCGGACAGCAGCAGACTCGATCCCAACCTGACCAGTCTCAACGTCGTCCAAGCTCCTTTCGGCAGCGCTTCTCCCACATGCGTCGGGCATCCCTGAGCGAGGTGCACCCTCAGCACGGCGACACGGAACCCGTCCTACCTGCCGCTCCCGTGGCGCCCAACCTCGAGACGCGTCTTCATAAGCCTAACTGGGCTCTCTCCGACGAGCCTCCCAATACTTGGGCACAGATACGACATTCTTGGAGGGAAGAGTTTGCGTGAGCTCCTTTCTTCTCCTTTCTCTCCTCCTCTTTCTTCTCCTCCTCTTTTTCCTTCCTTATTCTTCCCCCCTTCTTCCTCTTCTCTTCTTCTCCTTTGATTTCCATCATCTTCCACCCCCCCCCCCCCCTTTTCACTTTGTCATTCATCCTATCCTTTCATAATATATACATGTATAGATCCTGATATGTCGTAATGTGCGGCGACGGTGCTGACCGAGAGACCATGTGTAGCGAATTCTGGGGAACCTTCCTCATCCTCCTGTTCGGCGCCGGCGTCGAGTGCGAGGTCCGTCTGAACTACCACTCCGGTGACGTACGCCAGAACGCCGGCAACTTCCTGCAGTGCCGGCTGACGTGGGCGGCCGGGGTGGCGCTGTCGGGGTGGATGGCCGGCGGCGTGTCGGGCGGGCACTGCAACCCGACCGTGACGCTGGCGCTGACGATGCTGCGCGGCTTCCCGGTCCGCAAGGTGCCGACCTTCGTCATCAGCCAAGTTCTCGGGGCCGCCCTGGGCGCCCTGGCCGTCTACGCCAACTACGCCTCCGCCATCGCCGAGTACGAGGGCGGCGGCGGCGGCCGGACCGTCCTGGGCGACCACGCCACCGCCGGCTTCTTCTTCACCCTGCCGGCCCGCCACCTCTCCTACGCGGGCGCCTTCTACACCGAGGCGCTGGCCTCGGCCGTCCTCGTCGCCCTCGTCTTCGCCCTCGCCGACAGGAGCAACCTGGCCCCGCCAAAGGGCACCCAGCCCTTCTGCATGTTCCTCGCCCTGCTGGCCATCGGCTCCGCCCTCGGCGTCAACACCGGCTACGCCATGAACGGCGCCCGGGACACCGGCCCCCGCATCGCCCTCTCCATCGTCGGCTACGGGTCCCAGGTCTGGACCCACGACTGCTTCTACTGGATCTGGGCGCCCTGGGGGGCCGCCATCGTCGGAGGCCTCGTCGGCGCCTGCCTGTACGATGCCTTCATCTACGTCGGCAGGGACTCGCCCTTCAACCTTCCTGGTAAGGGGGGCGACATCGCCCTCGGGGACGAGGTCTAGTCACCGCCTTGCCATGTCCGGATGGCCTCCTTACCGTCTCTGACCCTTGACCCCGTAATCTACGCCTGGGTTCGGCATTTCAGAGATGAAGAGGAGGGGGAAGCGGTTTCACCTGCGGAAACCACTGGGCTACGCATCACGACATCTTTTTTTTTTCTGCTCTCGGATGGGCTTTTTTTCTCTTTTTTTCTCCTTTTCTTTTTCATTTCCTATCGAATCTCTATCTGTTTCGTCATCTCCCTTTTAGAACACGCTAAGCTAGACGAATAGACGTTATACTCGCTCGAATATAAAAGACGCATTCGCCAACTTCGAGCTTGCACAGATTACTGACCCTCGGGATAGCTGGTGCTGTGGAGCGACGACAACCCTTCCACTACTTGAGGAGGTCCAGCATGCATGCCGGTGCACTCGTCACGAGAAGCGACCCAGCAGTCCGTGGCCGTTGCCGGGGTCGTCGTAGGTAGACAGGTGGGCCTCGGCCTCGACCCCGGGTGCCCTTCGCGAGGAACTGGCTAGCGGAAGTAGCCCGACTGGATGGCGACGGGCGTGATGGTGAAGAGCTCGAGCTCGAGCCCGGTGTGTATCGACTCCGTGGGGGGCGCTGGCGGCCTACTTCCCGCCTGGTCATGGCGCAAGGCGCCCACCACAGCCCGCCCTACCAGCTCGTCAGGCTGCCGGAGCCGACGACCGTGGCCCGCGGCACGGAAGATCCATTGCAGATGAGCTTCGGGGAAGGTGGTGTTTCTTTCTTCTGTTTTCTTCTTCAAGGGGCGACGCATTGCAGAGTAGCAGGCTATCAGAATTGGAAGCAAATGCACCAGATGTATCTCCTAGATGCATCTATATACTCTCAATACGAGATGATGGCATTCAGCGTCCGCGGCCGTTCCCCGAGTCCTTCCATACCCGGGGACCGTAAGGATGTGGGAGAGGGAGGGAGGGGCATCGGAATCATGTCAGGATTTGTTGAGGAACGGATAGTGCATGTGAACTGTGTAATGCGTATCTGCGTATCTCCGTACAACTTCTCGTCTCCCGCCCGGGCTCTTATGCCGGCGTTGGATCCGCACCGTTTGTTTCATGACGTCCAGCCCTATTGTCAGTCACTTAACCGCCCGTGAATTCTGAAATATCCCGCGAGAACAGCATATTCACAGCGGCGGGGGTGCGTCTATGGTATTCGGACTGTGGTTGCGTCATTGTTCTTCACATCTCGGCCTTGCCATGCCCCGTATCACATGCGTCCAGCTGCAAGTTGGCGAATCGCTCTTCTGCATCGTAAGCGCCTTTCCAGATTGACTAGATGCCTCTGAGATTGACAACCCCCCGAAGGAGGAGAGGAGAAGAGGAAGATGAACGGAGGGGACATGAGCTCATTATACGTACGTGGTAGTACGGAAACGTCGCATAGCGTAGGAACATAAAAGCAGACGCTAGCTGCCATTGTTAACGACGATTCGCCTTTTCCTTTCCGGGTTCGTCTTCACCTTCCCCTTGGGACGCACATCAACACACTTCAGTTTCTTTGGCCACAGCAATTCTATACAATTCCGTCTACTCCTTTTCCCTGATTTCACCATCTTTTACGTTCCTGCCTTCTCTTCTTTTCTTTTTCTATCTATGTTGATCTTTCCTCTATTGCTCTCGATTCCTCTTGCCATCTTGTTCTCTCTCCGGCTCACATCTCTCGCTTCCCCTCTACTGCCCTTTCATGGTACCTGTACAGCTTTCGCCATGACTGACGATATCCCTCTCTCGGTCAGCGCATGGGACACTGCGCCAAGAAGGTTCGATGTCGCCAATGCTTCCATCAACTATCAGTCTGCGTCCCACATCAATACAAAGCGATTCCTCCTCCTCGGGGCCTATTGGGAAAGCCGTACTGAGATCGAAGATTCTGCAACCTCTGCCCACCGCTGGGTTTCTAGCGACAACATGAAAGGGTCTGAAGGGAATCTGAGATCCTGGGGTTCGTTCAACTCATACTTGGACTCGGTTAGACCACTAGGGCAATCGTGGGGAATTTCTTCTTTTTTTTTCGGTCATGTAGACATGTATCATGGTCAAGATGCTGAGATCATTTCATGGTGTCATGTCTAATCCTAATGGATAGCAAACCTGAAAGCTTGTATCAACCATTCTCACCAGATTGATTCATCAGCTACGCATGTTCTGGTATTCAGACTTGCACGGACTCGCGAGAGGAGCGGGTCTCCACTTCGACCGGATATCAGACCAAAAGCCTTCCGGATATGAGATGGGATTATCATTCGCCTCACCTCCTGCTGCACTTTGGTAGTGAGGCATGACAGTTGTGTCTGTCAGACTTCTGCGGCGGAATAATACCGGTCACTTAGCAGTTCTAGATTGACGGATCGGCAGGAGGTTTATCCGTATAGTTATATCATTCAATTGATAGAATAATAGCACAAAATAGCGGTTATATCAACCCTCTTTATTGATTCTTAATTGATCTATATAAGGAATAGTGACTATAAAGATGGCCTTTTCTATGGGAACAACGCTGCTCGGCACCGGAATAACCTCTTCCGGGGATTACTCATCTGCTTGTTCCAACAGTGTTGTGTTGTGTGCGGGTAGTATGTGTTTTGAGTCGCATACCCTGTACCGACATCGAATGAAGTCTCACCGTGATAAGTTGTGTCGGAGTGTATGAGTACAATTTGATTCTTGCCTTACTTGTTCCACCTTTGCACTATTGAATGCGTTATTCTGTCGATATCTCATACGCTCTTTAACATGTATAGGCCTGATAAAACTTGTGCAAGTCAGAAAAAGCACGCATCTCTCTTTTTCATAATCCAACGTCATCATATATGACACACTGTCTCGATCGAAATCCTTGGCCCCTATCCTTCACAACTCTCTCACAAACACGCAGGAAAACCCTTCAAAAAAAGTGTAAGAGAAAACAACAACAAAACAGACCACATCTCCAGCAATGCGACCAATCTCTATCCTGAGCTCTGCCCTTCCAAGCGCAGCATGGGCAGCCCTCGTCCCCCTGGCAGTCAACACGTGGGGTGGGGCCTTCACGGTGGCGACGGACGAGGCGTACGCGCGCCTGACGTCGGGGTCGTCGGCCCTGGACGCAGCGCAGGCCGGCTGCGCGGCGTGCGAGCGCAACCGGTGCGACGGCACGGTCGGCTACGGCGGGTCCCCGGACGAGTCGTGCGAGACGACGCTGGACGCCATGCTGATGGACGGCACGACGCTCAACACGGGCAGCGTGGCGTCTCTTCGGCGCATCCGCGACGCCGTCGCCGTCGCCCGCCTCGTCCTCGACCACACCGACCACACCATGCTGGCTGGGGACCAGGCCACGGCCTTTGCCGTCCAGAACGGCTTCGTCCAGGAGAACCTTACTACTGCCGAGTCCGCAGCCCAGTGTGCTGACTGGAAGGTCAGGGACAGGTGTCAGCCGAATTACCGCGTCGACGTCGTCCCGGATTCCCATTCTTCGTGCGGTCCATATACCGCTCTGAATAACTCCTCCCCTCTCACCTCATCTTCATCATCATCATCATCTTCTTCTTCTTCTTCATACTCTACCACGTCCTCCCTGTCCCTGGGACAGCAGACGATGAGCAGACCACAGGCCTCGCACGACACAATCTCCCAGATCACAATCGACCTCGGCGGCTCCATGGCGGCGGGGACCACCACCAACGGCGCGTCCCACAAGGTCCCCGGCCGCGTCGGTGACGGGCCCATCCCCGGCTCGGGGTCCTACGTCGACGGAGAGGTGGGCGGGTGCGGCGCCACCGGTGACGGGGACGTCATGATGCGCTTCCTCCCCTGCTACCAGGCCGTCGAGAACCTCAGGCGCGGCATGGACCCCACCGAGTCGGCTCGGGACGTCGTCGCCCGCATGCTGAGGCGCTATCCCGACCTGGCGAGCGGCGTCGTCGTCGTGGACAGCCGTGGCCGTCACGGCGGCGCGGCGAGCGGCTGGACCTTTACGTATGCTTTTCGAGGGGGCGATATGAATGCTACCGAAGTTGTCACCATCGAGCCTCTGAGCTGAGATCTCTCTTGTCTTCCATTCTTCTCTCATCTTCCCCTTCTCTCTTTCTATCCCCCCCCCCCTTTTTTTTTTTTTTTTCAAATATCTTCTTCCTTCTTTTCTAATACTCGTTTCTACGTTCGCCCCCGCCCCCCATACATATAGGTTCCTTGGCTTTACCAGAGCACAAGTACGTGATGAATCTTAGATCTTGTTTGTTCTTTGGAAAGTGGAATGTATTTGCATATTTGCATGCATGAAATGGTTCATTGTAAGTGCTATTGCTTGATCAAACTCACTGATAGTAATCCTAGATGAGAAGCAGAAAAAGAAGAAGAAAAAGCCAGAATAGAAAAGAAAAGCAGGATGCCGATATATTTCAAGTCAAAATCGGCAAGATGAGACAAGATAAAACTCCAAACAAATGTTGCCCAGCGATCAAACGATCAAAGAAAATGTCGAAGAAAAAGACCAGCCATCAACGCCATCAATCGTATTTCAAATCCTCCATTTATATCTTGTTTCTTTGTTTCTGAAGTGGGGAGAGGGGTGACAAGGCCCAAAAAGAAAAATGACCGCCCTGAATAAGAAAGGAGAAAGCAGGAAAGAAGAGAGGGAGAGCAAGGGCCAAGAAAGGCCAGAAGAAGAAGAAGGGACGAAGAGCAAGGGCCGAGGCTAGACGCGGACAAAGTCCTTCTCCTTGTCCTTTTGGTTCTTGAACAGCGCCTTGAGCATGTTGCTCTGCCTCTCGCCCTTTGGCCTGATGACCATGTTGAATGCATCATCCTTCTGGTTCCGGCCGTCCTCGATGGCGCGGAAGGGAGACTTGGTGGGGACCTTGGACTTCCCGCCACCCGCGCCGACCTTGCTGCTCCCGCCGCTCTTCTTCTCCGTCTTGGAGGAGGAGGAGGCCTTGGGCTTGGAGGCCGAGGTCGGCTTGCTGGACGTCTTGCCCGTCTTGGCGGTGCGGGACGTCTTGGCAGTGTAGCGGGACTTGGCGTCGAAGTCGTCGTCCTTGTCGTAGCCCTTCTCCCTCCTGATGGCCTTGAGGCGGGCGCGCTCGGCCTGGGGGGTGATGAGCTCCATGTCTGCGCTCTCGGCCTCGCCGAAATCGGGGATGATGCCGCGCCTCCACGAGTCGATGGCGCTGAGGTCGTCGTCCAGGACGTCGCCGCCCACTTCCATCTCCTCCTTCTGGAAGACGAGGGCCTCGTCCACGCCGTCGCTGTAGGCGGTCGGGGCGCCCCTCCTCGTGGGCGTCGGGCCGTAGTCGTACGCGGGCTCCTGGTGGCCCGGGTACTCCGACGAGGGGCTCATGGGCAGGGCGGGCCTGGACTCGTAGGCCAGGGCCTGGCGGGCGGCCTGGGCCTCCTGGACCTTCTTGAAGATCTTCCAGCCGCCAAACATGACGACGGTGACGCCGGCAACGGCGGCCGTGCCGATCAGGAACTGCGGCGAGGCCAGCAGGCCGAAGACGGCGGGCGAGCTGCTCTTGAGCACGCTCAGGAAGGCAGGCGACATCTTGGTCACGATGCTCGACAGCTCGGCCAGCGTGAGCGCCACGGCCGCCGCGCTGTCCGGGTTCTTCTGCAGGTGCGTGATGGTGTGGTTGGCCGAGTGGCGCACGCATTGGACCTCGTCTAGGATCGTCTCCACCTTGTTGACCAGGTCGCGCGCCTCCTTCTCCTTGGCCTCCTCCTGGCGGTCGGGGTCCAGCTCGATGCGGTCCTCCAGGTCGGGCGGCACGTCGCCGTAGGCCAGGTTCATGTCGATCGACTTGCGGCGGCCCTGGCGGTCGCTCTCGGGCGTCGACGGCGGGCTGCGGTACGCGCTCTCCGGGTGGCCGTGGGCGTCACCCACGGACGACCGCCGACCCACGTAGAAGTTGGAAGGGTAGCGCTCCGCCACGGCGTAGTTGCGGGCGTCGTACTGCGTCTCGGCGTACGGGCTGCGGTGGTAGGCCGAGGCGCCGCCGCCGCCGCCGGCCGACATCGCGGGCGCCCTCTGCGAGGGAGCCGTGCTCGACACCTCGCTCAGCGTCTTCAGGTTGTTCTCGGTCAGGGCAGGGCGTGCAGACCTGGCGCCCCGGTGTTCCCTGGTCGAGTGGTGGCGCCTCGGGCGAGACACGGCGCTACCGCTCACAGACCCGGCGGCCGACCTCCGCGACGACCGGGGGGGCGGGCCGGCCTCGTGGACGGAGCGGCTGCGAGAAGGGCCATGACGGTGGTGAGGGTTGGGGGAGAAGTAGTCGTCCTTCTCGTCGTAGTCGTCGTACGCCTCGTAGTAGTCGGCGTACTGGTCGCGGGGATGGTGAGAATGAGCGGGGGCGTACGACTCAAAGGTGCGGGCTCGCTGGAGCTGGGCCTTTTCCGTCTTGACCTGTGCCTTCTTCTCCTGGTAGGCTCCCTTGGCTTCCTTGAAGATGTTGAGTAGTTGTTTACCCTGGTCGAGGAGTTGTCTGTCAGCTCGTAATTCTACCGTGCATCGATCGTTACTGGCCCGGGTTGGGGCTGTTTTTCCATCTCCCAAGGCGAGAGTGGGGGAGAGAAGGGGAGTTAACGTACGGTGCTGATGATCTTGCCCGAGTTGTTGACAATGGTGACAGTCTGTTCGAGCGGCATAATGGGCGATGCAGAGAAGAGAGAGATGGGAAAGAACTGAGTCGTTCCCCTGTGAGGCGGAAAGCAGAAGAGAAGAACAAGCGGGCTGGTTGACTTCTGCTTTAAAAGGTCTCTCTCGTGGAAAGGCTGCGAGTTTCGGCTCCTTCTGACGACGGGCGGTGAGGGTCTGTATCGATTTCAGGTTAATCCCGGACAGGCTGTTTGTACTGCTGCGTGTGCAGTGTGTACTCGTAACGCTCGGAGCAAGAGGAGGAACAGAGTACGGAGCAATGATGGTTACTCGTAGTAACCGTAGCAATGACTTGCTCGGTGATACTCCTCCGTACCCTTTCTTCTTCTTATTAATTGCTCTTCTTCTTTCTCTCTTCCGGAGCACTGCAGCAGTATTCACTACCTGCGGTAGTGGTACTAGTTACCGGTGGTAACTCCGTCGTAGTATTTTCGGTGGCAACTCGTAGCTCTTGTGGTGGGCACGAGTATATGGAGTAGAATAGGCGGGGCAGAGGGGGGGGGGGGGGGGGGGGGGGGGACGGGGGGGGGGGGGGGGGGGGGGGGGGGGGGGGAAACACAAGTTGACCGACTTTCAGCCGACTTTTCCTTGGAATTCCTTGGTATAAATAATAACAACAAAAGAAGGGGAAAAGAAAGCTGGGGAGGGGTCTGACAAAAGAGAGAGAAGGGGGGGAGTGTAGCCCCTGGTTGAGCTGAGAGGATGGAGTCCTAAAAGGGCCGGCGGGACAGCGAGCAAGATCAGACGGTCGGTCACAGTGACTGAGCCAGTCGAAGGAGACGACTTCTCGGATGACGACGACGTGGGGGGGGGGGGGGGGGGGGGGGTGGGAGATGCCCTCCTTATTTACGTGTCAGTCCATTTCCAACCATTTTCCAAACATGGTACTCTATCCCGCTCTTTCTCTCTCCTTATTTATTTTTTTCTTTTTTTTCTTTTTCCCTCTTTTCTTTTCCATTTTCTGTTTTCTGCGTTGGTAAGGAAAGAGTGGCTGACTCAAACCGATTGGGGATTGGGCATCGGTATCTTTGGTCTCTCCTCGCGCCCACCCCCCGGCGCTTGGGATTCTTATTAATCACATCCCCCCCCTCCCCAAAGAGTTTTGTCGCGTCTTGGCCTCTTGGGACGCGCAGCCAAGCAGGAAAGCCTGATGACGGTTGGACAGCTTCGCGTCAGGCGCGCAGATGGAGCAAGGTACATACGACGTTGGTGTACGTATCCGCCCTCCCCGCCTTGATATCTGATGATCCACGAGACAGGTTGATGCCCGAGATGACGGGAAGGAACGGGGGGGGGGGGGGGAAAGGGAGAGAACACATTGGTGCCATCCGCAGAGTACCTGTATAGTCACAAGTAGTGGTCGTACATGTTTACAAGTACCGTCTTCCCTGATACTACTAACGTCGTATCGTGCGTGATCAATATTACAGGTATAGACCAGTCAGGATGGACGACGGATACGGGCCGTAGCCGCCCAAGTGGCTTGTGGCTTGTGGCCTGTGGCTTGTGGCGTCAATGTGCAGCTTTCATTGCTCGGAGACGTGCGACCTGCTTTCGTATTGTGTGGCTGAGACGCTGTACCCGTCGTGGCTGATACTTTCCAGTCTCAGCTTGGCGGCAGTTGGCGTTGGCCTTGGACAACTGTTCAGCTGCCAACGTACTGCTCGTAAGTGTGAGTGACGACTGCTGCTCAGGGCACGTTGATGCGGTGGCACGCGAGTGTTATATACCATCATGCATCGGGGAGCCAGTTCATCCCCATTATCCCACCACCAGCTGGCAGACCCCTGGGCCCTGAGTATCTAGATGGAGAACCCCCCCCCCCCCCCCCCCCCCCCCCCCCCCCCCCCCCCCGTTATGTGAGGGGACCCCCCCCCCCCCCCCCCCCCCTGGCCTCGATCCAGAAGACGAAATTTTCCGTACGATATAACATGTTGATAGAGAGGCTAGGAATTAATGACCGTTTTTTTTTTTTTTCTCGTTTGCTTCGTCGTTGTAGACCCACCCAATGATCACGAGCGTGGTCGGGTACAGGTACGAGCATATCCAAGTCCCAGGCTTTTATTCTATTTCCTTTTATCATTTTATCATTTTATTAATTTATTGCTGTATCATTTCGCTTTCTATCCCACAGGTAAAGGCCGGGCCTTTGGCAAGACCGCCCACGTGTCCAAGGTTTGGAGGATTCATTCAGGAAGCTCGTCCCATTGCGGCGTCCGTGGGACCATTAGTGATCAATACTCATCCTCAACCTTCCCCGCCGTTGCCACTGCCAACTACCAACTGCCAGCTGCCAACTGCCAACTGCCGACTGCCCAGACCGTCTCCTCTCCAGTCAGGACTGGACCGGTGGATAGTGCTGCTCACTTGTACTCGTATCGTCCGGCCGCCGGACCGTTGGCTCCCTTTCAAGGGTTGCCATCGACACCGCGTTGGCCACCCAAAACTCCACTCTGCCACAGCCCACGGACCACGGGGCCACTCCCCACCGAAGACTGACGAGACAGACGTGTTTGTCTCGGTTACTCTGGACCTGTACATGTCACCGAGCAGATACTGTGCAATCAATAACCCGTACTCCGTGCGGTACTGCTCCGCGACATTCGGTAGTATCACCGCTAGGCATCATCACTGTACTCGTAGTATGCAGCCTCCTGATCGCCCACCTCCCCCAGCCACCGACCGACACCGACTGATACCTTGCCGGGCCGCGGTGTTGACTCCGCACGGGGGGGTCAGAGTATCGGCGGCGATACTGCCCAGATGAGAGCGCTCGCTGCGCTGTACAGATGTTGATGGGGAGAGGAGAACTTACGAGCAGTCTCTTACGATGGATGGGTTGGTTGCGGATGATGTAATATGTGTGCTGTCCGTGTGGGTTCCAGAGTCGTAGAAGCTTCCATTGCTCCTTCTCATCGACTGAGCGGTATGCATGTTGTATTTAACGGTACATGTAATCTGTACGGTGCATCCATCCATCCATCCGTCCATGCGTCGTGCATGTGTGTGTTTATCTAACCATTATACCATGGAAGCAATAATACCTCAACCTCACACACGCACATGACCACATGACATTGCACATTGCACATCACTATACATGCGAGATGATGGTAATACGGAGTATCAATACTACTGTACAAGCGGTGTTAGTAATAATGCTGATACATGTAACGCCTAGACGTAGAGATACTCGCATGTACTACGTGCACAGCGTCGCAGTCCATGTCCAGAGCTTCCATCGAGACTTTTTCTCTGCCTGCGGCCAGGCCTGCGGCCAGGCCTGCGGTCTGCCTGCCCATGTGTACGTTCGGCTACCGCTCTTTGGGCCTCGACGATTGACGACACCTTGCACGGCGGGTGCATACGAATAGCAATACATCAGCCAAGGCCGTAACACGTCACGTCGCAATTCTCTATATCTGCGACAAGCAAGGCCTGTTCATGTTGAACAGCAAAGCAGCAGCAGCGAGCAGGTGAAGCGGCATTTTTACTCAGCATCCTCACGACGAGGCCTTGCGGTACGAGCCCATGTCTTACGGCTCGGCTCATTCATCGTACTATCAGCGCACATTCGAATTGAACGAGTCTACGGAGTGATGTAGCCAGCAAAGACCGATCGTCCGCACTTACCGCTCCTCTCTTTCCTTCCTCTTTCCCTTCTTCCTTCCCTTCTCTCTCCTCTCTCTCTTCTTCTTGCTTCTTCTTCTTCTTCTTCTTCTTCTTAATTTATGAATCTAATCAAATTTTTAACTCTATATTACTCCGTAGATTGCCCCTGAAATCTGCTGATCATGGAGTAGGCTGGGCGTTGCACCTTTATCCACTAGAATTAGAGCACTCGTGCCTGCTGCTTCCACTGTAATTCTGCCCTCGGTGCCCTGTACCCTCATTACGGAGTCCGGAGTCATATCAAACAACCGACAGTTCCACGTGACGACACCATTCCCAGAATGGCTAGATTTTTCGATTTTTCTGATAGGCTCTGGTCTAGAACTTGGTCTGCCTGGAAATGGAGGCACCTGAGCGTGTCAGCCTTATATAACATTGGGAGCTACGAGACATGGTCATTGCAGTCATTTGATAGTGGGTGGCAGCAGTAGGAGATTCTATGCTAAGCCAAGCCTTTCTACTTTGTACTGCTAGCTATTGTCTACTATTAGCTACTGCTACTACTACTGCTACTACTTACCTAATACTACTACTTACTACTACTACTGCTTACTACCATTACTACTGCTATTTCTACTTACTACTATTACTACTACTACTGATGCTACTGCTACTGCTATTACTACTTACTACTATTACTACTTACTATATTACTACTTACTATATTACTACTTACTACTATTACTACTTACTACTATTACTACTTAGTACTATTACTACTTAGTACTATTACTACTTAGTACCATTACTACTACTATCACTACCCAAGGTATCGTCAGATATGAATGATACCATGCTAGAAGCCTAGGCACGACTAGCATCTATCTCGAATAGTGAATAGTACCGTCTCCCATACTCGTGCAGGCTACATATTACAGATAATACTTGTACAATATCGTACGTCGTATCAGCCAGGACCAGGTGTAGAATTACCGCTGGGCAATCACGCCAGATATTACAACTAGACTCTACGAGCAACAGCCCCCCCCCCCCCCCCCCCCCCCCCCCCCCCAGTCTGGATGGTCCGTGTCCCATGTAGATCTATGCTCATATCCCAGCCCAGACGTTCAAATAAGGCGTAGCATTGCAGCGCTATCCGACCATAACTCCTCGTACTCGGTAATCCGTACGGAGTATTATCACCCGTACAGTCAACAACCTACAGCTAATGTACTGGAGTCTAGCGTACGGAATAACCGTGCTGCTTCTTCTCCTCCCTCTTCTCTTCTCCCTCGTCTTTTCCTCTCCTCCTTGTCCCCTCTTGTTGAATTTATACGGGCTGCTTTCCTTCTCTTTCCCTCTCTCTCCCTCTCTCTCTCTCTCTCCCGACTCCACAAAGGGGGTCGTTTGGTCGTGTTTGACCCTTGGACTTGAGATTGAGGGCCCTTGTTCTTCCTAGTCCTCCTTTCCTTCTTTCCCTGCCCCCCCCCCTTGTTCTGTAGCACATAGTCGTAACCTTGTAACTTGACCGTCCCATCTCCTCTATTCGTATTGAACCATTTCTCCGTGTGTTTTTTTCTCTTTCCTTCTCTTCTTCTTCTCCTTCATTTTTGGCCCCCTCGCCCCCCCACGACATAATTCACATAACATTCACGAAGAGCAGATACTATAATCATAGACGATCCCCCTCCCCCTCCCCACCGCCCCCGACGATCCCGACCAAAAAAAAAAAACAGTCCCCGCGAAAGCAATTATCAGATAGAAAAGAACAGGCACAGAAACCGCCAGTCAGCCTCTGTCGTCTGGGTTGTGTGTGCGTGTGGTTGTGTACCCATCATTGGGTAGTCTACCCTGAAGGGAGACGACAAACGACAAGAGGCGACAAGAAAGAGGCGATATAGAACATACACAATTAGGACCTTTCCACCCTTCGCGCCGACTCGATACGCCCACATCTTTTTTCTTTTGTCTCATATTGCCTCTTCTCGTACACAAGAAAGACGACGAAGAAGACGAAGAAGAAGACGAAGAAGGAGAAACACACACACACACGATTCCATGCCATGATGGCGCCTTCGTCAATATCTAGCTGGGCGGTGGTTTTGGCACTGATGGGATTCCTGGGGAGGGTCGAGGGTATCGAAAACAACTTCGACTTCTACCCTACCGACGCGCAATCGTGCCTGTACAAGGCGGGAAAGGAGGCCAACTGCCCGAAGCAGTCGGTGTCGCAGCTCAACAGCTGCCAGTGCAACAACGGCGGCGACTTCATCACACTGACGGCCGAGTGCCTGGGCACCGACGATTCGCACGACCTGCGCTCGGTCTACACCATCATGGACGAGGCCTGCGGCGACTCGTCCACGCCGATCGGGATGACGAGGGCCGAGTTCGAGGAGGCGGCGGCATCAGCATCGGCGACGGCCTCTGCGACGGCCTCTCCCACAGCGACGACGACGGCGACGGCGACGGCGACGGCGAAAGCGACGGCCACCAGCTCGGCATCACCGTCGTCATCACCCACAGACCTGTCGGACGGCGGCACGCTGTCGGACCTTACGGACAGCATCGGGACGGGAGGGGTCGTGGGCGTCGCCGTGGGCGCCGCCGCCGCCGTCGCCGGCATCGCAGCCCTCGTCTCGTGGTGCTGCTTTCGACGGTACAAGAAGCGCAACGGAGCCAGGTCAGGCAACGCCAGCAACCCGAGCGACGTCAGCCTCAGCAACTCTCAGGCCCACCCTATGCTCGGCCCCGGCGGCGGTGCCGCCACCCCGGGCTCCGGCTACCTCGATCCCAGCGACGCCAACGCCGCCTACTACGCCGGGTCCCCGGCCGGAACGGTCTCGGCCCTCAGCCCCAACCAGAGCACCAACCAGTTCCCCGTGTCGCCGTGGCACGCGTCGACCCCTCCGCCGCCCCAGTCGGCCGCCGGCGGTGCTGCCATGGCCTTTCAGCACCCGCACGAGTATCTCCAGCACCATCATATGCAGCAGATGCAGATGCAGCAGATGCAGCAGATGCAGGGCCCGGTCGAGCTCCCGCCAGATAACATGATCCATGTCAAGCAGGATCCTGTCGAGATGCCGGGTGATTACGCTCATCGATGAGGTGAGAACGAGTTGGGATAACACACACACATACACACACACACATACGCACCGACACAGACACATACACACATACACACATACACACACATATACACCCACACACACACACACACATATCATATATATATATATATATACCCTGTGGCTTCTTCTATTCAATTTTCCTTTGTCGTTTGCGGAGCAATCTGTATGATCATTTGTCTTGAATTCCTCCCAGCCCCCTCCCCCGGCCTCCTTTTATAATTTTGTTTTCGGTCAATGTCTCTTTGTTCTGTGCTTTCTCCCCTCCCGGGGGGAAACCACAAAAATCTCATGGCGTCTAGAGCAAGGTTTGGGAAACTCCTGGAAAGATTAACGAGCCAGGATTGGAAATTCTTTTTATTTTTTATTTTTATAATGTATACCTTATATACTATATACTATATATCTGATGTTAGGATGGGGGGGGAAGAATTTTTTTTATCTAGAATATGGGGGGGGGGGTTTTCTGGAGGAAAAAAGGGGAAGGGAAATCCGTTTTTAGATGACAGGAAAGAGACTCTTAATACAGCTGAAAGAAGAATGACGGATGCAATGGCATTTTACCTTGGATGGCAATCATGCTAGCAATAATAAAAAAATATTCGATAAACCCCCTCAGAGCGACGCATGTCTTGGGTTAACCAGCATTTCGGTATTAAATGCGACGTTTGGAGGCTGAGCTTGAGTTGGCGGGGCAGCAGATGAGCTTCGGTCCCGGTATCAGTGCGTAGTCATGATACGATCATTCTCCTTTCCCCTGTCTAAACCTCCAAAAAAAAAAAGCTCGTACGACATCATCATCACGTCACTCATCACGCCGATTTTTTTTATAAATATATATTATATATATATTATATACGTATATTCATATATATTTCATCAAAGGAACAATGGCTTCTACGCGCAAGACTACCGTCCTCATCACGGGGTACGTTTTGGGGGGGGATTCATCCGTGTCGGGTAACTACTCGTCTTCATACTGACCATCTCTCCCCCTCCTTCTTTCTTGCAGCTGCACGCCCGGCGGTATCGGGCACGCACTAGCCGCTGAGTTCCACAAGAGAGGTGAGTGAGGGAAGACCGATGAAGCCGATCTCATGGAACGGATCAAGGGTGAAAGAAAAAAAAGGCATCACTCCGCAGAGCACGATCGGAAGGGCTGACGGCTGCGCTCCATAATGCCAGGCTGTCACGTCATCGCCACGGCGCGCAACCCGGACGTCCTCGAGGGTCTGCAGGCCGAAGGCTTCAGCACCGCTCAGCTCGACGTGACGGACGAGGAGAGTCTGCAGTCGTGCAGGGAAGCTGTCGAAAAGTTGACGGATGGACGTCTGGATATTCTGGTCAACAATGCGTAAGTCTTTCCCTCTCCATCATCATCATCATCCTCTTCTCCCTCCTCCCCCCCCTCTCCCATCCTCTTCTCCTCCCATCCTCTTCTTTTTTTTTTTTTCTTTCCTTCCCTCTCTCCGTCATCCGTCCTCCTCTCTCGACCGATCGCAAGGCGAGGTTGGGCGAAGGGGTGTGGAGGAGAGAGGAGGGGAAGGAGAAGGAGAGCTTGAAGAGGCTCGAGGCTGACCCGGTCCCCCAGCGGCCGCACCCACACGATCCCAGCCCTAGACATGGAGATCGACGACGTGCGGGCCACGTACGAGGCCAACGTGTTCGGGCCCATGCGCGCGGTGCAGGCCTTCATCGGGCCCCTCATGGCGGCGCGCGGCCTGATCGTCAACATCTCGTCCACGTCGGCGCAGGTGCCGTACATGTTCGGGGCCATCTACAGCTCGACCAAGGGCGCGCTCGACACGTACTCGCGCGCGCTGCGGCTGGAGCTCAGACCGTTGGGCGTGCGCGTCATGGTGGCCGTCACGGGCACGGTCCGGTCCAACATCGCCAGCCGCCAGCACCGCTCCCTGCCGGCCGGGTCCCTGTACCAGCCGGTCCGGGACGTGTTCGAGTGGCGGCTCACCTTCAGCCAGAACCACGGCACGGTCTCGACCGAGTCGTACGCCCGCGGCGTCGTCGACCAGGCCCTCCGCGGCGAGGGCTGGTTCGGCCACCTGATCGGCGGCACGCCCGACTGGTTCTGGCACGGCGGCATGTCGCGCCTCGTCTGGCTGACGACGCTCATGCCCAGGTGGCTCAGCGAGAACGTCATCTTCCCCAGGTACTGGAAGATTGGGGAACTCACGCGCAGGATCCAGGCTGCCGGTGCGGAGAAGTCGACCTAGGAGAGCTGCCGTGGGTCGTGCAGGTAGATGATGTGTCTCGTCGTGATGATGAACACTCTGAACACCTTTTCTCCTTCTCCTCTCTTCTTTCTTTCCCTCCCTCGCCAGTGTGTACTGTATTATTGTTTACTTTTCCGATCGATATCGGTGGACAGCTCCTCATCCGCACATGCATCTTCTCCCGTGTACTCGCGTATATCATTATTGCATGATAGTATGGTCATGATTGACAATATTAATACGTGATATGACCATACTATCATACAATCTTCCACCGCCGAGGATATTTCCCAGTCGACGACAACAACAACGACAACGACAATAGTGCGCATCATGGTCGCATGATAGCCCGTCTCCGCAACGATGCGAAATCTCTACTGTATAGACAAGTCCACGACCGGTCACGACATGACGAGCAAGGACGAGTCAACATGGGACACGCCCAGCCAAAGCCCGAGCCGGTGCCAAGAGCGGAACTCGACAGTTTGGGGTGAGTCGCTCTGGAGGTGGGAGGGAAAGGGCGAGAACCTTGATGGTTCGAGACGGCAGGGGAGGGGCCGTGGCTGGGCTGGGCTGGTTCGGTTCGGTCGTTCAGCCAGATCAATCGATTCGACCAGCCGACCAACAATTCCCTCGCCCCGTCGGACAGGGAAGCAGGAGCAGCATCTTCCCCCCCATTCCTCCTGCTCATGTCTCCCCTTTCCATTCCGCCGTCTTTGTTCCCGTACGCCGTTACATCGTGAGTCGTAACCTTAAATCTAAGCTTGCGCTCTCTTCAACGAGTGTAGCATGACAACAAGGACGGACTCCTCCACAGTGCAGAAACATTCATGTTTCTCCTTCTTGTTTCACTATTATCATGGACAGTTTTTTTTTGTTTCTTTTTTTGTTTCTTTTTTTTGTTTCTTTTTTTTTTGTTTCTTTTTATGTTATTTTTTCGTTTTTTGTTTTTTAAAAAAGACTTTTTTTTTTTTCGTAATCAGATAATTATATACATGAAGGAGATTTCGTCTCTCTTTCCCCTGTTTCTTCCCCCCTTTTTTTTTTTTTGCCGGTTCGAGAATTCAGAAAGTAAGATGTGCGCATATATATATATATATGTGTGTGTGTGTGTGTGTGTGTGTGTGTGCGTGTATATGTGTGTGTATGTGGCTACTGATAATACTTTCAGACTTCTACCTCTAAAAAGCCACGACGGCGGCGACGACAGCACCGACGAGGGGGATCATGTTGGCGACGGCAGCACCGGTGGGACTCTCGGTAGGGGTAGAGTCAGCCGTCGTCTCGGACGTCTCGGAGACGGCAGCATCAGTAGAAGTCTCGGTAGCGGTAGCAGAGGTAGGGTCAGCCGTCGTCTCGGACGTCCCGGAGACGGCAGCACCGGTAGAAGTCTCGGTAAGGGTAGAGTCCGAGGTGGCCGTCTCGGAGACGGCAGCGTCACAGTGCCACTGTCGTTGTTTCGTAACGGTAAGCCACCGATGCGGGCAAGTCTCGAGGGTGAACGCCGCTCTGGAAGAAGGAGGAAGGGAGGAGAGAGAAGAGAGAAGACAGGTGAGGAGGACTTACGTGGTCACCGTGGGGTTCGCAGCCAGTCGACTCGGTAGGGCTGGGGGCAAGGGTACCGGATGTCTCCCCGTCGTCATGGTCATGATCGTGATCATGCTCGCTGGTGGCAGTGGCCGAGACGGACGAAGAGACGGGCGTGGCCGAGGAGGTGGCCGTCTCGCTCACGGCTCCCTCGCAGTGGTACTGTATTGCACGATGATGTCGCTTTAGCCGTCTCTGCTCTCTGCTCACGTCTCCGACATTGGAGGGATGGGAGGGTTGTGTGTTCTTACGTGGTCACCGTGAGGCTCGCAGCCATACGACTCGGTCGGAGCCGGACCGAGAGAGGTAGAAGACTGGGCGGCAGCAAAGGGGAGGAGACCCAGACCGAGGAGAGTGATGAGCTTCATCTTGGTCAGCCGAGGGGTTGGAATATGTAGATGGATATTGAGAGAGGAGAGGGAGAGAGATGAAGATGGAAAGAAGAAGAATGTCAGTTTTTTTTTTCTGGGAGCTCTTGGTCATTTTCCCCCTTTTTTTTTTTGGGGGGGGGGGGGGGGGAGAGAGATTAAATAAATTAAAGATAAAAATAAAAGAGAGAGAGAGAGAGAGAGAGACTGGTAGGATATTTATACGCAGACACAAGAGACGCAGAAACACCACGTTCCTTGCAGAAGATGCAGCGTCGGGCATAAGAACCATTCTGGTAAGGTACTGCTGCTACTACTAAGTGCTACTATTACACCAAGGAACTGCTATTGCTCGTATCTTCTCTTCTTCCAACGCTATTTTAACCGTAGCCGACATGCTTGTCAGGTGGATTCCGACCAAGGAAGCGAAGCAATTGGAAGGCCATGATTCGACTGATCCGGCCCTTTGAGGGGGGGAGGGGAAAGCAGCTCGGTGGATCAGGATGGCTTTTGCTTTTCCATGGGAAGATTGCCAAGATTTATTATTCTTATTCTTATCCTTATTATTAACTCGTCCATCAAGGTTGCAGATGGATCACGGGCTTTACTCGTAATACAAGTCAGATTTTCATAATACCCGGGAATTCTTATTATTATTATTTTTTCTTTTTTTCTTTTTCTTTTTTTCTGCTTCTTCTTTCTTTCCCCGTCCCCTCTCTTCTCGTCTCTCTCTTTATTCTCCTTGTTTCAATCCTTGACTCTTTGTATCATCGATAGTCCTTGAATGGACAGATGGTGCGAGGAAGGGGAGGGGAACAGTTCCAGATTCAAATCGTTCGGAAACCCCATCGAGCCACAGCAGCAGCAGTCATGAGACAAGCCATCGCATGGCTGTCGTTGCTCGCAGCCTTGATCGGGCTCTCGACAGGTCTCGAGCACCTTTTCGGTGAATATATCCAGGTATGTACGTGCACTCTTCTCTTCTTCTTCTTCTTTCTTGGATTTCTTTCCTCTATTTATAAAAGGAAGAGGTGAGAGAGAGAGGAGGGAAGAAGAAAGAAAGGGGAAGAAGAAGAAGAAAGGATGATCGGATTCTTCCTCCCTCCCTCTTGAACAAGATAGGCCAACACGGATTCATGATAGAATGGACTCCTCCTCGACCCATCGTCACATCACCATCACGACCACAGCCAGTGCCGCATATCCCCTCCCCCGCAAACACCGAGACACATCGAGCAGGACCGGAAACTCGCCGGACGGATGAAGAAGACCAGGGACATGAACGTCCACCACCCCCGGACCCGTCTCCTAGATGCCCTCCACGGCTACGCACGTTACTACCAGCGTCAACGGGAGGAGCTGGATCGTCTACAGAGTCTGTACAAGAAGGTGACTAGATCACAACACAGAGTATGGGGTTTTTTTTTTTACTTCTTTTTTTTTTCTTGCTCCTCATCGCCATGTACGGTGAACCGTTACTGACGCTCGCTTGCCAGATCCTCGAGAAACACGTCCGCTACTCGGACAAGTTCATCACGACAGACTCCCTCCTCCGCCAGAACCAGGCCCTGTGCAGCTCCATGGTCGACTCCGCCCTGTCCTTCTACGGCGTGTCCCGTCCCGAGCTGGAAGACCACATCCGCCGCCGCGAATCCGAGGGCAGGAAACCCGACCGCGTCGCCGTCTCCCAGACCCTCAAGCACATCGTGAGAGACTGGACCGTCGACGGTGCGGCTTACGAGCGCGACGACTGCTTCGACTGCATCGCGCGTACCCTCGACAAGCTCTTTCCCGAGAATCCTGATTCTATCCGTGTCTTGCTTCCCGGTTCCGGTCTCGGTCGATTAGGTCATGATATTTCTCAAAAGGGTGAGAGCTCGACAAATCTCTTCCTCTTTCTCTCTCTCTTTCTTTCGTTTCTCTTCTTCTCTTTCCTTCTTTCTTTCCTTTCCTTTTTTTTTTTTTTTTGCAATTCAGATATGCATGCAAATATATATACAACTCCGATGAAAACACACACACGCACACACACAGCACGCACGCACAGCTGACAGGCTGACCAAACTGACAACACCGCAGGCTTCCAGGTGACGCTAAACGAGTGGTCCATGTTCATGAACGTAGCATACCGTTTCCTAGAGACGCACGCCTCCTCCCCTTCCGACATATCCATCCACCCCTTCATCGACAGCTGGTCCCACCACGCCTCCACAGCCGACATGCAGCGCCCCGTCCGCTTCCCCGACGTCGCCCTCAACGCCTCAGGCGTCGTCCTGGTGGAGGGCGACTTCACCACCGTCCTCTCGGGTCCCGACGCCGCGGGCGCGTACGACGTGGTGGTGACCTACTTCTTCATCGACACGGCCCGCAACCTGGCCTCGTACTTTGACACCATTCGCCACCTGCTCCGCAAGGGCGGCCACTGGATCAACCTCGGCCCTCTGCTCTACGGCACCGCCCCCTTCGTCCAGCTCTCCCTCGACGAGATCGTCACCGTCGTCACCGAAGGCTACGGCTTCAGGCTCCTGGACCTGGCCGGGCCCGAGTGCGGGCTCGTCACCGTCCCCGGCGTGAACGTCAGGGGTATGCAGGCTGCCTATGGCTTTGACGACCGGGCCTTGACAAGGAATGCCTACCATGCGCAGTTTTGGGTGGCGCAGAAGACTTGACTTTGGGGGGGCGGGCGGATTGACGAGATGCAATCCGTCGAGAATGGTAAAAAAAAAAAGAGAGAGAGATATGTATATATATGAAAGACGGAAAAAATCATTTACGACGCCGTGGACTCCTATTCCTTTACCCACCTTGTTTTCCTCCTCCGTCCTCCACTTCATTTCGTCATCCATACATGCACCGAACACTCGGAAGAACCCCCCCCCCCCTAATCAAAGGTAATCTTGAGAATCTCGATAAAGTTATTGTTGGTCCATCCAACCGTCAACGTCTTCCCCGACTCGTCGAGGTGAGGGTACGCCAGTCCCGCATACACAAAGCCGCCGTCGATCGGCTCGGTTGTGTAGAGCTCCGCGTCGCCGGTCCAGGGACCCCCTGGAGACGGGGCGAAGCGGAGGCAGAGGCTGGGACCGTCTACAGGCCTCTCTTGTTAGCCGCCATTCCGTCATTCCATCTCTACCTCTTCTCTCTCCAAACTCTCTCTCTCACATCTCCTGCAGAGGTAGAAGGCATCGGAACGAGGGGCTGTGGAAGAAGGAGACTCACTCATGTGAACGTAGATGTACTGCTCAAAGTACCTGCTCCAGACCATCTGGCCCTGACCGCACCCCCACATGACGGCTGTCGTGGGGTCGAACTTGGTGAGGACGTCCCCCTTCCAGCCTCTGCTCCGGCCCCACCAGTACTCGTACTTGTCCAGGTCAAAGGCGTCGCGGGCGCGCACGCGGGCCTGATAGATGTACGACGTGTCAGGCCAGTCAGTGATGCTGTTGGGCGGGTTGCCGAGGATGTAGATGTAGTCGCTGCGCTCGTCGCGGTAGGCGGCCACGTCGCCGTACTTGGGCGTCTCGTCGCCGCTCCACCAGTAGCCGTGCCCGTCGCCGTGGCGCTTCGTCACGGTGGGCATGCCATCGACCAGCTCTACCTTGGCAACGCCGGCACCTTTGTAGTGTTCTTCGGCATTCTGGGACGGTGTCAGCCGACGGTCTCCTCGATAATCGTAACCTCGAGGGCAGGCGACAGCTCAGGAAGGGACATTGAACGTGCGAGGAAATCTCTCAACATGTATGACGAGTGAAGGGAAAGCGAGCGTGCGAGGAGCGTCATGGGTAGCGGCGAGTCAAGACATACGACAAGATAGTAGAGCGCACCCGTAGCACTCTCGGCATCCGTCTCGACGATACTCGTCCCGCCGAAGCCGTAGCGGTTCGTCTCCCCCCAGGCCTCATTGAACGGCACGAACTGGTTCTGGTGAGGCACGGGCTCGTCATCGTTCAGATGCAGGTCCTCCACGACGAGGGGGTCGTCCGTCAGGGCGGACAGCGAGTCCCTGACCATACCGTGGAACCCGGGCGTCTCCTCCGTCGCGTCCGTGATCCCTGGAGCGCACCACAGCGTGTCCCCGTACACGGCGTACCACTTCCCGCCAAGCTTTCCGGTGAAGCCCAGGTCACGCTTGCTACAGCTATTGTTGGCCCACTGGTGGCCGAGGAATTCGGTCGAGTAGGTGTGCTTGCCACCCGCGGCAATGGGATTCTCCCCCACCGGTTGGGTATCGTCTTCCGAGGCCATGGCTCTCGGTGTCGAGCTGAGGACAGCAGCGGCCGCTGACAGCAGTGATCTGTACAGAGACATTTCTCGTGTGTGAATATGTGGTCTGTAGAGGGAAGAAAGAAAGGCAACAGAAGCACCAGGAAAGAGAGAGAAGATCAAGAGAAGGACAGACTTTATTCGAAAAAAGAATGGGCAGGAAAAAAAGGAAAAAAGAATGTAGGGAAGTGTTTAGAAAAGGAAAGTGTGGGGGAGCATGATTGTGTAAAAGAGTCAAGAGCGCAAGACTGACCAGAGTCAAGGCACGAGTACGAGTAGTAGGAACACGTAAAACGTTCCTAAAAGACTAACTCAGGTACTAGAATTGTTTTCCTCCTCCTTGACGTTAGCTGAAAGACTGAAAGAGGAGGGGGGGGGGATATATATATGAGGATATATAATCCGGTAAATAAAAAGGGGGATTCTGTCGGTCCCACGACCCATTTCATGACTCGGAAGGAGGAGAAGTGCCGAGTCTATGTGCGTGGGCATGTTCTTTTCTGGTGCTAGGCGAGGGGAGGGAAGAAGATTTATGACATATGCCATGCAAGGTACAGCCGCCTGAATCCTCGTCACCCCGAGAGAGAGAGTCCGCACTCTGAGAGGTAACGGACCATGGCATGCTTTCTTCTCCTTCCTCTTCTTCTTCTCCTTCTTGTTTTGGCAAGAAGGGACTTGGAAGGGAGTGGCAATGTGTCCATGTCGTTCATGTCGAGTGCTTCCACCCGTCTCAAGCTGTTCCCACCTCATCTCAACGGTACTATACTTACAGAACTTCGTACAATGATCGATAGAGAGGGAGACAGTTGGGGGGGAGACGCCTTCTCGTTTCACGTTGAACGGTTCGATCAGGGATGCATCGGCTGAAACGATGGGTCTCAATATTATCATGTGTGATTGATAGAAACAGAGTTGGGAGGGGGGAGGAGGGGGGTGAAAAGAGAGCAAAGAGAGTTAGTTGTCCGGGTTGGGGAGAAGCAAGGATGGCCTTTTTAGGGCAAATGCATCCAAAGGCATCCAGAGGCCATCATTTCTTCGTAAAGAGGGAGAGAACATGAGCGGTACGGGATCATGACGTTGCACATCCCAACCCCTCTCACGTATCCTGGCTGACAACGGTCCGACCAACAGATACCCGAGACACACGACATCTTCATGTGCTTCACCTTCACCTTCCTCGATAATCATCAATACACCCTCTCCCCTCCTGCTCATACGCCGCACGCTTAGCCCCTTGAAAGGTAACATAGATTTCATCACCTATAGAGGTCGACGGCCTGCCAGTCATAGGACATCGAGCGCTACAGTCCCATGTGTAGGGATTACCATTACAGATGGAAGATTCGACGAGGCACTCAACAAGAAAAGTAGGGTCATGAATTATCTCAGTTGTTACGTTTCGTTGCAGAGTGCGTGCCGAGGTGCCACCGTACTCTCTCCCCACATCCATCAAGCACCGTATTATTACTTATCCGTCTTAGCACCAGATCATTCACTGCCGATCATCTCCTCAAATCTCCTCAATCCCCTCAATCCCCTCTATCCCCCCCGGTGCCGAGCTGCTTGGCACGACCCACCCCCCCGCCTCAACCACCCACTTCACTCAATCACTCACTCGCTCGCCATGCCGTCACACGTTGGAGACTCCTACAGCCTCTCAAACACCTTGGCAAATATTTCCCGTGCCTTGACAAGATTCACCAGACTCATCCTCTCATTGCTCAGATGAGCCGAGTCGCTGGCCTGCCCACATGGAAGGTGTGCCGCTGGCGCCTCAAATTCCTTCTCCAAGAAGCGGATCGCTGGGATCGAGCCACCCTCACGGATGTAGAGCGGTTTCCGTGGCCGAGACGGCTTGGCAGAAGACTGCGGAGGGTCGTGATCAGTAGCAGCCTCGGCGTCGCCAACATCGCCACCATCGCTGCCGCCGCCGCCGCCGCCGCCGTGCCCACTCTCAAAACAGTCGGGCCACGCCTCCATCACGGCTTTCTCCAGTGTCCGGAAGATCCCATTCTTGAGGTTTCCCAGCCAAGGCTCCGCCCTGTTGTCAATCTTGATCCGTATCCAGTTCTGCGACCCGAGAGCGGCGAATTCCTTTTCCAGAAACTCAACCAGCTGGTGCGCCACCTCATCCACCTCCTGGCCCGGCACCAGTCGCAGGCTGATGTTGGCGCTCGCGTGGCTGCTGATCAGGCTTCCGTCCGGTCCCGACACCTTGTAGTGGTGCATCGTCAGGTTGGGCTCCCTCCACCGCGCAATCAGCGACTGCTTCAGCTTCTCTTCCGACATGGCCTCGGTGCTCCTCCTGATCAGTATCGAGGCAATCTCATCATAGCGATCTTCCTCGTCCGGCGTCATCGGAGGGATGCCATCGTAGAATCCCGGTATCTGGATGTGGTTGCGCCGTCCCTTCAGCTTCGACAGCACGCACGTCAGGTCCGACAGGGGCTCGTCCATCATGTAGGACCCGTCCACCCCCGAGTGGATGTCGGGCCGGGGCGACTCGACGCACACCGTGGCGTGCAGCACGCCCCTCAGCCCGTACGTGAGGCAGGGGACCTCGTCGTCGAGCCAGTAGCTGTTTGCCAGCAGGATGTAGTCGACGTCGCCGATCACGTCCTTGTTGCTCCGGACCACCTGCTCGAACGCTTTCGAGCCGTACTCCTCCTCTCCCTCGATGAGGAATACCACATCATTCTCGAGCTTCTGCGCCTGCATCAGGTCCGTCACCGCATACAGGGCCGCCAGTATGGGGCCCTTGTTGTCGCTGACGCCGCGGCCGTACATGTAGCCGTTAGTACCTTTCAGCGCAAACGGGTCCGTGCTCCAGGCACCCTTCTTGTTGTCGGCCGCCACTACGTCGTAGTGCCCATAGAACAGGATCTTCTTCCGGTCGGAGCCGGCCTCCTTCTTTCCCGAGAACCTGGCATACACAACCGGGTTGTGCACCTTGTCGGTGCTGAGCATCTCCACGTGTCCTCCCAGGCGCTTGCACAAGGATCCCAGGTACGTAGCCCCCTTGCGACAGTCTTCGGCGAACTCGACACGCGAAGAGATGGTCTTGTACGAGACAAAGTCCTTCAATGCACACAAGAGGGCGTCGTTCCCCTCATCCGCCTTTTCCGATGTTGAGCACACGTCCCTAAAGGTCCATACCGAGATGTCGTTGTCGTTGGCACCTGTGATGTAGTACTGTCGATCGCGATACGTTATGGCCGAGGATGCGAGGATCTTGCCGCTGTGGGCCCTCCACTTGCTCAAGCACTGGTACTTTTCGCTCACGTTCGAGCCCGAGTCTACCCGTCGGTACTTGCCGTAGTGGGCGGTGCTGTATTTCTAAGCAAGAGTCAGTAGGGATTCAGAAGGGTAGATACGGGACGAACAACATGGACGGCACATACGCTGGCCCAGCCGTTCGTCGAGGCGGCCCAGAGAAAGCCCCAGCCCATCTGAAGAGACATGATGTCGCAGTCGTGGGCCTTGATGACCCGCAACCTCTGAGCAGTATCGAGGTCCCAGAGCTCGACGACGCCATCCAGCTTCCCGGCGTAGAGGAACGATCCGTCGATGGCCAGGGAGAGGACAGACTCGGCATCGTCAGTGCCGAGAGTCATGATCTCTTCGATGCCATGTCCAGGGTCGCCGTCTGCCCCGTCAGGGGCACCGGTAAGACTCCACAGCTTGATCGTGCCATCGCCACCCCCGGAGATCAAGACATCCTGGTTGTCGTTGACATCGACCGTAGGGCCCTTGGCCATGAGCATGCAGTAGACGTAGCCGTTGTGGGCAAAGTTCCGAACGGCGCCATTATCAATCTCCAGCATGGTTTCGGCTGGGGGGATCAGCTCCCATCGCTGATCATTTCGTCTAGGTGTGCTCGTACCGCCCACTGCCTTGGAGTCAAAGAAGCGGTGGTTCCTGCGGTTCGGATGGCGTGACGAGTCATGGGGTGCTCGCACGTTAGGTTCGCTGAGCGTCACCCACTGTATGCTCGAATTTTGGGCGCCAATGTACAGTGTGTCGTGCTGGGCGCTGTATGCCGTGCAGAATATGTCGCCAACATCGTGGGTCGAGTATATCTCGTACAGGCGGGTGAGGGTCTCGGGGCACCAGACGTTGATGATTGGATCGCCGGCACTGGAGAAGAGCAGCGAAGCATCTGGTGATAGGAAGAGCGAGAGGACACTTCGCTTGTGGGCCTGGATGGTCTCTATCTGTTGAAAGGTAGACAGGGACCAGGCTACGATCTCGCCATCCTGGGTGCCCGAGTATATGCGACCGTGCTGAGGGCTCACAGCAAGGGTCAGGACCGTGTTGCTGTGGCGTAGGTTGTGGACGAGCTCGGGGACCACGGTGCCTGATGGGGCTGAGTCGGGTTCGACCGGCGTGATTGACGGCACGGTAGCAGTGTCGAACGAATGCATGTCGACCGAGGGGGCTATCGGGTTGCCTTCAATCAATCAGCATACGTGCATAGCACAGCAAGAGGGCCGGGCAAGGTAGGTGAAGGGCAGCGGGCGGGCGGGCGACGAACAGGACTGTGGCGTGTCCAGTCCTTCTGCATCGACATATGGAGGGGCAGCAGGGGAAAGAGGCAGCAGCGAGGAAACGGCAGCGTACAGAGGCCTTTCCCAGCACCCTGCGGGCGCCAAACGAAGGAGAGTCGGCGAGGACAGAGGACGAGAGCCCGCAGGTAGATGGGGGAATAGGCAGTCAACAATAAGGAGCTGGGTGCTCGGATGATGATGCAAGGCGGGAGGAGAATCTGAGATCCGGGGTCCTGCCCCACCAGAAATTGGTTGAGGAAGGAGCGCCCGACGAGCTAAAAACGAATCTAGCGCCTTCCCAGAAACCCGCAACTGCCAGTCATCCAGCCCACCGCCTGACTTGCATCATCCATCCTCATTTCATCGCAATGCAAAGGAAAGAAAGACGAAAAGGGGCACTATCCCTGCGACCGGCGGTCCGAGCATGAAACGACGGTACGCTCCTACTCGTAATATAGGGGAAATTCACGGTGCTTTGGGGTGACGGTGACGACGACGACGACGGCGATGACGGCGAGCTTCCATCTGTCCGTCTGCACCTGCTAACCCGAGGGGATGGATGGATGTGATTTGGTGGTGGGATAGATGTGAGAAGCGTCATTTCCGACCTACTGGTAACACGTTTCGCCGCTGTCGTCGGCACGAAGAATGCATCCCGCCCAAGGGTGCAGCGATTGCATAGTTTGGTGGCAAGGCCAATTGTATCCTTGGCTTGGACAACATGCTCCACGGCGTGGACATCGTCCTTTCCTCCTCCTCCTCCTCCTGCTGCTGCTGCTGCTGCAGCTGCTGCTGCAGTGCCCACCGGCCACATTCGAAAGGCCATGATGACGAAGCTGCTGTTGGTGGTAGATGGTGGATGGTTTCTGTTGGCACTGCCGCTGGCACTACCCACTCCGTCAATGTTGCCGATTTACGAGGATGCAGAGGAAGGACTCTCAACACCAGAAGGCAAGGAGGAGAAGAAAGGGAGAGGAGGGCCATACCGACGGGACAGTTTTCCGCACGTAGCAGCAAAGAGAGGTAGGTACTTCCGTCTACCTGTAACCCAAGAACTCGGGCCACTTGCAATCACATCGAGTTGACAGGTCCGGACTCACCGCAAATCGTGCCGCGACCAATGAAGCTGCTCACGGCAAGCAATGCTTGCTGTCAGCCCGTGCCCAAGATTGACAATGGGCCGCCACCGGTGTCACCGCGAATGACACCGCCGTTGATTGTGTGCTCAGTCATCACGTACGTATCCCGTGGCGGCGATTCTCTATTGACATGAGTGAATATTATCACTACTACATGCAATACTATCAGGCCTTGGGTGAGTCCGCTGCGTACGGGTAGTAAGTAGTATTATATTGATTAACCCCCCACCCCTTGTTACACAGCCTACGACTATGCATACCACTATTAATACTCCTACATCTACGGGGCACATCGATGGAGTGCATGTTGCTCCATTGCTACGTCGTGCAGCCTTACCACCGGCATGACACGTACGGCCAGCTCTGCCAATCTTGGTAGCTGCCGAGTGGCACGCCGCACCGACAGACGGGCACCCGATGGCATGGCATCGTATGGCATACTGGCTCACATGTGCGATGTCCGTTGCCGACCGGCGGACACTGCTTGTACGAATGCCGGTGATGGAATGAGCGGCATGACAATGATGGGAGGAGACTACGAGTACACAGAGCGATGGCAACACTGCATCTTTGGTACTGGTCCCATCACCTGCGTTGGGGAGAAAATTAATCTAGCCATCTAGATGATGTGATCTCTGTTTTAGCATACGGCTCCTGACCCCCGGTTCCTTCCACACAATACTCTGTACAGATCACTGTAATATATACATCTATCTGTACATGATACGGAGTACTCGTACATTGCTCGTCAATCCTTGTCACCGACAAGCTTGGCATTGCTCTGCTTCTCCCAAATGGTCCCTTCCCTCTCGTCGAGCACGCCATAGCGGTCTCTTTCCAAGATGGTACTTTCCTTTCTAGGGATGGCTGCGGTCGGGGATACCATTCGGGAGACCTAGGTTCGGGAGACCTAGGGTTCTAGAGTGTCTCCTTCCGGTCCAGGCTGCGTCGGGGGCGGGCTCCTCAAGAACACTCCTGCTCTTCTACGTTGGATGGAGACTTTGCTCGCTCCGGGAGCGACTGCTATATGTATCGATACATATACATGATGCCCCCCCCCCCCTCTTTCGCTCTCTCTCTTGTTGCCGTGGTCGTCGCCTCCCTTTCGGGATAGTAGTTCGCGATGACCGGCTGTACCCGCCATGGCTAAAACCCTAATCAGGGCCCAACGCAATCTCTGCCATCCGAATGAAAAAAAAAAAAAAAAAAGAGAGAGAGAAAAAGGGGGCTCCTTGCCTTGTCCATATTACACCCTCATAGATGTCTCCGGTGAGTGGAGTCTTGTGCTGGGGGTGGGGGGGGGGACACCTCGCCGTGGCTGGCAAAGTCAACGTCGACTACCCGCCGGTTTGTGCTGTCTGACGTAGTTTACGAGTTTACGAGTGGTGTTGAACGAGTATTGATGTTCCTTCTGCTGCCAAGAGTAGCTTTTGGTGTAAAATATGTCGGTATCGAGTTGATAATACCATTCTGTAGAACCGGATGCCAGATGTAATAGAACCAGACCGAGATGCAAGTAATACTAGACGGTAATAATGATATTACATGCAATACATGTATCCGTAGATGCTTGTGGCTGCTGGAAATAAGGTAAAGGTGAGAGGATGAGTGCAAGACGGTAGTGTCAAATCACCTTTTCAAGAAACCAGAGAAATTCATGACAGTAAAGCCAGCAACCACAAGAAAGGACATACAGATGAATCAATTGACGACGGTATGTGTCTAGTGGGATCAAGGACTACATATCCTGGTGAGCCGTATCCCTATTGCTTGTTGGGTAAGGTTTGCCGCCCGAGACCGAGTATTGCAGATTACTGCATACAGTACGAGTACAGATTACACATACGTAATAATACCAGCAAGGAAGGATCTGCTCCGCTGTCCTTCTAGACTCTCCCCCCCGCCACCAAAAACGGCAGCAGCAGCAGCGGCATCGCAGAGTGGATTTTTTTGGGGGAGGGGGGGGGGGGGGGGGGGGGGCAAACTGGCCTCGGCACATTGGCCACTTCTAGTCATTTCCCTACTCCCCATCTCCCCCACCACCAATCCTGGTCTCTGCATTCTAAGCCCTTTCCTATATACTTTCAGTCCCATATTTCACTCTATTCCGTACGAGCATCATCATCATAACCTACTTCCTACTGTCCACCCTCAACGACAATCCGCGACAACCGCGATACCCCCCCCCCCCGCCAAGTCGCTCTCGCTGATAGAATGGACGACCAGTTTGGTGGCCGAACCGACGACGATCTCTTCTACGATGACTTCGAACCGGTCGAAAGCGAGATGGTCGTGGTCCGGGAGGTAGTACCTACCGCTCCCGCTCCCGCTCCCGCTCCCGCTCCAGCTCCGCCCTCAGCTCCAGCTGCAGCATCGCCAGCGCCGGCGACGACGACGACGAAACAGGACAAGGTACCTTCAAAGACGCCGTCAGCGCCCAAGGGCCTCTCATCGTCGCGGTACGCCGACCCTCCGCCGCCGGCGCCGCCGGCGCCGCCGGCAGAGGAATCATCTGCCCCATCACCGGAGCAGCATCCACAGGTACCACCGCAGCTTCCGAGTACGACAAGCACACCGCAGCAGTCATCGAGCGTGAAGAGCGACGGCAACATGAATGGCAACGGCAACAGCAATGGCAACGGCAACCACAGCAACAACGGCAGCAAGGGCAGCAAGGGCAGCAAGGGCAGCAAGGGTAGCAAGGGCAGCAAGGCTCCACCCAACGCGCCGACAGCACCCAAAGAGAAGCCGCAGCAGCAGCAGCAACGGCAGCCTGGCGCCGGCGCCGGTCCTGGGTCCCAGCCCGGCGGCAACAGGCCGGGGACGCGGCTCAAGTCGGGCGCCAACCCGCGGCAGAAGCTGACGGAGGATGAGCTGGCCGCCAAGATGGAGCACATGAAGCTCCTGTCAGCCGAGAAGACGCGCAAGTTCGAAAAGGCCGAGCAGGACCAGAAGCAGCACGCCGAGGCCTACGCGCGTGGCATGGAGGAGGCGCGCAAGCGCCGCATCGAGGCCGAAGAGCGCCGTCGTCGGGGAGAGGAGAGCCAGCGCAAGCTCAACGACGAGCGCGAGAAGAACAGGGAGCGCAAGCTGAAAGCCATGGGCATGAAGGACGGCGGCTGGGACGAGGGCAAGGAGGCCCTGGCCGAGCAGGAGGACAGCAAGACCTTCCGCGGGGCCAACGGCGGCGTCAGAGGCTCCAGGAGGGTCGGCGGTGGTGGTCTCTCAGGCAGCCGGTACGCCAAGGACGGGGATGCGCCGGATGTGGACCGGACCGTCGAGGACCGTTCCCGTGGAGGAGGTCGTGGTCCGCGCGGCGGCGGCCGCGGTGGTGGTGGCCGTGGTGGCGGCCGCGGTGGCGGCCGCGGCGCCGGCGGCGACAACGGCAACGGCAACAACACCGACAAGAGGCAGCAGCTGCAGCAGACTCCACCATCGTCCGAGGACTTCCCTGCGCTCCCGTCCGACGGCGCACAAAAGGTTGCCCCCCCGCCTGCAGCAGAGCCGATGCCGCTGCCACCTCTGGCCGGAGGCAAGTGGGATGAGGAGATGGAAGAGTATGACGATAAACAAAAAGAGCAGGTGGTCTCGCAGTAGATGACATTGAAGTTACGGATATATATTACAGGATAGGAATATTGGTTTTTCATGGTCAAGAACAAGCGGACTGGATCCAAAACTATACACAAGAGCAAAAAAGAAAAAGAAAAACAGGGGAAGGAAAGCAAATGACAGAGCGGGAGAGGGACAGGGAAGGAGAGCGTTTATGAATGAGATATTCCATGAGATGCCAGGATGAATGAATACCACTACGCGGACACCACCTGTGATTGAATGCCATCCTTTTTACTCGAGGGTATTACTAATACTGCTGCTGTAATATTCTACAAGAAGCTCCGTCTTTGATATTAAACAATGCGCCCCCCCTCCCCTCCCCTCCCCCGCCGAGAGGAACTCCCAAAGTTGCGCCCTGTGCCAAAACCAAACGCCTTTGAATATTGAAAAGATGAAGCAGCCCGCGCGATGCAAAGGTGTGCAGGAGAGAGAGAGAGAGAGAGAGAGTGAGGGAGAGAGAAGAGGAGAGAGGGAGAAGTCCCTCCTTTACCATCCACCGCGACCATACCCCCGGCCCCCCCTCCCTCTATACCCACCAGGACCTCTGGGACCACGGGGCCCCCCTCCTCCGCCGCCACCGAGACCGGGCCCGTCGTCGTCCATGGGCTGCTGCCTCGACGATATCCTCCCCTTCATCTCGCGCGGGAACGCGTCATACGTCTTACGCATTTGCGCGTAGCCCAGATGCATCTTTCCGTAGAAGTGGTCGGCCAGCCGGCGGTCGTTGTCCAGACGGCTGAGGTAGGCGCCGCAGACGTCGCAGACCTGCAACTTCTGGTGGCCAGAGGGGCCAGAGGTGTCAGAGAGGGCCTTGAGCTCGCGCTCGCGCTCGGCTTTCGTCTGGGCGGCCTGGCGGACGCGGAAGAGCTCGTCCTGCGCGCGGGAGACTTCGCCCATCGATCCGAGGATCTCGACTTCCAGGAGGCCGCATTCGATCGAGGTGGAGAGGTCGGCTATGCCTTTGAGCTGTTTTGGGTATGTCAGTATCTTTTTTTTTCTTCAACGTCATTTGAGTATTTTTTCCTCTTTTTTTTTGTTGTGTTTTTGTTGTCTTGTTTTTGTTTTTGTTTGCGCACGCGCGCCCTTGGGTCAAGAGAGAGAGGGGTGAAATCTTGAGTGATTGGGAACGTACCAGAACATTAGTCTGGCGGATTTCATCGGGCGTCTTCTCCAGTCGGCGCTGCGCGGCATCAATCCGTCGGTTGCAGTCGTCAATGTACTTTTGCAGATCGCGCATATAGTCATACTCGAAGCCGTACCGCTGCTTCTCGCGGTCCGAGAGCGCCTCGTATTCCACCTTTAGACCCTCGGCGTGCACCTTGGGACACGTCCCCAGGTCCTGCTTGGTGTTGGTGAAGAGATCGTGAGGGCATGTGCCCACCAGGTAGGACCGGCATACTTTGGGGTCGTTGAGGGACAGTTGGGCGCTGCGCGACGTGGTTGAGCTGCCCATTAGCTGCTCTAGCAGCTTTCTCTGTTCGGCAGCCATGCTTTCCTCCCTTCTTCTTCTCCTCCTTCTTCTTCTTCTTCTTATCTGTCTGTTTTTGCTGTTCTGCTATGCTTGGTGGTGCTGTGTCCGTATGTTGAAGATGATTGGCGTACGTGGGGTGGATGGAATTGAGAGGATCAAGAGTAAAGTCGTAGCTCACTTGGCTTTGGGATTCTGCCGCCTCCGACCGCCCCCGCATTGGTGCTATTACCTTGCCGCGTTGGATACGAGGCAAAGGGACCATTCTTGACCACATAAACCCTTCGAGAGGAAGGGAAAAGCCTCCGGATGCGATTCGAGGCCGTCGCCGACTTCTCATGATATTCTTCCCTTCAGGCTGGCTGCTTCTAGCGGCGCAAGTCTTTTTGTTTGCTTCTGACGTCACCGCTGCTGCTGCTGCCGCCCCTGCTGATGGAGCAGCATCAGATTACCATGAACAGCTCACGCTGCGGCCGCTACCCGTGTCGTCACTCCTGGCGAGCTTCAACTTCCAGGCCAACACGACGATATCCGATTTCGAGTCGCAAAATTTCCGACTGTTTCCCCGGTCGCTGGCCCAGATCCTCCAGTACGCGGGCACGCGCGAGCTACACCTCCGGCTGACGCTGGGACGGTGGGACGCTGAGAACTGGGGCTCCAGGCCATGGGACGGGGCGCGCGAGGGCGGCACGGGCGTCGAGCTGTGGGCCTGGCTGGACGCCGAGACGGATGAGCAAGCCCAGTCGCAGTGGAGGACCCTGGTCAACGCGCTTTCCGGCCTGTTCTGCGCCAGCCTCAACTTCATCGACGAGACCAGGACGATCAGGCCCGTCCTGTCCTTCCAGCCCGAGGGCGACCACTCGCCCGAGGCCCTGGCCAACTCGAGGCTTCTGCACGGCGTGCTGCCCCACGAGGTCGTGTGTACAGAGAATCTCACGCCCTTTATCAAGATGCTCCCCTGCAAGGGAAAGGCTGGCATCGCCAGTCTGCTCGACGGCCATAAGCTCTTTGACGCATCCTTCCAGAGTATGGCCATTGACGTCCGGCCCGTCTGTCCCGCCGGCCAGGACGACTGCCTCCTTCAGATCGAGCAGACGGTTGACATGGTTCTCGACGTCAACAGGTCGAAGCGGCCAAGAGGTAAGTTTCTTCATATTACACACACACACACACACACATGTGTATATATATGTGTGTGTATATATACTTCTACCATAGATGTACTGGACGCTGACGACAATTACAGAGAACCCCATCCCGAGGCCTGTCCCGCCTCATGAGCTCGTGTGCGACAGCTCCAAGCCCTACAACTCGGACGAGGCGTGCTTCCCCATCGACCACCTCCAGAGCCCCGAGTGGACACTGGAGCAGATCTTTGGCCGTCCCATCAGGGGGACATGCCCGCTCGCCGACCCGGGCATGACGCCGGTGTGCGTGCAGGTGCCGCAGTCGCGCAACGTCTACTCGTCCAGCGGCGCGCAGCAGGTGAACGGGGCAGACGGGCATTCGCGCTGCTACAAGCCCGATCCCGAGGGCGACTTCACGCTGGTCATGACCAAAGTGGACGCGGCGGCAGGAGTGCAGGAGGTGGTCGAGCCGCAGACGCCGCTCCTGTACGCGGAGCGCAGCTTCACCGGCTACGGCCAGGAGCACGGTGGCGTGCAGGCGATCCTGACGAACCCGAGCGACACCGAGGTCGAGTTCGTGTACATGGAGTCCCTGCCCTGGTTCATGCGCATCTACCTGCACACGCTGGCGACGTCGACGGGCACGACCAACTCGTCGTCCCCCTCGTCATCCGTGCCGTCCCCGGATATCATCCAGGAGATCTACTACCGCCCGGCCCTGGACCGCGAGCGCGGCACCCAGCTCGAGCTCCTCCTGCGCATCCCCGCCCGCCGCACTGTCTTCCTCACCTACGACTTTGAGAAGTCGGTCCTCCGGTACACTGAGTACCCGCCCGACGCCAACCGCGGCTTCGACGTCGCCGCCGCCGTCATCACCACCCTCTCCCCCCGCGCCATGAACCTCCGCACCACCAGCCTGCTACTCTACCTGCCCACCCCGGACTTCAGCATGCCCTACAACGTCATCATCTTCACCTCGACGGCCGTCGCCCTCGCCTTTGGCGGCCTGTATAACATCCTTATCAGGCGCTTCGTCGGTGCCGGAGAGGGCCCGCCTTCGCCCCTCAAGGCCAAGGCTGCCGTCATCATGAACAAGATCAAGGGTCTGCTGAGGAAGAAGAGCGCCACTACCAAGGTAGATCATGGTTCCGACACCAAGTGAATGAAGAGAACGGATCAGATCTTTCCCTCCTGTCCTTTTTCTTGCTTCTTTTTTTTTTAAAAAAAAAGGGAGGAAAAGAAACAAAAGAAAAAAAAAAGATTCCTCGCCACGACTCTGTCATTCCCTTCTCAATAATGTGTGATTCAAGACTCTCGATGCGAAAAAGGATCAAGAAAAATGAAAAATAAAATAAAAACGGTGTATGATTCGACTACTTTGTGTGTGATCCTTGAACTGGAAACGTAGAGATTGTGAAAAGGTAAAAAAGAAGGGGGGGGGAACCAATAGAAGATGTTCAAGTGCAAAAGAACAGAGTTACTGTGGTATATAAATATAATAAAAAAGTGACAAAGGACGAGAAAAGTACTGCTGAGAGACGCCATCCTATGCTAAGTTATGGAGAGAAGAAAGAAGAAGAAAGCGCAATGCCTGGTCTAGACAAGTGAATTACCAAATTCTCTTGGCAACCATCTCATACCGAAAAGGCCCGTTATAGCCCTCCTCATGTGGCTTTGGCCTCTCATCACCGCCGACCTTCTTCCCCCCGGGGCCTTTACTCCCCGGTAGACCCTCGGTCTCGTCGGCGTGTATCCACCTCTGCCGCTCCTCTCCGACCTCTACGTGGCCGAAGCCGCCGACCCTTCGGCCTCCCTTGGCATCGTACGTGTCCCTCTCGGCCTTGTTGGCGGCGATGAGCCCGTCCTTGTGGCGCATGCGCGCGTACCGCGACCGGGCGTACTTGAGCAGGACCATGCCGAGGAGGAGCTTGAGGATGAGCAGGACGAGGAAAGCGATGAAGAAGAACGTGATCATCGTGACGGCGGCGATGGCGTCGTCCGACGTCCAGGAGTACCAGGGGCGCGAGTTCAGGGGTGACCCGTAGGGGTAGCCGTAGGTCGCGCGGCCTAGGGAGTCGCGGATCAGGGAGTCGAAGCGGTTCAGGGCCGCGATCATGGCCGGCGACGACGGCACGGCCGATTCCTCGCTCAGCGAGGTCTGGGTCGACGGCGGTACCGGCATCGAGAGGTGCGTCGACAGGAACATGTGGTACGTCTGGAAGGAAGCACGGATGAACAGGCATGACAGGGGAATGACGGCCAGTCCCAGACGTCGAGTCAGAGACGGAGTCATAAAGGCCTATCGATAGACGATGTATCAGTATGGGTAGGGCTTTATATATATATATAGAGTAGGGAAACAAGAAGAAGAACTCACGTTGGTGTAGTAATCCTTACAGAGAATGTCGAGGATACGGCTGTAAAAGTTGGGCTTGATATTGTTAAACTTAGTGACGTACGCATGCTTGATGGTATCGACCAGCATCTCGCTGCCGATGACGATGAGGAAAGGCGAGAGCACCTCTCCCGAGACGAGCCAGGAAGGGAGCAAGGTGAAGCTGTGGGGCAGGATAGACGAGTTGTGGAGCGGGGGGGAGGAGGAGCTGCCAAACGACGACGACGGGCCCTCGTCGTCGATGTAGTCGGACGACGTCCCGGGCACGGACAGGCCGCCGACCTCGACGAAGTTGCGCATGCCGATGATGAAGAGCATGATCCACAGCTGGAACCTCTCGACGATGTCGGCGCAGGTGAGCTGGAACAGATTGTCCTTTTCAAAGCGCTTGAAGACGGTGCTCTTGATCTCGACAAACTGGTTGGACAGGAGCAGGGTGAGCAGCGCGTTCGAGTACGAGTTGACGGCCACGTTGAGCGTGATGACCTGGTAGTAGAGGGCGATGGAGTGCAGGCAGTTGTACGCCAGGGCGAGCACGAACATACCCAGCGGGAGGAGCACCTTGGACCGGCCCGACGGGTTGCGCGACAGCGTCTCGTTGCTGAACAGGCACTCCAGTATGTCCTGGCCCAGGGCCGACAGCAGCCGGTCGCCCACCTCGAGGATGTTGTAGATGACGTACAGCTTGATGGCCGACTGCGCGCGGATGAAGTGGTACATGCGGCTGGCGTCGAGCGTCATCAGCGCCATGGAGCTGCAGATGATGACGGCGCCCTGCAGCAGGTCCGCCTTGTGGAACGCCGTCAGCCCCGAGGGCATCGACTTGGTCCTCTTGTGGCGGAAGATGCCGTCCCTATGTTTCGGCTTGTTGGCATTGTTATTACCATGATTATTAGAGCCGTGGCCCTGACCCTGACTGTTGTTGGCGTTGCCGTTGGCGTTGGCGTTGCCCGTTCTGGCCTGCCCGTTTTGCCGCAGGTGCAGCGACGGGGCCCGACCGGGGAAGCGCTCGCGTGGCATCGCCCCGTCCGGGTCGACGGAGAATTCGGAGAAGTCGCTGGCCGTACTGGCGCTGCGCGACCTCTCCGTCGTCCCAGTCCTGCCATCGGGTCCCCTGGAAGGCTTGTGACGACGGCCCCTCTCCCTCAGACGGCCCAGGCCACGCCACACGTACGACACGAGCCACTTGGTCTCCTTGCCGATGACATACCCCCACCACTTGACCAGGATGCCCACGGCCATGACGAAGCGGATGGGCAGGATGGTGAACGTGTACAGCCAGGCATCCAGGCACGCCAGGGCGCCAAAGTACAGCGTCCGCTCCAGGTACGTCGGCAGGAGCAGCACGTTCTTGAGGCGCTCGAACTTGACGGCGCTCGACTCGTAGGGTATGTCGTTGGTGTGCGGGTGGTAGATGTACAGCGGGCTGGGTCTCGACGCGGCAATCTCCAGCTGCAGGTGCGTGGGGATGGACATGGGCGGGAGGGGGATCTGATTCAGCCTCGGCGACGGCGGCGGGGGGGGGACCATAGCATCCGTCGGTGCGGGCGTGGTAAGCGTGTCGACGGCGGCGGCGGCGGCAGCGGAGACCCTCACCCCCTCGAGCCCCAGGCCGAGAGGATTAGGTCGAGCAGACGGGTTGAGCGAGTAGCGTCTGGGGCTGCGTGAGGCCGTCATGTCGTGCGATCGGCTGGAGGGCGGCGTAGATGCCGTCCTGGGCGACTGCGGCTGGCGGACAAAGTCGGCCGCCTGCCACGGTCGGCCGCCCTGTCTGGGCGGGTCGGTATGCGGGTAGGCTGCGATGTTGTCGTTGTTGCTGTTATTGTTGTTGTTGCTACCGGTGCTGGTACTAGTATCTGCATGTCTTCGAGTAGGTGCACGGATGGGCGGTCGGTCGTCTGCCGAAGTCGGCGCGGACGAGCCGCAGTCGCTCGACGGGTGTCGGGGCGCCGGGGCCGGAGCGATGGGCAGAGACTCGGGCGAGCTGGTAAGCTCATGCATCTCGGCGGCCGTCAGTTTCTGGATGCTGCTGCTGGCGCTCAGGCTCCTCGGCTTAGCCGGCTGCTTGGCAGCGTCTGCGAGCATTGTTTCGCCAGCGTCGTCGTCGCCGGGGGCGGCGTGATGGCGATGGTGCTGGTGATATGGGTCTTCGGATATGGATGATGAAGGCGACCGTCCTTTCTGCGGACTGCTGTTTCGCGGGGACAAGTCATCCTCCTCCGAGGTGGTGCGTTCCTCCTCAGACGATATGGAAGACAGCGCCGCTTCAGCTCCTGAAGGATGCAGTACTGCTTCTGCCGCTGCTTCTGCCGCTGCTTCTGCTGCTGCTGACGATGATGATGACGGGCCCTTTTCGTCCATAGAAGGGGAGGCCCATGTCTCGAGTCGGTCGGTCGCGTCGCTATGTCGCATGGGTTGGCGAGGAATATCGCAGTCGTCGACGGTCGCGGCCATTACAGACGCATTCTGAGCAGGCCAGAGAGGAGAAGGAAAGGAAGGAGGGAAGGAAGAAAAACCTAGAAGCCTCTCTTATGTACGGATCAAGTATTGAACGGTCGGTGGTGGGTGGTTGATGAATTGGTGAGATTGGTTCGAGACGCCCTTGATACATGCATATTCTATGCAGTGTGGGCTGCATTGTCGCCTGTGGGGCTCTTGCTGAATGTTAGAGAGCCCAGAGTATCTATGGATATAATCTATCATTATTACTACAAAGTGCGGAATGTTGACATCAAACAGCCGTCAGGTGGCGGCGCTCTGACAAAAGTATCACCACACATGTACATGTTCTCAATACCTCCTTATCCTGCATATGAAAGATATATTGGGTCTTTTATATATCTGCAGTCATTCATTCATATAATCCTTCTCCCAGTTACTCTGATGCTGCCGTCCTCTACAAGAACCCCTCTTTTCTTTTTTCTTTTTTACAAGACCTCTGTATATCCCATGCAATCGTATGCATGACACACAAACACTGCACTGCATACGCCCACACAGCAGTACCAAGATAGGATATAAAAGAGTCGACATGAGGACATGAGTGATTACATATGCTCGGCAGTGGTAGTGGTGTTTTGTGTGTATGTCAACGACTAAGACGTATCTCGTCGTCAATTTATTCTCATCGACTTCTATAACCTCGACTCATATACGGGCTCTCTAGACAAGAAACTCCTCGAACCACTCGATAGCCTGGTTGAAAGCCGACTTCTTGGCATACTTGACCACCTTCTTGGACAGGTCACCGCGGACAGCGAAGCCGTGCTCGACGCCCTGGTAGAGGTTGATCTGGTAAGGCACCCCGGTCTTCTTGAGGATCTCCTCGGACTGGTAGCGCTTCTCGTTAGGGAAGATGGTGTCGGTCTCGGCGGCGGCGATGGCGAACGGAATCTTCAGGGAAGCCAGCTCTTCCTCGTCGACAAACGACGGGTGAGCAACGTAGGCGACGTCGATGCCCAGCTTGGCCTGGCGGACGACGTACTGCGAGGATAAGTCGGCATTTCCATTCCTCTCCTTCCCTTCACTTCTCCAGTCCCCGAATGATTGCTTACCTTGGCTCCGAAGCAGTATCCGACAGCACCAATCTTGGTGAATCCCTGGCCCTTGAGAGTCTTGATGGCCTCAGCCACGATGCCGTCGACGATCTCCTTGGTGTGAGGGTTCTTGCCACCGGTACCCTCGGCGAGCCACTTGAAGATGTCGAAGCCGGCGGGGGGGTTGAGGCTGGCCTGGTCACCGTTGAACAGGTCCGGCACGAGAGTCGTGTATCCCTCGACCGCGAACTCGTCGGCGATCAGCTTGCTGTTCGGCCAGATGCCAAAGATGTCCGTCACGATGAGGATGGCCGTGTTCTTCCTCGACTCGGCGTTGGGGCCGGAGGCAGTGGCAATGTAGGCATCCGTCTTATCGTCGGCCAGCTTGGTCAGCTTTCCCTTGGGTTCGCCGCTTCAATACGATTGAATGTTAGTTTATTATCCTCATCAATATTCCCCATCCTCAATACGGAGGGGCAATAAATTGAAGGCACCCCGCATTTTGGAGAGGAGCTCGCTTCTTTTTTTGTGTTTGGCGGACGGAGGGGTATTTATTTGTCTTACCCAAAAAGGTTGCCGCGAACGCAGCAGGGTCCAGGAGGGTTAGAAGCCATCTTGATGGAGTAAATCGACTTTCTTTCTTATGCTTCGTTTCACAAACTTGTTCAAGAGAAGATAAGAAAGAAGAGGAAAAACGTCGATGTTGCTTTTCGCTGAAGAGGAGGGGCCTTCGGAGATCGGAATTGCGACACACAACTGTGGTGGACCGCTGAGTAACGCTTGATCAATTAATACTGAACTTGCTTTCTCCTCCTCCATGACGAAACTTGATCCCCCCCCCCCTCTTTCCTTTATATACTCCTCATTCACTTCTTGGCCTCACCCTCTCCCCTCTCCTCCCTCCCCTCTTCCCCCTCCCCCCCCCTCCTCCCTCTCCCTCTCTCTACTTTCTCATTATCTCCTTTCAATCACCTGTATTATCGTGATGACTCCTTCGTCTTACTAGTATCCATAGCCTACCAATATTTTTAAGCTTCGCAATGCAAGGGACAGAGAAGAAAAGATGGTGATGTCGCAATATTATCTCATCATGATCCACAATGTCAGCAACGACGCGAGAGGTGCCGCAATCAGAAAGGCCGAATCCTGTCGCTCGTCTCTCTANCCTCCCCTCTTCCCCCTCCCCCCCCCTCCTCCCTCTCCCTCTCTCTACTTTCTCATTATCTCCTTTCAATCACCTGTATTATCGTGATGACTCCGGTGATGAGCCGAGAAAGGGACCGCTCAGGCCTGCTAAGCCGATTTCGGTTTAACCCCCCCCCCCCCTCTCTCTCTCTTCTTTTACGTGCTTATACATCGCGCATGACAAAACTGTATTCTAGCCGTTTCTTTACATGGGTCCCGCCCCTCCACTTCCAGGTCCTGCTTCCGTAGCGTTGTCCGTGACCCGTTATTTCTGCCGCATAGTTCCCTTCGCTTTTCGCTTTTTAAAGGCAATAAGAGGTGGCGCCGATGGTGTTGCCGATGCCGGTGCCGATTCTTCGGACTTAAAGTGGCCGTTTATGACTGGTACTTCTGCCTTGACGGCTTCTGTTGCCAAGATGCTCTCGTCGTCGACTTCTTTTTTGGCAGCCGGTGCCGATTCTTCCGGCTTGACCTTACCACCACTTGTTGCCGCATCTTCTGCTTTCGCAGCCTCTGATACTGGTAATTGGATGTTCTCGTCGTCGACTTCCTCCTTGATAGCCGGTACCTTGTCCTCCTCTTCTTTCTTCCCTTCTTCCCTCTTCACCTCGCCAGCACTGTCAGCCCCGTCGCTCTTTGTGAAGACGGATCCGTTCAGGAGAGCATCCAGCTCGGCATCCTCGTCCTGCGGCACACTTTTTGAATCCCTCCCCCATCTCCTGGGTTTCTTGAACAGCGATCTGACAGCATCCTCCTCCTCCTTTTGATCCTCCGTCGCCTCGCGCTTCCTCACCCCCGTCGCCAACTTTTCTTTGTTGTCCCTGTCGTCGTCCCTGATGACCCTGGTACTCATCACCTGCCACTCTCCCACCAACGCCATCTCCGGCCGTAGCTCACTAGGCATGGCGACGCCCATCTCTGCAAGCTGCTCTCGTTGCTTCCTGAGCTGCGCATCGTCCGCTCGGGGGGCGCCCGCGCCTGCGCCCGTGCCTGATGGTGATGATTTCGTAGAGAAGGAGAACGATGTTTTCGACGATGGCCCGGCTCCAGATCCAGATCCGGACCCAGACACGATGCCATTGACTCGCTCAATCTCTTGTCGCGCCCTTTCCTTTTCGCGCTCCTCTCGTTCATGTCCGCGGTGGAGTTCGCGCAGGAACCGTTTTAAGTTGCCCTGATGCCGTCCTGTCGCCTCGTGATTCTGTCGCTCGAGCTTGGTGTCGCGCACGTAGCACGCGCAGTGCTTGCACCAGTAGCGCGGTGTCGATTTCCAGTGTTCTGACATTATGTGTGTGGGGTTGAGAGTGTGCGTGTATAATGTATATCGCCGTCCGTCCGTATATTACGTCCTAGCAGCGAGGAGACAAGGAACTTGGGAACAGGTTGCAGACTTCGTAGTGGTAAACCGCAAAGTGCACGTACCGTCGGCCAAGCAGTGCAGAATTGAAGCCGTCATCAATGATTACATAATATTTGTCGCCAAATATTACTACTAGTGACCAGCAACCCCGAAGCATCACATCCGGTTTGTCGGCACAGTTGATCGTCATCGGCTTCATTCTCATACTGATAATATCTAAGCATAATCTAATCTCTGTTCCATGAATAATGCACCAACGAGCAACATGCCCTGACTACACAACCCTAAAACGTTGCACACTGGCTTGGGAGCCGAACAAGACCCCGTACCGCTACGCCTCTACCGTGCCATCACCCTGCAGAGCTGCGTCAAAGGTAGTAGCCCACGATGAGCATGCAGAACGCGAGAGAAATGGTCAAAACTGGTATATTCTTCCCGGAGCCACTCTTCTTACCATCCTTCTTGTCGTCCTTCTTCTTACCACCCTTCTTCCTACCACCCTTACCCTTCCAGGTTGGAGGCTTTGGGGGCTTGGGGGCAGGCTTAGGCTGAGGCTTTCCAAAAGGCCTATAACTACCTGCACGCACGTACTCGGCTGCGACGCGGGTGGCAGAAGGCACACAGGTGGTTGACGTCGCAGCCGGTAGCGGTGGAGGAGGAGACGTCTGGATTTCTTTTGTGAGAAACAAATAGCCAGGGTAGGTTGTGTGGATGTAATAGGGGGTAAAATATGTGAGGACTCACCGACTCAACTAGACATTCACACGTCAAGGCTTCTTGTGAGCAGGTAGAAGGCTGAGGGGGATGAGGAAGTCCTGGAACAGGTGCCTGGATCTGACCATCAGGAATCTGGCTGACTGCTGGACCAGAAGGTGCGGGAGCTTGGACGGGGTGGTAGGGGATCCGAGACGCGACAGGCACCTGCACCTGGCCATCGGAAATCTGGGTGATAACCGGTGCTTGAACCGGGGGGTTAGGGATCCGAGATGCGACAGGCACCTGCACCTGGCCATCGGGAATCTGGGCGATAACCGGTGCTTGAACCGGGGGGTTGGGGATCCGGGACGCAGGAGCTTGCACTTGCCCATCTGAGATTTGCTGGACAGGAGCAACATCCCTGGGGCCGACATTACCCGGGCAGGGCACCACACGTATGCTGATGGCTTGGCACTGACCAGCCCAGTGGCGATCATACAAATTGTAGAACGTACCAGAGAGGCATTGAAACCACCTCGTATCCCCATCTAGTGCCAAGAGACCTCCTGGACAGATGGAGAATCCTCTTGTGGATAGGGCATTGTGCTGGGGAGGGTTGTCGAACTGAAACTGGAAGTTTGACGCAATGTACCCGGTTCGCTGTTGCTGATCCCGGAGAATGCCATTGTTGAGAGTGAGAACCAGGGAACCCGGCGAGCAGGTTTGCTGGAGTGTCTTTGTCAGCCAGCATTCTTCAGAGAAAAAAATCCATCATCATCCATGACATACCGCCGCAGAGCGTTTGCTAGATGGCTGGTTAACGGCAATCTGAAACCCTCCGTCAAACGAGTCACGGCATACTCGAGGAGCACCTTGTGGCACTGCAGCAACGCCAGCTGCGAGGTGGGCAAGCAAGACAGCAGATTTGACCATCTTGCCCTGGAGAGGGATTGTTAGCCATAGGCATCGTGACATGATGGGATGAAGAGAGGGGGGGGGGAGGCTGGAACGTTGGTCACGTACCCTTGGTAATGGAAGGTAAGATAGCAAAAAAGGTATAAACGAGTGTGGTTGTCGAGATGGTGTTGCCCGATAAAATGAAAAGGGGCGTGGGTTGGGCCAGCACGGGTTGTCTTGTCTGGAAGGGTCGCGGAGAGGAAAAGGAGGAAGAGAAGGGCGTCAGAGTTGGCGTCCAGAAGAGACGCTTGATATACTCGAGAGATTCAGCTTCTTTGGGAAGGAAGACCCCGAGGAGCCTCGACGCAGTTGGGAAGGCACATGGAAGTTCTTGCCCACGTATTGATGTTTTCGGTGAATTATCAGCACCAGGCGGGAAGGTGCGGCTGGGTAGAGCCCATGATTGGGAAGCCGCGGATCATCGTGAGAGCTGGGAGGGCGTCAATAACAGGAGTGACATATGGCCATCTATTCATTAACCTACTGGCCAGCTCGGAGAAGAGGCATGGCTGCAATGATGCTAGGAAGTAGCCATTGCCAGAACAGCTCAGCCTCGCAGCATCCGCACCGAGGATTCGAACGTGCGGCATGGACTGGTGAGGATGCGTCTATACAAGGAATCAACCTAGTACCTTTACAACTGGCAGTGTTGTCACGGCACTCATGACACGGAGCTCTTCTGCAGAGTAGTAATAGTCCTCTGTATATAAGAGAAAATACTGCGGTATCATGGGGGCTATATCTATCATTCATATGACGGCATCCTGTCTGATCATTGCATATACGTAAGCATCATGCCTGGATGCTTCCCTGTCCAATTGTCACCAACCTTCCCGTGATTTTATTTTCCCTTTCCTCGTCACTCATTATATCATAGCCTCGTCGCCTCTACAAGACTTTTCTCCTTCCGTTGTGTATGTTCTTTTTTTTTCATTTACTGAGCGCCAGCCAGAGAGAGCAGGTTGCCGCTGTTGGCAAACAGACCGGCCTGCTGCTTGTACAGACCTTGGACGGTCCTCTTGAGCAGCTCGCGCGTCTCAGGCTCAAGCTGTTCCTCGGGAGGACCCATCACCTTCTCCAAGATGGAGAGGATCTGGGGCGTGAGCTGCTGGACAGTCTGGTTGGACTGGTCATCTGTGGAGTGTGTTAGCCTATGCTCAACCGCAACTGCAAACAGAGCGATGGTGAAAGGAGGACGTACACAGCTGGTAGATGTTCTGGTAGATGGGCGCATTCTCCTCATAATCCTCCTTGAGCGGGAGGACATTGATAATGGAAGGAAGAGCCTGAGCGACAAACTCAGCGTTGGGGTTCTTGAGCATCATGCGGCTGAGGGCACCCGCGACGTTGTCCGTCATGCGCATCTCATCGACCGACAGAAGGGGCTCAAGCCTCTCCCAGATCTGAGGGAACATGGGGATCGTCTTAGCCGTGTCGGCTGACTGCAGAACCAGCAGGCCAATGGCGTAGGCCGCGTTGGACTTGGTCAGAGCGTCCGGGTCACTGAGACGACGGGCGAGAGCTGATCCGAGAGACTCGGTGTAGGGCGTAATAGCCTCACCGGTGTACTTGGCGATCTCGGCGATAGTGCCGACGGCCGTGGAGCGGTGGAGGTCCTCGGTAGAGCTGGCGAGCCTGAGAATAGGCTTCTCAAAGATCTTCCAGAGCTCACCGAAAGCCGGGCCAAGAGCAGCGGCCAGGCCGACAACTACGTCAAGCGCAGTGTCCACCACGAGCCAGTCGTACTCGGACGATCCGGCGTCGATGTCCTGCTCCTCCTCCTCGTCGCCAAGGTCCTGCTGGCAAGGGTGAGAGCGAGTGATGAGGAGACTGATGATGGAGACAACCTCCTGGAGGGCACCGTCGGTGGCGGCCAGAACGGCGGGGCCGCAGGCCTTGAGCGTGGCTGCCACGTTCCTGTTGATGTCGGTTATGACAGAGCTGTGGCCGAGTGGTTGCAATGTTAGCCAACGCTTCATGAACGGCAAGGCCGAAAGGGAAATAAAATAAGAAGAGAATAAGATTCCATGTCAGACGTGATAAAACGTGTTCTCAGCAACCGCATTTTGCGTCTGAGTGAGCTGGGTTTAACGTAGTGTGATCATCATGTGGAAAGGATGCAAGATCAAGGCATCGGGTATAAAAGAGGGGAAAAAATAAGACGAAACCAAGGTAAACATACCGTTCGCTGTCCTCAGTCCAGATGCTCATGGTGGCCTTGATAATAGCCTGGCCGATGGTGATGATGGACGCAGGAGGGGTGGGCGTAGGCGGCATACCGGCCTCCCACTTGGCCCCAGAGCCTTCCTCCCAAACCTGGAAGACACGGGCGTAGATGCGCCAGAGGGTGGAGATGGCAGTCTTGCGGCATCCCTCATAGGTGTGCTCGGCAAAGGGGGTGACCTTCTCGAGCGTCTGCTCAACGTAAGTCTCGAGCTCAGCGCTAGAGCATGAGTTGGCAATCAGGTCGCCGAGAACGTCGAGAGCAATCTCCTGCTCGAGGGCGACGGCAGTGACAGCACCAAGGTCATCGAGATCCTCAATGTCATCCCAATCGTCATCGCCAGAGGCAATGGTCGTATCCTCCTGGGTCTCGGGGGCCTTGACCTTGACGCGCTTGCCGCCGACGACAATGTGACCATCGCCGAGCTGGTTGGCATCGATTCCAGGAAGCTCGATCTCCTCCTCCTCGAGGTCCAGGGAGTGGAACAGGCCCTTGAAGGCACCCTGAAGGAAGTGGCCGAACTCAGCCTTGTACACCTTGGACAGGTTGGACCAGAGGATGAAGCTTGTCTCTTTCAGGCGGGGGTTGTCGAGGGCCAGAGCACTCTCGCTGGCCTCCATCAGCTTGACGACATAGGGCTGGAAAGTCTGGGCACCGACGGCGAGTGCGATGCGACCCATGCTGTCGCAGGTAGCACTGCGAAGCTCAAGAGCGTCTTCGTTCTCGTGAGCGACAACGAACCTGCCCAGCGCCTCCATGGTGTCCTTGAAGTAAGGCTGAAACTCGTCGGTCATTGAAGCAGCGATAGCACCGATAGCAGAGGCAGCGGAGCACTTGACACCGTGGTCGTCGTGGTCCAGAAGCTTGATCATGGGGGCGATCAGGCTGGGTCCGTACTGAGCCATGATCTTGGTGTCGATACCGTCTCCGAAGGTGTCGAGGGCACCACAGGCAGAGCGTATGATGGCCACGTTGGTCTTGTCAGAGGAGCCCTGTGCGGCAGCCTCGAGGTTCTTGAGGACAGCAGAGATGATGGGCTCATGGTGCGAGGTCATCTCATCACCCATCTCCTCGGCAAGATGAATCAAGCCGACAAGCGAGGCGTACCGGACGGAGGCCACGGGGTCGTTGAGGAGGTTGATGATGGTGGGCAGAAGGGGGGGGAGCTGGGTAGAGATGAAGTCGGGGGCACCCTCGGCAGCGTTTCCAAGGGCCAAGATGGCAGCCAGGCGGTGCTGGGGGTCCTGGCTAGTGGCAAGGGTGGGAAACTTCTCGAGCAGAGGCACGACAACCTGGCGGGGAGGCAGTTCGCTCGCGAGCGTGTCAATAAGGCTGATGGCGCTGCGAGAGGGGGTAAGCTCCTCCTCGTCCTCGGTGTCGAGCTCAGTGACGATCTGGATGGCCTGGATCATCAACTGAGCACCAACATCCTTCATAGCCTGGATCTTCATGCGACGGTAGCGAACACACTGAATAAGGAAGGCAAGGGCCTGGTTGCGGGCGTCATCATCAGCATCGCTGTTAGCAGCGAGCTGGAGCATGAACTCAATAAGGTCCTTGAGGTGGTGGCCAAGAAGGGCTGAGTCGTAGGCGATAAAGGACTGGAAGACCTCAAAGACGATCTTGTAGCTCTCGTCGTCCTCAGCCTCGACGGCAGCCTTGAGAATATTGACCATGGCAGGAAGGAAGCCCTGGATGTAGCTGACAGCCTGTGTGTCTTCCTCGGGTTCCACGATCATGAGAATAGCGCCGATGGCACGGACAACGTTGATGCGAACCTCCTTGCTCTGAGGGTCCTCAATGCGGGACTGAAAGAGCTTCAGGAGCTCATGAGTATGGTCACTGAAGTGGGTAGGGTCGTCCTCAAGCATGGCGTAGAGGATGAAAGAGGCAACCTCACGGGCAACGACGTTGTCGCTGTTGTTGAGGGGCAGCAGCTGTTTAAGGAACTCGTCACCCTCGCCCTCTTCCATGTCGATGCCAACAACACCAGCAATCAGGCGAGCCTGGGAGTGGCGGACCATGCTAGTGTTCTCCTTGAGGGCACCTTCAAGCAGGTGCTGGCGGGCAAGCTGGCGCTGGTCCTGAGGCGTCTTCTCCCAGTGCCTGGGCACGATGCGGAGGGCCTGGACCGAGGCCAGTTGGCGGATGCCGGCATCGCCGTGGGTCAGAGAGATCTCGATGAGGGCAAGGAGAGACTCCGGCTTTGTGTAGTAGTTCTTTTGGAGATCGGCGGTGATGAGCTTCACCTGCTCCGTGTTGGCTGGACGAAAGAGATTTTCGTTAGCAAAGAATGACCAGCCGAAAGCGACGGGAGGGGGTCTAGACGAAGGGGCAACAAGGCATTGCAAGGGCAAATTATATCTACTCACGTACTTGGCTGCCCTGCAGCAGCTGGGCGAGCTTTTCTTTGTCCATGATGCCGCCTGTTTCGAGTCACGCAGACGTGTTTCTCGAAGACAAAAAGACAAGAGGAGAAAAGGATAAGAGATCAAGTGGGCGAGGCGCGGGGCATAAGAAGGAAAAAAAAAAAAAAAGACCCAGGGCCCTGTCGCAACGCGGTGGGCGAAAATTTTGTTTGTGCCAAATTACCCCTGCCAACAGGCCTAGCTGGGGGTTTGAGCAGCACCTAATTACAGTGCGCCAACCCAAACGTCAGAGATACGCCGTGTCCCGCCTGTTGCCCCGCCCGAGGTGGAAGGGTCTTGTCGCCAAGGAAGCAATAACGAGTTCCTCCCACTAACGACAAAAGAGACAGGTCCGCTTCTCCACCTCATCTGGCCATTGCTATTGCAGACTCGGACTCGGTGCAGGTCCTGTCCTGTCCTGTCTTGTTATATGGCAACGTCATACATGGACGGTCTGCGTTCTGTAAGCAGTGCATGAATCTAGCCAAATGCCACTGTGTGAGTGTCCATTCTTCCTTGTCAGATCCAAGCCACGTCACTCGTAAAATAGACGAATGTCTGTGTGCATCCGTCGAGGGTACCACGGCTATTTGGTGCATCCTGTTGTGGGTTGGTGCACTTGAGTCAAGTACTATTCCTCACTCTATAGTTGTGTAGCCCAGGATCCACCCGGTATTCACCCAACGATGGGCGACTTTGGTAGGCAGATCTGCGTGTCTGCTAGCAAACTCTCGCATTTCAACCCCGGATTCAGAGACATGATATCGTCCATGGTAATTCCGTGCTCCTGAGCCAGATCCCAGCATGAGTCGCCACCCTGCAAGATATATGGGGTGCTGCCTTTGGCACAGGACAGTCCGGGTGCGGTGTCTTCCCTGCCATCCGACGGCCTGGAAGCTGTGTTGAGGTACCAGAAGAGGGCCATCAGGGAGACACCAACAAGGACAAAGAAGTTGAGCAGTGGCATCATCTCAGCCCGCCACGATGTCTGGGATTGAGTGTGCTCTGACATGAGGAATGGCTCCGTGTCCGCATCGACTTCGTCTGGATCTGGGGCCTGCCCGGCACGGTAGAGCTGGCCGTATTCTGCTCCAGGGGCCCCTTCCCAGAGACTCCCATCGGAGTCTTGGAACGTATAGACTTGCGTATCAGCATCGTATCCGACCCGCGTCATGCCCTCTGGCAGACGCTCCTCGTCCGTGTCGTATCGAGAGAATCGGGACATGGCGGTGGCTGTGTCTATAGGAGGTTGGAAAGTTTTGACGGAATACAGCTCCAGGTATAAGTAAAAACAAGATGATGGCTTAAAGGGACATCTGACTCGAAGAATGATGATGCAAGGTCTAAGAAGGGCTGGCCTGAGGGAGATTCAGTTGACATGACATTGTGTAAGGTCGGTGACGGGAAAATCAGGAGGCCGGAAGGGAACACCCTGAAACCCCAGGAGGCCAATCCACGTTATGTAAGCGTCTCACCCAGGTAAGAGAAACCCGCGATACGAGTTTTTGTACTCGTGCCGCACCTGCACGTACGGCATTACTACCATTACACGTATTATGCACCTGAGCTGTGTTAGCCAGAAAAAAAAAGAAGAAGAAAGAGAGAGAGATGCTGGTATTACTGAGACGGGTGGTTTTCGAAAAGTGGTGATGCGGAGTCCCGCTACCCATATCCTAAGCAAAGGCGAACAGCTAACTAACGTTAGGCTAAGCTGAAGGGAAATCTGGTCGTGTTGATCAGTCTAACTGTTGTCTACCTGTACTCCGTACTCGTTCTTGTTTTGTACATGTCTGTGGCTACCACGGGGATAGGGACACGAGTTATAAAACGATACGTCGTATAGAATGCATGTATTGCAGAAGGACTGCCTTGATCCCTCGACTATATTGTACGAGTATGGCCATAGAAGATGGTGTCCACTCGTACGACGATTCGACTTGTAGGCCTTGGGCGCGATTCCGGAATGATTAAAAATAACTCTGCTGCAAACGACGACGAGACCGATAGCCCAGCGCTATCCTAAATCTCTACGAGTACTCCGTACGATATCTAAGACACGTGGTGTTTCGCGGAAAGACAGCTAGCCACATCCATGTTTTCTTCTTTCTCTTTCTTTTGCCTTTGCCTCATAGACTCGTCCACGTTGACCGACTTTAAGGAGTCAGGGGATGCTCACGCTGACGAGTCTTCAGCATGTTTATGTTTGCTACTGGGCCATGCCCAGAGTGCAGCGCTTTCCAAGAGCCGTAATGTAAGGGGGTCCCGCATATGTAAGGAGGAGGGTGAAATTAGAGCAAAAGAAAGAAGAGAATTCAACTACGAGACCTTTGACAGGATGATGGGGTATCTGACAAGCCCATCCCTTCATAGTTTTATCATGGTCTGCGTGTACCGGGTCATATACTCGTGAGTCTTACGAGCTGGAGATATGAGTAAGATGCAGTCTATTGCTGATGGCGGTGATAGATTCCTACAATGGATCTGACCTGAGATTTTTACCCAGAGCCCGCCCTGTGAGTTTGGCCGCCCGCACCTTCAATAATATTAATATCGTCTGTTTGTGGCAAAAGTGTCAGGGTAGTCAGTAATTTACTAGTACTGCCGTGCCCGTATTTCTCCGTATCCTGGTAGTCTCCCCGGTAGCAGGTGTGGGCTCTTTTTTTTTTTTTCGGGGCAGCGCAATGTGGGATATAGCCTATAGGCCGACGGGATCTATCAGGTATAACTACGGCGTACGAGTATCTGTACTATAATATTCTGCAGGCGCCTTTAGAGTTGAGGAATGGAGAAATGAAAGCATGGGGATCATGATTTCGCCCCGTGTGTATGGTCGGGCCTTGCTACAAGTACTACAGTCTACGCGGCATCGTCGTGGCTGGACGTTGGGCTCGCAGAACCTTTCCTGGTATTGATACACCAAGAAAAGCGGGCTTATACTAATCTGTATTACTTAGTGCGTCAAGGGGGCCTTGTCAGAATGGCATCGAATTGTCGCGTTCGGCGTGATAATACACATCCTCATACGTGTATAGTGCTGGTAGTAATACTACCGCTATCCCTCAACCACCTGTCTCAGTCACCTGTGACCATACTGCTAGTAGTAAGCAGAAGACAGCCGGGGGACGACGGATGAAGAAGGAATGCCCGTCGTATTACTACGAGCACGATGCGGAGTGATATCGGTGCTTGTAGTCGTACGGGATGCATGCATTTTCGGTGATAATGTAACGTGTGGCTGAAAAAAATCTCCAGAGGGCCGGCCATGGAGGTCCTCAAAGCCAAATCTCGGGGGTGCCGTTCCACTTTGAGATATAGGTAATGCCGGTGCATGTGTGGCTTGTAAAGTCCACTGTACGAGATTGGGGCGTGGGCGCTAGGCGGTGGATTAGGGTTACTCGGCGCCTGCTTGGTGGTAGTACTGCCACGGGTTTGAACTTTGAAGGCACCAAAAGCCCCGATTTACGGTGACCAAGACCGAGTAGTCAATACCAGCCACTTGTAGCGGTCCCACGTTTGAGGGAGCGGGAATGTGGCTGGTGACCCGGTAAGCGGGTGTTCCCCTCTCCTCGTTGCCCCAATACATGCATACTACGGTGGAGTACGGTCCGACGTCTGTTTTTTAGCGCTGCACGAGCACTTTGAATCTCCGCCAGTTGGTTGGCCACTAGACGCCTTGGCCACCAGCGAAACCCGCCCGTAGACTCTACCCTCGTTTTTTCCCACGCTTACCAACGAGCCCCAGGCCTCACTCTCCTCTTTCCCAAGCCAACGCCCCGAGGATATCTCACATCTCTGCCCTGCCCACCGAACAAGACTTGTGTTCTGTGCTTGCGTAGACATACATTCTTTCTCTTTGTGTCCTCGACTCCGGGTCTCTTCTCATCCTGCTTCTCTCGCTCATCTTGTCGACGCCATCTTCCTCGTCCCGTTTTCCCCTCTCCCTTTTCCAGCCGAGTTGGGCCGGGCCATCGCCACTCTGCGCGTGAGCATCGCTCCACGCTTGGGCGTTGATTGCTTTGGACTCGCTGCCACATTTTTCGCGATCCCGAAATTTCGGGTCCTTGACCTGGCGTCTTCTGTCGAGACTTCCCCGACCGCGACGGCTCTGGTTGACCAACAACCGCTGACAACGCCTATCCCTCCGCCATCGGCCTCCCTTCTTCCTTACGCCGAGCGAATATGACACACACACCTGATAGTCCCTCTGGTGGCTCGCGGCCGAGCACGAACCCGTCTCGGATGGTCTCGGTCAACATCTCGGAGCCTGCTCAGGACAGCGGCTCCAGGCGCTTTCAACTCCAAATGAGCGAATGCGTCGAGACGAGGACTGTGACGACGACTACTCGTCTCACCCGCAAGTTCCCTCAAGTCTTTGACGCCAACCCTACTCCTCTCGCGAGCCTTGACGAAAAGGAATTTCCTCTGGCCATGAAACCCACTCCTCCCGAACTCTTGGCCTTCAGTTACAGCATTGCTGCTCGCGAGGAGACGGACGCTGAGAAGAAATCTCCCCAGCCGGTAAGTGGCAATGATATCTCCACGCCCACGTTGATGCCCTCGGTATACTGAAATGATGGTCGATTCTTGCAGAAAGTCGAACAACTGCCAGCCGCACCCGACACGCCTCTTGCTGTCAAGGTGGAACAGCACGAAAGCCCGTCCTTCGGCCGCCTGTCTCGCCGGCCCTCTCGGTCCCCGTCCACCGCTTATCCCCGACACTCACGTCAGACTCGATCTGCCGTCGCCAGTGCATCGGCTCCTACTAGTGCCGAATCACTGTTCTGGACACGCGACCGAGGCACGCACACCAAGAGCCCTACTGAAAAGCTCAGGAGAAGCATCGCCAACGACCCGGCCAATACAGCGGATGGCGGGAGCAGTCGACGGGAGTCGTTACGCCAGCAGCGAAACACTCCTGGAGTTCCCACAACCCCGAGCACGTCGGAGACGATCGACTGTACTACAGGCCAGGCGCCAGCTTCTAGGCCGCGAGCCCTACAACTAGCGGCTTCTCGAGATACAGCCGACCAGCGGCCGACCGGCCAGCCCGACGCTGCAGTCCCCAACGGCGCCACAAGCCCGGTCGAGAGTGATTCCCAAATAATCTTTGGAAGTAACGTGGCTACGCCCCCAATTACGGACACGGACGCCGAGCCCTTTGCAGACGGTGGAGAGTCGACTCGTCCATCTGCGCGTTCCCTGCTGCAGACCTCGCGGGGCAGCGTCGACGCCTCGGCTGGCCAGGATGTCAGCCTTCCTAGTCCCAGGCTTTCCCCAACCTTGGCTGCTGCTCGCCTCCACGACGCCGATCCGGAAGGCGGGCGTGACAGTGGCCCTTCCAACTTCGACGCCAACACCTCGAGTCTTGCCGCCTGGGCGGATGAGACGCAAGGGTCCGAGGGTGATTCACTTGCCTTGGCTCTAGCCGGTACACATAATGGTGAATCACGGTCCTTGGTTCGAGGCGATAACGGCAATTTCTCCTTTGTCGAACCCAGCATGTTCCTGGACGCATTCGATTCTATGAAGACTGAGATGAAGTCGTACATGATGTATCAACTTCTACGTCGCTGCGCCCGCCCAACACTGCGCGTCGTGGCTAATGCGGTCAACCCGACTCTGAAGTGTGACTTCTTCTCCCACTTGCCTCTAGAGCTCAGCTACCACATCCTCTCCTACCTTAACCACCGGGACCTTTGCCGCGCCGCACAGGTGTCCAAGCATTGGCGGAACATTGTCAACTGCAACGAGACTGGCTGGAAAGAGCTGTTTGACCGAGATGGATTCGTCCTGCCTCCGGGCGAGCTGTCCAAGGCCATATCTCAGGGATGGGGCTGGCAAGACCCCGAAGGCGCGAACGGGTTCGAGCGAGATCTGAGCATGCACAACCGACTGACGCTGTCAGAGTATGAGCTGACGCGGTCCCTTAAGCTAAAGCACAGCACCAGTCCGACATCCAAGCCGAGGACCTCGAAGAGGAAGCGCAGCCTCAATCCTTACCTGACATCTGAGAGGTCAAAACGCCGAGTCAGCACGCATGGCTCGCTAGTGCCGCAGGATGACCGAGAGCAAATCGATCTGAGGCAGCACAAGAGTGCGGGACCCATCTCGGCCGCGTGCTCAGCAGCAGCAGTGGTGCCGGATCCTCATATCGGCCTGCCCACCCTGCGACAGCTGCACCTGTTCAAGTCGCTGTACAGGCGTCACTACATGATGCAGCAGAGCTGGACGAGCGGTAAGGTCAAGCCGTCGCACGTCGCCTTTGCGGCCCACCCTAATCACGTCATCACTTGCCTGCAGTTCGATGAAGACAAGATCATCACGGGTAGCGACGACACTTTTATCCACGTCTACGACACCAAGACCGGCAAGCTACGCAAGAAGCTTGTCGGGCACGAGGGTGGTGTGTGGGCGCTGCAGTACGAAGGCAACATCCTCGTCTCAGGATCCACCGACCGGTCGGTTCGCGTGTGGGACATTGAGGCGGGCATCTGTCAGCAGGTATTCTACGGCCACACTAGCACTGTCCGTTGCCTCCAGATCCTCTCGCCTACCCAGACGGGAACGACGCCGGACGGGCAGGCCATCATGCAGCCGGAGAAGCCGCTGATCATCACGGGTTCCCGGGACAGCCAGCTGCGGGTGTGGAGACTCCCCGAGGTGGGGTCCAAGCGGTACATCCAGAACTCGCTCCCCACGCAGGAGTCGGAGTGCCCTTACTTTATCCGGGCGCTGTCAGGCCACACGCACTCGGTGCGGGCCATCTCTGCGTACGGCGACACGCTGGTGAGCGGGTCGTACGACAGCGTGGTGCGGGTGTGGCGCATCAGCACGGGCGAGTGCCTGCACGTGCTCCACGGGCACTCGCAAAAGGTTTACTCGGTGGTGCTGGACCACGAGCGCAACCGGTGCATCTCGGGCTCGATGGACTCGCTCGTCAAGATCTGGGACCTGGCCACGGGCGCGTGCCTGCACACGCTCGAGGGCCACAGCCTCCTCGTGGGCCTCCTGGACCTGAACGACGGCCGGCTGGTGTCGGCAGCGGCGGACTCGACGCTGCGGATCTGGGACCCGGAGACGGGCCGGTGCAAGAACACGCTGATGGCGCACACGGGGGCCATCACGTGCTTCCAGCATGACGGGCAGAAGGTGATCAGCGGTAGCGAGAAGACTGTCAAGATGTGGGACATCCAGACGGGCGAGTGCGTGCAGGATCTCCTGACGGATCTCACTGGCGTGTGGCAGGTCAAGTTTGACGGTCGACGCTGCGTGGCTGCCGTCCAGAGGGACCAGATGACATATGTCGAGGTATGCCTGGCATCAATCTCTCCGTCCCTCCCTCTCTCTCTCCCTCGCTCTTTCGTGTCATATACTGACTTGTTACGAACTCAGATTCTCGACTTTGGTGCCGTTCGCGACGGTAAACCCCCAGAAGAGCTAGGTCGACGAATCCTCCTCAACGAGGATGAAGCTCAAGCCATGCTGGAAGAAGACCAGTAAAGACTCTTCCACGAACTATCCCCACGTACATACATACATGCATACACAAAACTTGATCAGACGGATTCAAAGGGGTGACGTGGGGGGGAAAGAGTGCACAATACCATCTTCTTTCTTCCCCTTCCTCCTTGCATCACTTTTCTCCCCTTTCACCCCTTACGACATCTGTTCATCCGCGTAACAAACACCATTGGGATACCCCGGGCACGGTATGAAGATGTAAATTTCTTGGGCGTTTGCTTCTTTGATCACACACACACACATATACCGACGCACTTCTGTCTTCCATGGTGCAGAAAGAATGAAAGAAGGAAAGGAGGAAAGAGAAGAAAAACGGTGTGATGTGGGACATTTGCGTTGCAACAGGAAGAAGAAAAAACACATGTTCCCGAATGGGAGGAAAGGCGTTTTTGATAGGGAATATGGGGTGATGCAGGCACACGGGAGCTTATTCTTCCTCTTCTTCTTTTTCTTATCCTCTACGCTATCCTCGAGGGGTTTTTTTTCTTTTGTCTTCTTTCTTTCTACTCTTCTTCATGACCCATGATGAAATTGGGTGGTAAATTTGGGTTTTTGTTCTTCTCTCTCTTCTTTCTAAATTATTGTGTGGCATGGTAGTATATGCAATATTTCCATGTTGCTTTTTTATCATGAATGTCAATTGTTTCACAGTAGGATGGATTGTGAGGGTCAGGATGTGATTTGTGATGGATGGCAGGCAGAGACATCATGGCACTGTCTGGCCATGATGTGATGATGGCTCAAAACGTAACGTTGGTCATCGTGAAGGTACCTTGTTATGGTGAGATCCTCATTATGATTATAGCAATACATACTACACCTAAAATACTACACAGGACTGATTATTCTCTTTTGTGGGGTTCTTTTTTTTGTCGTATCCACTCTTGTACGCCTTTCTTTTAGAAGTGTTGAAAGTATTAAGATTATTATATTATATATACAAAAAGGGTGGGGAGGCGGCGGTATGTATACGTGGAAAGGGTGCTGCTGGAAGGAGAAACGCCATGGTAAGAACAAAGAGTGTGAGAACGTGGGGAGGGGGTTTAAATCTTGTTTCATAATACTGACTGAAAGAAAAAAAAAAGATTTATACCCCGGAAAATGCTGGCGTCCCGAATCGTAACCAGTCAACCTCGGGATCAGGAAGGCCAGCAGCACCACCATTCACAACAGACGACCCGTTGGCGTCGTTGGTGACGGACGTGCCAGCCGGGACGAGGAGGCTCCTCGCCTGTGCCGCGTCCGAGTTCTCGCCGTACGAAGCGCGCGGCAGGTTGAAGAAGTCGAAGACGTCGATGTCGTCCACGTCGTCGAGGGAAGCGACCATTGTTGATGTCTGGTCTATCCCTGAGCGACGTGTCTGGGAAGTTTTGGCCACCATCTCTTGAGCTCGTCTGCATTTCCGTAGAGTTAGTATATATAGAGTGTTGCGGTAATACACGTATACATGTATATATATATACAAGATGAAGAAAAGAGAGTGTGAAGAAGTAAGAGAGAATACTGAACAAAAAGAGACTTACTTCCTCATGGCAGCATAGCTCATGGGATTCTGACTCCCCCTACGAACAACCCTGGTCAGGATCTTGGCATAGTTCCCCGCAAGCTCCCAGTACTGCCCGACGTGATGGAGCGTCTGTATGAGGAAGTCAATCTTGGGATCGACGGGCCCACCGACGGTAGCGGCGTGGACGATGAGCAGCCTGGCGGCGACCCAGAGGGAGAAGGCAAAGGGGGGGCCCAGGAGGTCCAGCCCGTCGGCCTCGTACACGTCCCTCGCGATGTCGCCCAAGCTCTGCACGGCGGACAGGCATCTCTGCATGGCGTAGTGGGAGGGGACGAAGACGTGGGACCGGACGGTGGGGTAGGCGGCGGCCGAGTGCAGGCGGACGACGGCGACGACGTAGGCGCTGTGGAGCATGAACCAGTTGGCCACGCGGGAGGCCGGATCGGAGTGGCACAGGGACGAGATCTTGCTGTACTCGCTCGGCAGGGACTGGAGCCAGGCGTCGAGGGAGGTGTCGAGGATGCGGTAGGTGGCGCGCCAGGCGGCCATGTCCGGGCCCGAGGTGACGTCGAGCGGCGTCCAGAGGAGGTTGTGGATGCGGCTGATGAGCCGGAGGATCTCGCAGTGGTAGGAGAAGCTGCCCATGTTCTCGGGGCGGTTGATGATGTAGGAGGGGGTAGGGTGGGTGTTGCTGTTCCTGCCGTTCCTGCCGCCGCCGCCGCCGCCGTTCCGGCTGCCCTCGTTGGCCGTCATGGGGCTGAGGACCTGCGTCTCGACGGGCACGTTCTTGGAGAAGAGGTCGTACGAGCAGGGCAGGAGGCGGTTCATCAGCCGCTCCTCGAGGCAGAAGTCGAAGCTGGCGGTCGAGACGGTGGTGTACCGGTCCAGCAGGTAGACCATCCAGCAGAGCCGGCGGCGGCCCTCGTCCTCGATCCACGAGTCCGGGCGGCCGGCACTGATGCGCGGGACCGACCCGATCCGGAGCGGATCCTCGTGGTCCGTCACCAGGTACACGCTGCCCTCGGAACACAGGCCCAGCTGGCGCGCATTCTGCGCCAGCATCGAGATCAGGTTCCAGCTCCGCGGGCCGTTGGAGTTGCCCAGCTCGTCCAGGCAGAGTATCACCAGCGCCTTGAGCGCGTCGATGCTCACCCTGTCCATGGCGTATTGGAGCACGGCCCGCCGCGATACCGAGTGGTAGTGAATCTTTGCGTCGCGGGAGAGCCGGGTGTCGCGCAGGAAGCGCAGCGTCGTGGCCACGATGGCGTGCAGCAGGATCCGCTCCGCTTCCGTCATCGACGTCGCCCCGAAGAAGACGCCAAAGGTGGTCTTGCGGTCCAGTATCGGGCACCACGTGTTGCAGTGCTTGAAGTACAGGTCCACCAGCGTGTACACGACGTCCTGGGGTGGCAAGCCCGTCAGCGGCGGTGGCAGCGACGGGACCGGGGGCGGCAGCGGGCCGGCCATGCCGATGCTGCCCATCAGGCTTCCCGTGCCGGGTGACGACGTAGGCTGGCCCGGGTGGACGAACGGGGAGGCCTTGGACAGCGTCGTCGAGGCCGGTGGTTGCGGAGCGCTGCCGTACTGCGGTGTATCGGCCGCGTCGGTGGCAGCGGCCCAGTAGGCCGTCGTGCCGGGGTAGGCGTTGGTCGTGGTGGCCTGGGAGCTGGGCGTGCCGACCGAGTGCGCACCACCGCTGCCGCTGCCGCTGCCGCCGCCGCCCGCTGCCGTGCCAGCAGCTGCGAGGGCGGGCACGAGTGCCGGTGCTGCCGATCCGGGCGGTCCTCCCCCCCTGGCGCCGGTAGCAGCGGCGACGACGCTGGACTGGGCGGCATCGGTGAGGACGGATGGTGACGACGCTGGGCCCGGCGGCGGTGGGTGAGCGTCGATGTGGTCCTCGAGACGGCGACCGAGGGATTGAAGGAGGGCGTCTATGCGGTTGACCTTGGCCTCGAGCTCCAGGCCGAAGCCGATTCGGCTCCCTGGCCTCTGACGCTCGAGGTAGATGCATGTCCGGTTGTGACGTGCGCACCAGGAGCAGGCCGGTTCTGCGCGATCACACTTGACTTTGCGAGCTTTGCACAATTCACATCTATGATTATGATGCGAAGAGAGGAAGAGGGGGATAGAAATTGTCAGAGATTGTTTCTTCTTCTTCTTTAATCAGAATAATTGGCCGAGAGTACGGGGTTGGGTATTGCGTGTGCGTCTACGTGACCATTGATATACAGAGATGTAGAAGGATGGCCATTGAGATGGAGGGGGGGGAAATTTTCTTACGATGTTTTCTGATACTTGTCCCTCTTGCGCTTCTTAGGGTTATCGCCAGTCTCGATGGCATTATTGCTGTGGGCCGCATCGTCGTCCGGGCTGGAGACTGCCTCGCCGTCATCGCAACTTGCGCCAGAGTTGCTGTCCTGGTCCGGAGGCGGAGGCGCATCTGGCCCGGCCATGGCCATTGACGTTGCGCGGTGTCTGTGCGTGTCTGGACGCGTTCTGGTGTCTGCTGTTGTTGAGTATCGTTGCTAAGCTATGAGAGAGGTCGAGAAGACTTTGGCTTGAAGAGGGAGATGTGATGATGCCGATACTATTCGTACCCTGGGTGGAGCTTCTTTCACGGATGATAGCCTTGACGGCCTCATGACAATATGGAGATTAAAAAGAGAGAGAAAAATATGGAGAAAGAAGGAAAAGGAGAGAGGGAGCAAGGGGGGGGGGGGGGGGGGGTAGGTAGGACAAGGGGGGGGGGGGGGAGTATGGAGTAAGCTGGAGTTGGTTTGGGCTTTTGGTATTACGGAGTAAAAGGAGGGAAAAGTGTGGGAGTGTGGGGGAGGAGAAGAAGAAGAAGAGGGGAGAAGGAGAGGGAAAAGGAATTGTCAGTGAATTAGCTGTATTACTCCGTACTCCGTACAGGTTTATTGGTATCATTTTTGGTATAAATACATCGATATCCACTGCGAGGATTAGTGCGAGTACCGAAAGAAGACAACCGACTAGCATTTATTATCACTGCACGTCGGTCAGTGTCTCTACGGAGTACGAGTACAGATTACATGTACGGAGTATCATTACTATGTACCATCGGTATACTCGTAGTATCATGACTGGCAGTGATACGGAAGTAATATGAATCGAGGCAGTATACTCCGTACAGGCAGCAAAGGGCAGTAAAGGGCAGTCAGTATAGAGGCAGTACAGGCAGTATTGCAGGCGGTACTGCAGGCGGTACTGCAGGCGGTACTGCAGGCAGCATTACAGGCAGGCAGTAGCAGCGTTACAGGTACAGGTACAGGTACAGGCCATCGTCGCAGGTAGTAAAGGGCAGTAATGATGATGTACGAGTAGGTAATTCCTCACAGATAGCATCCACACCGTTTACATGCAGACACACTCAAGACGTGGATGGACATTCAAACATGGCAGGATAGATTGCTCCGCATCAATGCCAGCATCATCTACAGACCACATTTGCCTAATTCATGCTACCTGTACCGACGCGACGGATAAGCTCGTCCATTTCCCCATAAATGCCATCCAAAACGGGCAATGATAAGAACCGTCATCCATATCAGTGTACACGTATCCTGTCTCTATGCCGCCCGAGCAAGGGAAGATGCCGTCGGACTCTATAGAGAAGACATCTCTTGGCTCCCTACGGAGTAACCTGTACTCCGTAGAGGGGTTGGAATGAGGGGTTGCTGTGTCTCCTGCGTCCTACTAGGGTGACGGGGACTATGAGAGGAGGGGGGGGGGGGGACCTAGGGGAGAGACTGGGGGGAGGGGAAGGAGGTAGGACCCCGAAGAGGACCCCGAGAAGGATGGGAGGGGGGGGGGGAGGGTGGCTGTGTTGGGATGCCAAGATGATTGAGCTGGTGTGGGAGGATGGGGAAGGAGACGGGATTGGATCCTTCTGGGGAAAAGGGACCAGGACCAGTGTGCAAGGTGATCTTCCTGATACGTCTACATGTACGTACTGACGTTGTATAACATGCGCTTGCAATCTGTACTCGTACTCTGTATGCTTGTTTTTTTTTTTTTTCTTTTTCGGTGCAGCTGCTACTCGATAGGTGATAGCAGAGTATTATTAATGCTGGGTGGTATTACTGGTAGCAGTATCGTTATATGTGCAGGATTCTATCACGGAGTGTTGCTGTGATGCTCTGCGTGATTGTCAATCATTGATTGATAATCGCTCAGCAGCTTGCCAAGGACTGACGACCTGACAGCCTGCCCAGGGAGAATAGCTCCCTCAGAAGTCGGAATCCTGGACGGTTCTGGTGACCTCGGTCCTCTAATCGCCCGCCCCCACACCCCGGCATCATCTTCGGTAATGGATCGGGTAGTGTTGGCCGAGGGGGCGGGTCGGAAGGCAAAATATAGACCTCGACGGTTTCGTGGCCGTTGGTTACGATGTTTGGGCGGGAGGGAATTCCACGCACATTCTCGATCTCACCACCAAGAGTGTGCGTGTCGGATCGAGATGAAAGCACTCTGTACATGTATGGCATTACAGCTCACACCAGGGAGTCGGATCACGGTAGTATCCGTGATAGGCTATGACAGACTGTCGTAGACCGTAACAGACCGTAATGGTAGTGTTGTGCTCGCAAGACAGGGTGCGGCCAAGCCTGAGCATGTACGGAAGCGACAAGCAATATATGGCTGCAAGAGTTGGAGAAGATACGGGCCGAACAATACTTGGGACAGCTCCGTTCAACCATTACCGGGTCCGTCTACTACTCCATCACGTTTTCCGCTGCAGGGAAGCTGTAGGTGCACGGTTACCTGTACGGAGTAGTGATAATATCGATACAGTGGCTGTATCTGTAGACAGTACAGGAGTCATAGCGCGGATCGGGGGGGGGGGGGGGGGGGGGAGGGGGTGATGTCCGGTCCTACCCTCTCCTCCCTCCGTATGCCCTGTAATTGCAATAATGCTCCGTACGTACGTACAGTACGGAGTCGATCGTACACGTAACAGTACATACGGACCAGGTCACGGGATCGACCTCGAGGGGGGCCATCGTGATCGGGCTTAACCTAAACACCACGTTATTTCCCTCTTCACAATCCAATCATGGAAGAAGTCCCGGATTGCGTAGGTGGCGATGTCGCATCGTCTTGTTCTGCCACCGATGCCGTCATACAAGCTGCATCCATCGTACATGTGCGCGTACCCGCGCAGGTCATCATTCTCTACGAGCAGTCGTGCTTGACTCCCCCGAGTGACCGCCACGACGAGCACATCTGCTGCTGTCCATGCCTAGCAGTTGCCGCCCTCAGACAGCTCTCACCCGCAGACATCTCACTCGAGAATAATGCGTCGTCGTAACCAGGCAACGGTCAGACGCATCCGTCCATCCATGTATCCCTCGATCCATATATGCTATACGTTACAGGTTGAGAACTGTCATCGACCCACTCAGTATCTCAGTATCAGGTAGAACTTTTCTTCTTTTTTCTTCTTCTTCTGCGCCTCAAGGATTGATTACTCTCAACGCCTCAGCTGTCCATGACCGACATCGCAATGTCACACACTCTCGACACTGCATCGGACTGGTTCTCGCAAGCTCCTCGAGACGCAATACTACACTCTCCGAGACTTGTCATAAGCTCCTCAAAGTTGCTATAAAAATACGGGTGAAGAAAAAAAAAGAACCCATAGCCGGCGTGTATGTGGGGAGGGGGAGGCATACACACGCACATAACTTACGGGGCCGAAGACGGAAGTGCTCCACAGGTACAGCGGACCAAAAAAGTTTTACAGACACTCGTCAGTAGTTGCGGATTCGGATGGGAGGAGCGGCAGGGGCTGACAGGTGAGAGGGAGAGGAGAAAGGAGGACACGAGATGCAGTTGGGAAGCCGGCCGAGGGAGAGATGGGCCGTCGAGGTCCCGCTGAGGAGAAGGCCGAAGAAGGCTCCGCACACACGGACCAGACTAGCGAAGAGAGCCTGCTCGTAGAGCCCAGAGCCTAGAAGCGTATAGACAGACTACAGCAGTCGGGTCTGAGGAGGACATCGTGAGAGTGGCGTGCACAGAGAGAGAGAGAGAGAGGAGTCAACAAACAAAGCAGAGGCGTAGTAACCCTCTCCCTATCACTCTTACTCTTCCGATCCCCCAGACACCCGATCGGCCGCTATCCGTCGTCTGTCTGCTCCGTAATATCACAAGCACACCATTGACCAGTAACCTTGTCATTTCTTCCTGCATCTCTAGCGGAGATAACCATCAGGGGGGGGGGAGGACACACGACATGAAACGGTCAATATCTCGTGATGCCATTGCATGGATAATTACCAATTTCCAAGCAATTTACCCACGCATTGCTCTTCTCTCTTTTTTTTTTTTTTTTTTTTTCGCATCGTCAGGTGCAGAAAAAAAAAAAGCAAGGACCGTGCTGATTGCAGAAAGAGCCGATTGAACCCCCACTACGGAGTACTCCGACCCGTGTGTGCCTGCTGCAACGTACAGAGTTGGTTGCAACCCTTCGATATCGGTGGTAATATCGATACTACCCGTGCAGGTAAGAGAAGAAACGCAGCAGCATGCACCTTTCGGGGTTTGGGCAGAGCCGCATGAGGCTCCCCTTTCCCATCTTGCCGTTTTTCCCATTCCGGTATCAGAGCTCGAGATCGGAGAAGCTGTAAGTCTGTTGTGTGACTGTCCGCGGTAGTTTTTTGCTCGTATGGTAATGGTAATAGTGGTATTCATACTACGTACTCCAAAAGAGAGGATAGAAGAAGAGAAAAGAAGGGAAAGAAGGGAAAGAAAAGAAGGGAGGGGGGGGAGGGTTCCAGACAAGGGGAGAGCAAGAGACGGATCGATAGGGGCAGGTCAGTGGTGAGGACAAGAAGAGAAAAAGGGGGTTTCGCATGCGTGCGTGGCCAGCCTGCTGCGGGGCCATAGACTCTGGAAGCAGAGAAGGGAAGGAGAATAGTGATGGAAAAAAAAATGAGAAAGTGACTCAGGAACAGGAGACAGGTACAGAGTACAGCGAAAGGAAACGACGATGCCCATTCCTGGCAACACGGCAGTTGTGAAGCCGAAGGGGTGGTCATTTGCATGTACGAGGAGTCGTCGAGGTGTAACGGGTACGAGTACACACGTAGGAGTAAGTTGTCATTCTTATTCTTATTTTACGACAAGTACCATTGCATTGCCATGTGATAGTAAAACTACCCGTACCAGTACCAGTACCAGTAGCAGTAGGAAATGATGGTAGTTGGAAGAGATACGATCGATATCCTATAAGCAGTTGGCTTCTCTCGATCTGTGTATGTGTGTGTGTGTGTGTATGTGTGTGTGTGTGTGTGTGTGTGTGCGTGTGTGTGTCGTATCATGCACCGGTCAACAATGAATATCCACGGGCAGAATCCTCCTCACCCCCCCGACCGGATCGTGGAAACCAACTTGGTCAACTGACTTGCAGAACTCTTCTTACGGACCCACAGATCCCAGAGGAGAGGAAAAGCAGGAGGACCTTCTTCCCAGCAGCTGCTGCGTATGTGAAGGGGACCCATAAGTAGACCCAGAAAAACGACATAGGTTAAAAACACTGGAAACGCCGTCCCATCTTCGATCCCGCCTCTGTCGAGCGATCCACTCTCCACCCCCAGACTCTCCCATGGGGAAGTGATGTGACCTCGGGTGCGATGAGGAACACAAGAGCACTGTCTTCTGATGTGGGAGTTGATGGGTGTTTGTCGGGAGAGGGGATATCGCTTATATATACGCATATATATATATATATATATATATAGATATATATATATATGTATGAAACAATGGCGTCACGAGGACAGAGGGTAGAGTTGGAAAGATGCTTGTCATGTTTGACTGTGTTTTTGATTGTGTTGGTTTCCGTGGCTGGCCTGAGGCTGCAGCCACGGAATATTGCCGAGCAGTGACCCGAAGACGATAAAATGAAAAAAATTCGATTGCCTCGATCCTTTGTGTTTACGTGTGCCTCCTTTTCTTTTTTCCTTTCTTTTTTTTTGGGGGGGGGGGGATGGGGGGGGGATGGGGTTACTCACCATAGACAGGTTGATCAGCCTTCTTTCCCTTCTTTCTCTGTGTCTACCTGTAATATAAATTATGGATCCAGCGTACCAGACGACGGGAACGGGGCGGCTTCCGTGACACGGAGGCGGAGTATTAATAGCAGAGGAGAGACAAGGTTCTGCCTGTACGAGTAGGTACGAGCCTACTGGCAACCTGTAGACGGCCATACGGGGTCGCACCTTTCCATAGAGAGAGGAGTATCCGTAGAGTGGCAGGATCTCCACTATCAGCTGTCCCGCCCCCCACGCACTAGCGAAATATGAAGGAAGCCAAAAAAAAATGTCCAGAACTCGGTATCGGGTCGGTATAGCGACGCGAGCCGACGGCGCCACAGCCACTTGGCCTGTCCTCGACCTGGTCAAAGCTGCATGTCATTCGTCCCCCCCCTACCCCTTGTAGATTGCCCCACCGGACGTCCACCTGACCCCCCCTGCTACGGGCATACACCCCCTATAAGCTCGGGTGATCTCGGTGTCTGGATACCGAAGCAGCATTTCTGAATAGATTATCTGGAATCTGTACACTCTTCCAAACCCGAGAATGTCCACGATGCTAAGACAACGACGACCGGCCCTGATCGGCCCCGCCCTCGTCTTCTTCTCAGTCTCCATAAATAACACGCATGCATGCTCCGTACATCCCGTCTACCCAACCCACAGTCCTAGCAAAGGTCTGGAAGCTGCAAGTGCGAGTACTCGTGTACCTGTAAGCTCGGTGGAGAATGGGAAAAAGACTCATCTTGGGCCCCGTGACGCCCACGTGGAGAGTTCTTCTTTTGACTTATACGATACATTGGGGACCCACACAGACGCAGTCACGCAGAGGGTGTTTAAAAAAAAGGCAAACAGAACAAAAAGGGCAGGAAGCAGGCTATGAGCTCGGAGCTTTGGCAAGTTGGCAGCCGGATTTCTGATCTCGATGGGTGGGCGCACCCCCCCCCCCCCCCCCTCCTCCCCCCGTCTGCCCTTCATCTGCTGAGCTTTTATGATTTCCACGAATGAATGGGGACCCTTGTTCTCCCTACCGCAATACTCTATGATGATACCTCCCATAACCCCATAACTTCGTTCAATCCACATAATACATTACGGTAACTTGATACCGGTTTCCTGAGATCGTCCACCCACCCCCTCCCCCCCGTCCCTCCCCCATTCTTCCCCATCCTCTCCTCCTAGATTTAAACGTCGTCTTCCTCCCCCCTTCTCCAAATTCGTCTCTCCTCTCTTCCTTCTTCATTCTCAATCTCATCTTACCTCTTTTTTTCTATACCAACTCTTCCAGTGTACACCAGGCGTTGGGTGGATCATCCTCATCCATCTTTACCGTAATAACCTACATCTTAATAGTTTCCCTCCCTCTCCCTCCTTTCACCTCTTAATTCCACACACACACACACACACACACACACACGCATACACACACACACGCATACACACACACACACACATACACATACGCAATGGCCTCGCGACTACGCAACCTCAGGAGGCCTCTTGGCCTCGCCGCCGCCACCACGGCTGCCGTCGTTGTCGGTGGATCAGGCTACATGTACGTCAACCGCAGGAGGCACCCGGTGTTGCCCCTGGCCGAGGTGAAGCGTGACGCCTCAGGCAAGATCATCGCCCCCAGCTTCCCCACCATCAAGAGCCGGGTGGACCAGCTGGCCGAGCTCCGCCGCAGCAGCAGCTCCGCCGACTCGGAGGAGTACGACCTGCTCATCGTCGGAGGCGGCGCCACAGGCACGGGTATCGCCGTCGACGCCGTCACCCGCGGCCTCAAGGTGGCCATGGTGGAGCGCGACGACTTCTCGTCGGGCACCAGCTCCAAGAGCACCAAGCTCGTCCACGGCGGCGTCCGCTACCTGGAGAAGGCCGTCCTGAACCTCGACTACGCTCAGCTCGAGCTCGTCATCGAGGCCCTCCGTGAGCGCAGGACCCTGCTCGACAACGCTCCCCACCTGGCCTCCTCCCTCCCCATCCTCCTCCCCCTCCAGAAGTGGTGGGAGGCCCCTTACATGTGGGTCGGCACCAAGATGTACGACCTCCTCGCCGGGTCGCAGGCCCTCGAGAGCTCCTACTACGTCGGCCGCAGCGACGCCCTGTCCATGTTCCCTCGCCTTCGCAAGGACAACGTGGTCGGTGGCCTGGTCTACTACGACGGCCAGCAGAACGACTCGCGCATGAACATCTCGCTCGCTATGACGGCCGCCGCCTACGGCGCCACCGTCGCCAACCACGTCGAGGTGACGTCTCTGGAAAAGGGCGCCGACGGTAAGATCTGTGGCGCCAAGCTCCGCGACGTGCTCCCCGGCGCCGACGGCTCCGAGTTCACCGTCCGCGCCAAGGGTGTCATCAACGCCACGGGCCCCTTCGCCGACGCCCTCCAGTACATGGACAAGCCTGACCACAAGCCCATCGTGGCCCCCGCGTCGGGCGTCCACCTCGTCCTCCCCGGCGACGTGTGCCCCAACGGCATGGGCCTGCTCGAGGCCAGCTCCGACGGCCGCGTCGTCTTCGTGCTGCCCTGGCAGGGGAAGACCGTCGCCGGCACCACCGACACGGCTTGCGAGGTCGAGCGCGAGCCCCTCGCCACCGAGAAGGACGTCGACTTCATCCTCGAAGAGGTCAACAAGCTCCTCAAGCCCGGCTCCAGCCTCGGTCGCGACGACGTCCTGGCCAGCTGGTCCGGCATCCGCCCCCTTGTCCGTGACCCCAACGCCAAGAACACCGAGTCGCTGGTGCGCAACCATCTGGTGACCGTCTCGCCCTCGGGCCTGCTCACCTGTGCCGGCGGCAAGTGGACCACGTACCGCCAGATGGCGCAGGACGCCGTCGACGAGGCCATCCGCACCTTTGACCTGAAGCCCAAGACCACCACGCTGGCCGACATCTCTGGCGCCGGCCTCCCCGCCATCACCACCGACGGCGCCTGCCGCACCCTCGAGACGCCCGTCGTCGGCGCCCACGGCTGGTCCCCCGCCTTGGCCTCGCAGCTCGCCGAGGCGCACGGCCTCCCCGCCGACGTGGCCCAGCACCTGGCCACGAACTACGGCGACCGCGCTTGGGCCGTGGCCGCGCTTCCCGGTGCCACCACCCGTCTCCTGGCCGACGAGCCCTTCGTCGAGGCCGAGCTTCGTCACGGCGTCCGCTCCGAGGCCGGCTGCACTACCTCGGACCTCATCGCCCGCCGCACCCGCCTCGCCTTCCTCGACGTCAACAGCGCTGTCAAGGCCCTGCCCCGCGTCGTCGACGTCGCCGCCGAGGAGCTCGGCTGGTCCGCTGCCCGCAAGGACGAGGAGTGGTCCACCACCCTCAGCTTCATGCGCAGCATGGGTCTCTCCGCCGACAGGGTCGACCTCACCCGCGCCCAGGTCGAGGGTCTGTCCCCCCGCGTCGAGGAGGTCCACGACGACCACAAGCCCGAGGAGAGCTTCCTCCCCATGCCCGTCCGCGGTCCTTCCCCCGTCCCGTCTGGATCGGGTGGTGTCGTCACTCTTCCTGACCTTGGAAACACCACTGCCACCGCCAAGACTCGTCATTAAATATGTCTTGACATGTGACGTTCTCTGACCAAAAATTACTTGTTTACTTTGTTTTTCCACCCCTTCTTACACAAACTTTTATTTCTTGTTCCCTCTTTCTCTTTTCTCTTCTCTTGCATATAATAAGACACGAGGAAGAGGGGAATTCAACTCTTGCATAAAGCCGGGTTTAGATGGGGGATTTTATTTTACAGGCATCGGCGTTGGGGATCTTTTTATTTACAAGCCAACGGTGGTAGGAAATGATTTCATTACTCGGTTTTTCCTTCTTCAAAATCTATTTGCAAGGTCCATTCATTGGGGGTATCATAACTCTTATACCCATTCCACTCTACAATACATCTCTTTTTTCTTTTTGATTCTACATCACATATTCTTAGTATATGAAGTATTCTTCTCCAAGGAAGTTTTCCGGTGAACGACTTTGAAATAGTACTTTTGGGCAATAATATACATATCACTATCAAGGTATAATGATAACAACATACATTGCATAGTTTGCATGTCTTCTAGGCAGTATATTGACAGCGTCAATATGAATCTGCGATATTCGAATGCAGAACCCTGTACGGATCCTGATGTTGCCGCCTACCTTCGTCGCCAGACCGCGCCGCCCTCACGGACTTGGAGCTCTGCGGCAGCAGACTAAGCGTCTTCCCCAGCGTGGACTGCAGATGGGCATATGACTCGTCGGTGATCTTGCCCATTTCAAAGTCACGCTCTATCGCTCTGCGCAGGAGCTGTACGCCCGCCAGGATGTGATGAGGGTAAGGGTCTATCGAGGTGAGCGGGACGGCCGTCACCTTGAGCTTGACGCTACAGCGGTTGACATCGTCCCCCCCGTCTCGCACGCCAGCCTGAAGGTCATCGTCTTGCGTTCCAACACTCATGGTATAGACGTTGTGTAGGCCGAAGACGAGCGTGTTCATGACGGCATTCTCTGCTTCCAGGCTGACTTCCTCGAGACCGCTCAACAGGTCGTATCTTTCTGTGGCCTCGAGAATGTCCACCAGCATGAGGATGCTCAGGTGGTAGTGCAGCATGAGAGCGTCTGAAAAAAAGAAGAAGAAAAGATTACAACCGGTCAATTAATTAATCAATCAGTCAAACATATTGCGACGGACATGGGTGAGTTTGATTGGGGTTTAGGGGGGGTTTTTTTTTTGGGGGG